CGGCTGGGTCTAAAGGATCGCCGTTTTCTAGGTACTCCAATTCGGAGAAGTTACTTGCCTCAGAAGTAGACGAAGGATCTAACGGGATCGCTATGATTTCACCGCCATATCGGGTCGCCGGATGGGCAGCAGTTGTCACTCCTCATGTCCGAGTCTCCAGTCTGTACAGTTCACATTATGAATATCAACATAGCCGAGGCAACTCGAGCTACTTTGTCTTACTTCTAACATAGACCCAATACGGTAAAGAAGCAATTCGGGATCGGAATCGCTCTCACCATTCATTCCACACATACGGAGTACTCTTTATGATTGAGAATATCCAATTTCCACTAGATGCTAAACTAGAGCACTAGGATCGTCGGTGCATGCCACCAAAGGATTTAGTCTGGGCGCATTGATAGCGATAGCGACATGCAGATGAGTCGACGAGCAAGACCAGGATCCCTTGTTCAACTCATTTCCCTAGGGCCATTCGCCTGCAGAAAACGAGTAGGAAGCGACCGTAATAGTAGAGTGGATCTATACCCACGACCGTGGTTTCACATTTCCGAGCTCGAAGGGCAATTTCAATTCCAATTTCCTCGCCGGCTTTGATGATATTATGCAAATTAGCATATCAAACATGGAGTACTCCGTAATGTGTATACCTCGAATACAACTTTCCTTTAATGTCAACATGTCTCACCGAAAGCTCGGAATCGAACCTCGATAATCGGGCGTCGTCACTAGTGATCGACTGATCGTAGTAGTGTATGTATGCAAAATGATCGGAATAAAACTAGCCACGGGCTGAGACTATCCACGGGCGCCCCAGGCATCCCGGTGCATGGCGATAGAAGACACTAATGCCAACAATAACTGAAACAAGGAAAACGACCCGCATAATACCTACGGCCACTCTCAACACCAAGGCCCACGGCGCCACAGGATCACCGTTTCTGCACCTAGTGATCCTCGACCGGGAGCACCGGTGTGGGGAATCCCACGCCGGACCCAGTTGGTTACAGTAGTTTGGGTATATCTGGAGTGTTGGTTGGTTGGGTCGGGTGGTTGGCCTAGTTGCATCGCGCGCCCGTACTATTCCAAGTTGTGCCTTGGCGGTATACTGTAGCTTTTTTTTATGTACGAACTAAATACGGATACACTATATTGAATCCCCCCCCCCTCTCTGATACGCGAGACGCCGATTCACCCCACTCATCTCAATACGACATACTTAATGAAGGCAAACCATCGCGTGCTACGCTAGCTGGCCACCCTCTCCCTCTCGATCTCGGGTGATCGTAATCCACCCGCTTATTGCGCTGGATTGGCTGGTGAGAAAGGCCAAGCGCCTAGCGAATCGAGTTCCAATCAGAGTGGGTGAGGCGTCGAAGGGGTTGGGTACAATGGGGCCAGCAGGCGACCTTTCCTGTATCTCCATTACGGAGACTAGTAATATACACTATACACATGCTTGTGGATGCTGGCATTGTACATATGTACAGCATAAGTGCATTTAATTGGACGCAGGAAGGATGGAGTATGCAGTAGGGTGATTCTGATGGCCGGGGGAAACTTTGAATGATATGTACTTGGTCATTTGGGCTGCCGCTTGCCGTTTGTTAGATACATACCTAGATAGGTACAGACATGGAGACAGACGTCTGCACTCTGTGGAGTACTCGTAGTCAACTTGGGGAAAAATCATCCTATTTCAACTGGGTATGAAGTCCAACCGAGAGAACGATCTGCGGGGATGGGCTCCAGGAGGTGGAACTCAACTTCGCACTCTATTTCCGGTGTTAGTGTGTTCTGACCAAAAGGGGGTTGGCAGTTTGGGTCTGGAACAGGGATATTCCCTGACCCCATCTCGTCCAGCCGAGCAGTGACGTAGCATAGTTCAAGCTAGTATGAAAGTTGCGCCTCGGTCAAGTCCTAACTCCGATGTTCTAGGCGCCGAGTTCTTGTCGCTTGTATTGGCGCGCTGCGGGGCGGTGGAGAAGGAGGGCTGCGTTGAGACACTGTCTGGAATACATAGGGTAATATTGAAAGATACTATTAGAAAGAGAAAGATGATAACAGGATTGCCACAAGAAAAAGGGGAAAAGATGAAAAGAATAAAAAAAAGAAGCTGAGGGAGAGCAAGCCAATGCAAGACAGAGTAGAGTACAGAGTACAGAGTACAGAGTAGAAAGATAAGTTGAAAGGTTTTGCCCTTTGTCACACGACAGATAGGAATGATTGGTACCGATATGCAGCACGCATAGCGCTAAATGCTAAACACTCCTGAGAAAACTCCGAGAATATCCGACCAATTTCTTCGAGACTCCCAAGTCATGCACCACGCAAGGGGTAAACATGGAGAGTGCCAAGACCAAGGGGAATGGGGAGGGGGAAAAAGAGGATCTATCAAACGATCGGCCTAGAACTGGGGAAAATGCAGAAGCTCCTTTTGCATCTGTCCAATCCCGAGCTGCAGATTGTCAACTGAAGGAGCTTGGGCCGCGCGACGTTAGGTTGGAAGAGGGGAGCTTTTCTGGGGAGGCACCAGGGAGTGGTGGGTGCGTCCCGTCGTGTGTAAAGTGTAAAGTAAAGTAAAGTAAAGTAAAGTAAAGTAAAGTAAAGTAAAGTAAAGTAAAGAAAGTAAGAAAAAGCAAAGAAGGGTATAGGTGTAACCGAAAGATACCCTGCGGAGTACGCTACTTGACCGTTCCCGGGGTCCACTAGGCCCGCAGAGGGGGTTCCTGGTTGTTGGAACGATGGAGCCATGTATGGCACTTGTACGGAGTACGGAGTACATACTGGATGAGCTGAAAGGTAATGACATTGTCCCTGACTTGTCCACGGAACCCAGAGATTTGGTCAGCCCGCAAGGTGAACGCTGACTGGTTAATATCATCCCCCAGTTGGACCTCAAGTCGGCTATCGTCTCGAAACCCGCCCGGCCTTGCTTCCTCTAGTAAGGAATACTTACGGATACAGTTTCCGTCTGGGGAAGGAATCTTGCAGGTTGACTTACGAGGATTCCACCATTTGCTCATATTGAGTAACCTTTATCAAGTCTTTCAACGCACCTCGAGGGAGAGAGTATCTACTGAACGAAAGGAACCATGACCAAGACTAGGCCAAGTGTAACGCGTGCCCGTCCAACCTGACACCTCTTCACAATAAACCAAGTGGCATTTGCTGTTTTCAGTCTAGTTCGATCTCCTGGACAGGGAAACAGAAAAAAACAAGCTTTGATGGGGCCGGGAGGGTCAGAGTCGAGGCCATGCAAAATTTATTGAGAAACAGTCCCGTTGCCACATTGAGGCGGGACTTTCTGAGGATACGAGGGATCGACACGCATATCCCACCCACAATCCCCGCTGGAGCCGAGTCGACTGAGATACTCGTACGTCTCCATCCTATTCGCAGTAACGGCCGGTGACCAGTCCCAGATATACAGATACCTGCGCGAGACTGGTGGAGGAAGGTTGCGTTGTGTCGCGGCTCAGGCCGAACCCAAACCCTCTCGGCAACTCTATTGTTTTCGATTGAGGGGGTCGAGAAGTGGTTGTGAGAGTTTCAGAATGATTGTTTGGAGTCTATAATTATAATAGGACGAGCCGTAAATATCCATATTGATAACGATAGACTACATGGCATGGATCCAGCACACTTGAATGAAAGGGTCGAGGGCCCAGATCAAGGAGAAACGTCTGCCCAGTGAGCTAACTGGCTTCTCGTTTGACGCTGGACGCCGTCGTGTCACCGGAGCTGCTGGAGCTGCTGGAAATTCTCCACTTGGCAAGATTCGAACCTCGACCGGCGGTAGACTCAGCCGGAGAAACTGGGCTGGGTCATCGATCATGCGCCTTAGCACGGATTTTTTTCCACGCAGTGCCTGGCAGCCAGAGAAACGAGTCAAGAACCGTGTGACGAAGTGGGGAGATTGCTGTCAGATCGAACTCTCGTCGGCAAAATGAGATTTAGTTTTCATCGTTCGCCTGGTTCGTTGGAAGCTGGGCCCTCCGGGCTGCCTGGTTAGGAAAAGGGTGTCAGGTTATACGAGTACACTGGGGGGTAAGGTACTGGTGTCTATCGGGTGTGAAATGTGGTGGTTGTTTTCCACCAACACCAATCCACTTCAAGTTCCAACTAAACTGCTTCCAGTAAATCTAGACGAATAGCGGCCTCTGCCGCCAGCCATTGGCCCACTCGGTCTCCTTGCCTTTCCTGTTTCAAGTTAGATGCAAATCATCCGCGCGGTCTGAGTGGCTGTGGGGGTTTATTACCCCCGGTCATTTCAGTCTCGTATTTTATTGCGTATCCTGTATGTATAGTATGTACTGCTGTATCAATCTAGAGTATCTTTAATACCGTGTTGGTAATATGAATATCCCTTAGCGCGTTGTCCTCGTTTTCGTATACTACCTTGGCATATTTTTTCCTAAACTGAGGTTGATGGCGGTCGCAATTTAATGACGGAGTGGAAGGAGATGGAGACCATATGGAGGAATAGTTAGAATCGACAAATAAGCTGCTCGTACAGTTGGCGACCTAACTATCTAATAATACTACTTACTGGAGGTCTTTTTTTTCACTAAATAGTAGTAGGTCATATGCAAAAAGTTTCGGGCCTCAGAACGATAGAATCTTACTGTATGGAGTATACTTTGTAGAGCTCATTATCTGTGGGTCCCTGTCGGTCTCATGCACCACATGTAGAAAATCCCGCAAAGTCTACGGTGTCCAAAGTACATAGATGTCTCATATCTCCTAGGTTAATACTTGACTTCAACATCTTAAGCAGCTGTGCTGAAACAGTCTTCCAAAAGAAAATAACGGCACTCAATTCCCATTACGCTACGGATGATACCATCTACAATATGACAATCTCATAGTAGTAAAGGAAACTCGTATATTACTACTTGTGCTAAATCACTCGCCAAGCACAGCCAGACGAAATCTTATCGCAATAATATGTCATAAATCATCGCAGGGTTTCGTCGAGTTCCAAAGTCAGAAGAAATCTAATCATCCTGGATGGCAACCTCGTCCTCCCACTGCTTCTTGATGCCCATCTCGCGCGCCCGTTTGATGACCCGCTCAATGCCGTCCAGACCCATCTTCAGGACATCCATCTTGGGACCATAGCTGAGACGAACGAAGTGGTGGCAAGGACTATCAAACAGGTCACGACGCTTAGCCGGGTTCAGGTCGAAGAAGATACCCGGTACGACGATGACCTTCTCGGTCAGCAGGGCGTTGAAGAAGTTCAGGCCATCAGAGATGTTGGCCTCCTTGGGTAGTGGCGGGTCGAGAGAAGTCAGGTCGAGCCAGATATAGAAAGTCGCCTGAGGGACATCCTGGACACGGAATCCAATCTCGTGCAGTCGACCCAGGACATAGTCACGTTTCTCACAGAAGTGCGACTGCAGTGCCTTCATCTCCTCACGGACGAGCGATGGCTCCAGCATGGGGATGGCGGCCTCCTGGAAGGGAACGTTGGCGCCACCGTCCAGGTACGAACCGGCCGAGCCGAGGGCGTCGACGAAGTCCTTAGGTCCAACGACCCAAGCAATGCGCCAGCCAGGAAGACGGAAGCGCTTGGTGAGACCATCAATCAGGAGCACATCGTCCTGGTTAACGTCAACGATGTGCTCGGCTCCACTGATCGTGCTGCCATCGCAGCCAGTCGTGTAATTGTAGCCACCGTAGAACTCGTCGAGAATCAGAGTCGCGCGGTCACGGCAGATATCTTGGATCTCAGCGAGCTCCTCGTGCGATACAAAGTGACCTGTGGGATTACGGGGGTTGGAGGTCAGCAGCACCTGGGTGCCACGGGCGATTTCCTCGGCAATCTTATTGGGATGGATGTGATAGTGGTCGTCCTGAGACAGGGGCATGGGGATGGGGGCAATCTAGTATTTTCACGTCACGGTTAGTAAATATCCCATCCACATATGGTTGTCAATCGTTGTTGCAATTGCAACGGGGGCGCTCATTCCGAGACAATTGTCTCACATACATTCTTGAACAGGGTGAGCATTTCATTGTATGCAGAGTAATCGGGAATCGGGAACGAGAGGTACGAGTTGCCCAAAATGGCGGCGATACGGATCAAACCCGCACGGCCACCGGGCACAATGCACACATTCTCCCAGGTATACTGGCTGTCCTTGCCTTGGCGGTAATGTTCGTTATACAGACGAGCGACAGCGGCACGTAGCGGTTTGATACCGGCGGTCGGGCCGTATTCCCGAGAGGCAGATGAGATGGGGATCGACGTCGGGCGGGGAAAGCTTCCCTCGATATCATCGTCGGCTTCGGGGGCACCTTGACCTAGGTTGGCCCAACTTGAAGGGTCATCAGAAAATCCATGCTCGGAGGCACGTTCTGTGCACCAGACAACACCAGTGGAAGCACGGGATGCGTCAAGACCGGCGTGGGGACGATGACCCTCGTGGGCGGTTCGGAATTGACGATGAGTCTCGGACCGTTCCTCTGAAATCGGGAGATCGGGACGTTAGTCCGGATTTTATTTTTCGCTTTTATTGTTTTAAACTCAAAGGAAATCAAAAGCTGAACACACTCACCGTTCTCGGACAGTCCCTTGCTGACGGAGAGGCGCCGGTTGGAGGGGCGCAGAATACTGACGCGGCGGCCGGAGAAAGACATTCTTGGCAGTGTTGCACGATTTCACTTGAATGTTAATGCAAGCCTTGATCCACTATTGAATTAGCGTAAGATGGATGCAGTGAAAACGCAGAGGTCCAAAAAACAACAGTCCTCAGGGGAATATACAAAAGGGAGGCAAGGTTGAGGGGGGGCAAAAAATAGAAGAAGAAGGGGGGGGGGAGGGAGGTCGTGGAGGGAACTGGTTTTCCATTGGGGTTGACGTTGACCGCAACACCAGCCCTGGAGATACCCACTCCACTCTTTATATCAACGAATGCTGAAGAACTGCCCGGCCATTCGACGAAATCTCCGAACTGCCGCTGAAGCTGAAACTAAAACTAAAACTAAAACTCCCCATTTAGCCTTTTGGGGCCTCATAAATGCCGCATCTGCCTTCTCAGGAACCCGATAATGGCTCGTTTATTCCAATAGTTTGCGTTATTTTTCATTCATGACTTGCACATCGCCAAAGGCGGTTCAGGTTCAGGATTCAGCCCCCAGGATTTGCAACGTGGCCGAGTCCCAGTGGCTAATGGGTTTTATTTACAAAATAATCAGAGGATGTCACTCCAAACATAGAGTTCAGGTACGGATACAACCTCAGGCTCAGGTACCACTGATTTAAGACGTCAAAATACCGAGATAGGCTGCCCTTTATACTTCAGAGCTCTGCCAAGCTTTGTGAAGCCGAGACTTCCGAAAGAACGGCATCCCGATTGGTTAATGACGCCATCGTCAATTCTTCCCCAGATTCCAGATTCAAGGCCCAATGACTACGAATAAAGGACTAGGCCTTTTAAGGATACAAAGATATTTCCCCCCAAATAAGCGAGAGAAAAATAGAATAAATAATAATAATAAACCAAAATCAGGATCAAATAGTGTTAAATTCCAAAGCGCCAGGACTATGCCTGCATGCAGGCTACCACAAAGTACAGAATCCAAACAAGAGTATGCATACATCATGGAAGGTGCTTCATACGTTCGTGGACATTCGAACAACGTTGATCAATAGTGCAGTCATCATGCGCTCCCGCCACGGAACCAGTAGCCCGAGGAAACAGGACGTAAAAAAATGGGGATATGGGGGAAGATGAGAAGATAGGAAGATGGTGAAGGTTGCCAGGGGTAGGGTTTCTCCGCACCGTCATTGCCGCAATTAACTCATTATGCAGAAGGTCTGTTTAACTCGCCCTGGTTCCGCCACATGCAAACCACGGTGGCGTAACCAGATGGAAGAGCGGGTGACGGGGCCAAAAGGGAAGGGGCCATCTCTCCAAGCGTGGCTGTTCAACAGACCCAAGCCAATCCAGTTGGGAAGTAGAGAGGAGAGAATAAGGGACCAGGCGCCAAGGCAATGCAAAGAACCCCCAAGGCGGCGGAGGACCTATCAAATGAGCCCCACGAGAGAAAAAAAAAAGGAATGAGCAAAGGGATAAAGTTGACCAGATCTAGTCAACTACCTGGCAATAGAGCTGGATCTCACCCACCATGCCTTTGGCGAGCATGTCACGATGCTGCTCCCGCCATTCCATGAAAGCAAGTTGGACGGCCTCGTCACTGTCAATGGTGACAAAATCGCCGTCCTCATCGCGGTACCGTAGCCGGACCGTCTTGTTGCCAATCGAACGGTTCGTGAAACGGGCCAGCTTAGCATCCACACGATCCGTCAGTGAACGGAAGAGGATATTGGTAGCAATCACCAGCGTGACGTAATTATCGTCGAAATTCACTTTGGCCTTAAGCTGGGTGGGCATGAAAGGGTCTCCATCGGGTTCGTGAGACAAGGGCGATGTAGCATGGTCGGAGATCTGCCCCGAGCCGCGCGTTTCGTTGTACTCGGGTTCGGTGAATTGCGTGGTGTGAACGTGGGGTTGAGATCGCATAGGAAGCTGGCTGGTAGGAGAGTTGTTCTGGCTACGGTTGACGGGCGCCTTCATGTTGGCCATGTGCGCGGGAATAGGAGGCACTGGCACATTGTCAACCGTCTGCATTGTATGGACTCCCATATACCGACGGGATTCCGGAGGTGCGTTGTTGTGGTGGTGAATGTCTGGGCTACTGGCAGAACGCATGCGTTGAGCCGTTCCATTGGGAGCCTGTCCCTGTGGACCAGAAAGTGGAGGCAGCGACGGGCGTTGAGCACCCCGCCCATTGGGTTGGGGCTGAGGAGGGAAATATCCGGTCGGGGTCGTCCCATCTCTTGAAGGACCACGGGACAAGGCCGGTGCGGTGTATCGGTTCGACTCTTCATTCCAGACCGTCGATGGAGTAGTCGAGTTGGTATTCTGGCGCCCAAAAGAAAACCCTGACTGGGAACTGGAGCGTGTAGATGGGGTTTCCGTAGGGGAGAAATATGAATTCGTGTTTCGCTCGCTTGGTGACATGCTGCCAGGAGTAGGGAATTGGGTATGCACAGAAAGCGTCGGGTCATTAACCCCATAACGTGGTCGGCCATTGGCATGGGGAACGGAGTTTGAACTACCGCCGGTGGCGGAACGAGTGCGCAAGCTCGTGCTCGAGGCATTTCGGCTCATTGTAAACTCCGAGTAGTATGGGTCTTTGGTATTGTCGTCCGCGTCATACTCCTGTTGGTATGGGTTTGGCATATGAGCCATGCCCTCCATGTAGGTGAATTCGCTATCGGATGTACCAGTGTGTCGAAGAGTGCGTCGCTCCGATTGAATTGTTCGTTGAGTATCGATGTCCTTGTACCAGTTGCGCATTGTATCTTCGTTTGAGTAACGAATGATAAAGTTATCAACTACACCGGGGTCGCCCTTCCAGAAAATCTGAATACGGTAAAGACCTTTTTGTTGTTGGTTAGGACAATAGCCTTGGAGGGTGGATGCGAACTGCCGAATGCTTACCTGGCTTCTGGAGACAGACAATATCTGTGACATTTGCCATGTAGATACGACCCTTCAATTGAAGACGAGGTTTGCCCTTCGCGGTGAGGCTGGGCCTATCTTTACCCATCATAAGCTTGGTCTTCTGTTTGTTGGGATTGATATCCTTGCAGCACAGAAGAATACGCTCAAACAGGAATATATGGTACTGGAAGAATTGTCAGCGATGAATGAATCAGAGCCACCTCACGGAACCAATGTGACTACAAACCTCGCGTTCGCTATCTTTGCCACTATCGCCTTTGACCACAGCGAAAGTGCCAAATCGAAGCAACTCCCCAAAGGTATCCATCTTCAACGACTTCCAGTCGTCAACTCGTTCTGAGAGATCCACAACCGCCGCGGCCAAATGTTCCTTGTGGATTGCTTCATTCGCCTGATCCAAGACATCCTGAATGGTATCGATTGCTTGCGTGATATCGGCTTGGAGCTGAGGGTCTTCTGTTTGTTTCCGAAGTTCCTGCGGGAAAGGGCAAGTCAGCATATGACAATAGACTAGAGGTACAATGAATAACTTACCGTCAACATGAGCGGCCATCTCGTCAACCGCTGAAAGGGCTTGACAAAGAAACCATTCAGGGTCTTTGGCTGCGCAACCATCTGCTGGAGGTCTATATGGCGCGGGGCTGCCCTGATTTTATCCCACTCCTTCAAACAAACCTGATCGCAGCGCATCTGGTTTGCGATGAATGGCTCATACTGCCGCAAGGCCTCCTCGTGCGAAGAAAAGAGACTTCCCCAATTTTGCATGTCCTCGGGTAAAGCATAATGCTGTTCCATTCGGATGAGAAATCGTTGGGCAAAATCCAATAGGTTGTTTAGGTTGAGGAAAATTTGATGGCTAGAGTCACCAGTGAGCGCACCTGTTTCCTCCAGTTCCTTCTTGAGCGCTTGGAGATTCTGCAAGTGATGGACATAATCGCGCTCCGTCTCTAGCAGCTCCTTGAGAATGTGTTCACGCTTGGTGAGTTTCACGACACCTTGCGCGCCAACCGGCGCATCGGTAACATCAGAACGGTTTAGGTGGCCCTGCATCTCGAGGATGTCGATCACTCGATTTACCATCTTGATTACTTTGATGAAGCCAGTTGTGCTTTCGCCATAGAGATCGGTGATTAAGAAACAATCCTGCTGGGGAAACGCCAGATCCTGCAAGCAAGCTTGGAGGAACTTGAAGGTTGCGGCCTTTGGACGTTTACCCTCTGTGACTTTCGCCGGGTCAACTATTAACTCCTCGTCTGGTCCAGAGGCATTGTAGATGCTCAACAGTGGATATCCATTGCGCAGACATTGCCACAGCGAAGACACGGGGTCTGTGTTACCCTTCTCTCGATCCTCCTCGTCCATTTCTTGCAGATACGGTTCAAAGTTGGGGACCTCCGAGAGTCGCCTCCTGAGATTCACACAACTTTGATAAATCGACTCTCCACCACGTCGATTGATGATATTATCCTCGGCGATTGGAGCACCGCTCATGGTTGCGGAGTCAATCATTTTGGATGACTTTCAGCGGTTTAAACAGTCAAACCAGCCAGGCTCTACTCAGATCCGCGCAGCAGACCCGAGGTATGTATGATCGGAGAAAGCGACAAGCGTCGAGCAATCGAGATGCCGATCATGGATTGCCCGCGGCGCGAGGAGTTGTGGACGTGAGGGCGGGTGGTTGCAGGCTAATGTGAATGCCGCGGATTGAAGATACGGTCAAGACGATGGATGCGTAATGCGATTTTTGATGGGTGTATGTGCTTGTGAGGACACGATTCCTCGACCAAAGGGTACGGAAATGAGGGTGGTGTATATATATGAACAGTCAGAAAGTCGGAATGCGCACCGCCACTTTCCCTGCAGTTGAAGTTGGACCACTCGACAGCGGTGAAGGTAGTCTCCTCGAGGTATCTGCGATATTTCCAATCGATGGAACCCGAGTCACTCGAGTTTCGGGTACGACACTGCGGCCGGGCAGGTGTGCCGATTCACGGACGAAAGAGGCGGTTTCAAACCCCCCCTTAGGTGTCGGAAGGTAACGAGGCTCGGTCACTGGGACGGAGCGGCAAGGAGAGGGAGGAAGAGTCAACTTCCGAGAAGAGAAGAGAAAAGAGTCCCACAAGGGTCTAAAATTAACAGGGTGAAAGGCACAAGGAAAAGAGATGGGCGAGAGCGTAGGGGGGGGTGAACGACTCTCGCGGGTTGTGGTCGATGCGTGGAGGGGTGCTTAGTCATGGAAATGGAGAAGCGGCTGGCGGTGGATGGGATGGACTCTACGGAGTACTTTAGTGCTTTACATGAAACGAGTCTCAGGAGGCTGAGTGATGGAAGGAGGGGATTACATACAGTGACAGTTTCTAGCCGATAGTAGTATAGATTATAGTACAGTATAGTATACAGTAGATCTAATCTAGAAGGATCACAGATCACAGCTTGGACTCTCACTCATACTCTCACTCTCACACGTACAGCCAGTCTCCAGCATTCTTCAAACAAAGAACGATGCGGGGAACCTGCTATAAATCCACCCTCCATTCCATCCCATTGCTCGCAGTCCTCACTCTGCCTCTGTCTAGACTTGACTCTGCTTACTCTGCTTCTCCCTTGTCGCCATCGCATACTTGAGGCCGCTGCCACGTGACTGTACATAGCTAGTAGATTCCAGCGCCCGACCCTACATAGCACTGACTTGTGTGTATTGTATATTTCCTATTTCTTATTTCTTATTTCTTATTTCCTATTTGTCGCGTCACATTCGCTCCATCAATTCTATGAACTCCATCCATCTCATACTTTGGACCTCTCGATCCGATCTATCATCTCCATTCCTAATCCCCAATTGTTAGGTGGATCCCGCTGCCAACGTGACGTGATATGCAGTCCCAGGCCTAGAAGTTCCCCTCCCAAATCATATCTATCCAACCAACGTCTATTCTGCGAGGGTTGATCCCTCCCGTGAAACCTCTGAGTGCGACTGCAGACTGACAGAGAGAGAGAGAGAGAGATCGCGTACGCGACACCCTTGCGATTTCCCTGCGACCCCTGCGATCGATAACGTCCCCCGAACCTCTCCCCAAATCGTCGCGTCGACTCATCGCCATTCGCCTTGAGACGTCAGGGTCAACATCAGCACCCATGGATGCAGATCTTGTCCCTAGATCCCCCACACGCCCAGCGCTGCAGCTGCAGGCCACAAATTTCCCCGGGTACTCTGCGCCCTCCCTTTCTCCCTCGTTCAAGTTGGATGAAGGGTATTCGGACGATACCCGGAGCCAATCTGACAAAGAGCTCATGCCGGAAAATGTCATGATGCTACCAGAATGGGTTCTTTCCCAGAGCGAAACGGATAGAGCTGGTAAGATAACAGTTTCCTGTTCTTTAAGTTCTTTATGCTTTTGTGGTGAACCCGGAGAGCCTCTCCGATGCGCGCGCACCCTCCTCTTGACCTCTCCGCCTACTGACCCATACACCCCCCTCGACAATAGAACTCGCATACAGCCTCCTTCGATCATTATCAACCTCCACACTCGCCGCAGTCGTCGATCGTCTCAATCCGCTGCTACACATGGACCCTGTTGTCAAGCTACCTCCGGAGCTTACCTTCGAGATCTTTTCATATCTTGACCCACGAACCCTTCTGACTGCCTCGCTTGCGTCTCGCTCATGGCGAGCTCGTATTCTGGACTCCGGCTTATGGAGGGTGCTCTACATCAACGAAGGCTGGCGGGTAGATATGCGCGCCATTCGCAATTTCGAACAGGAACATGCTGAGGCAATGTCACCGCTCACGCGTCGGGCCCGACCTCAACATTCAGAACCAGATCTGGGAGAGCCGAAGCTTAAGAAACGTGTACCTCCAACTTGGCTGGCTTCTCGCAGCAATGAAAGGGATGGTCCGTCTGACGCCAAGGGACATGGGTTCATCGAACCAGATGACGAAGGCGATCACCACATGGCCGATGCGAACGACCGGAGAAGCTCTCTGGCGGCAACCCCCAGCTCTTTGCCTCGGTTTCCATCTTTTCTCCAGCCGCCACTCAGATCCTCTCTTCTCACCCGATCCCCGAACGGAACCGTCAAGGTGAATTGGGTTCACCTCTATAAGCAACGACGTCGTCTTGAAGCAAACTGGCACCAGGGTCGTTTCACAAACTTTCAACTTCCGCACCCCTCCCACCCCGAAGAGGCGCACCTAGAATGTGTCTATGCAATTCAGTTCGAAGGGAAATGGCTAGTCAGTGGAAGCCGGGATAGGACGGTGCGAGTCTGGGACCTGGAAACTAAACGGTTATGGCACCGCCCCTTGGTTGGTCATGTGAAATCAGTGCTGTGCCTTCAATTCGACCCGAGCCCGGAGCAGGATATTATCATTTCTGGAAGCAGCGACAGGAGTGTGATACTATGGAAATTCTCCACAGGGAAGAAGATTCATCAAATTACGAATGCTCATGCAGACTCAGTACTCAACCTCAAATTCGACCATCGCTACTTGGTGACCTGTTCTAAGGACCGCACAGTCAAGATATGGAGTCGCCGGGAGCTCTCAGCAATGGATGAGGATTATCCTCGTATCTGCAAAGGCGGCGGAGCTACATATCCCTCATATATTGTCGATCTCAGTGATATGGCACCCAACATACTTGAGGCCAGCATCGCCCATGGTCAAATCAAATCCTTGAAACCATACACCCATTTGATGACAGTGGAAGGTCACGGAGCTGCAGTGAACGCTATGCAACTCCACGGCAATGAGGTTGTCACCGCTTCGGGAGATCGTATGATCAAAGTTTGGAATATTCGCAACGGCGCTTGTCTAAAGACTCTGATGGGTCATGAAAAGGGAATTGCCTGTGTCCAATTCGACAGTCGACGAATCATCAGTGGTAGTAACGATAACACTGTAAGAATATACGACCATGTTTCCGGCGCCGAGGTGGCTTGTCTACGTGGCCATAACAACCTTGTTCGCACTGTCCAGGCAGGCTTTGGTGACCCTCCTGGCGCCGATGAGGCACTGCGACTCGAGGCCCAAGAAGTTGAAAATGAATTTTGGAAAGCGCAGCAGGCTGGCGTTCCCGTTGACCTTGGCCCAAGGGCTTTACGGCGTGCTGGTCACTATTCAAACACTGCCGGCTCTCGGGATCCTCGCAATATTTCAGCACTTGGTGCTAAAATTCCTCCCGGCGGTGGGGGTAGCTCTTGGGCTCGCATTGTCTCTGGATCCTACGACGAATCCATCTTGATTTGGCACAAAGATCGGGATGGAGCATGGTCCATCGGCCATCGTCTCCGACAAGCTGACGCTGCGGCTAACGCTACTCGAGCCACTCTCAGCGAGGCCGCACGAGCTACTGTTTCTGCACAGGCACAACAGTTACAAGCTGCGCAAACCCTGCTTGCCCTGCCAACTGGAAACGGAACGGCTGCCGCGCCAGCGCAGAGTGCAGAGGCAACACCAGACCAAGATGCGAGCGATGACACCCAATCTCCTAACAACACAAACCCGACCCCGACCCCGACCCCAACTGCACCGCAAGAACGAGTTGCGGCTCAGCCTGGAAACCAACCTCAAGCTGTTCCAACGACTGCTCCTAATCCAGCACCGGCAGCCCATGCCACTCCACAACTCCACCAGCAATTGGCTGCCCCCAACCCACCGCAAGGCATTAACCCCCATCAAGCTCGTCGACAAATGACACAACCTCCATCATCCCGGGTATTCAAAGTGCAATTCGACTCCCGCAAGATTATCTGCGCCAGTGTAGATCCCCGTATCATTGGATGGGACTTTGCTTGTGGGGACGAGGAGATTTTGGAAGCATGCCCTTTTTTCCAAGGGCTTTCATAGCCGTGCTTTTATCATAATCACGCCCTCGCCCTTCATTCTGCCAATCTTTACTGCAGAATTGAGCCGTGAATTTCGGCTACCTTGCCAAGATGGCATAATGCCCAATACTTTTCACGAAAAGGAGCAACCAGCACTAATGTTACTGGATTTGCATACGTGATACTTAATTCCTCTAACCATTTCACCGCATCATGATGTCCCCCCTCTCTTTTGTCCCATCACCCTTGCCTCTTTTTTGGCCCAGTCATCAGTCATGTCTGTGCCTGTCTTTTCCTTTCTTTGCATCGCAGAGCCACCCCTCTTCTTATGTACTTTTTGGACACGAACCCATGGGCGCTTCTCTTGTTCCTCTCTCCCTTTCTTCCTGGGGCTTTGCATAGCGAATCGAGTGATGGGTGTTTCTATGCTACATTGAACCTGTTCTAAAGTCTCCCATTTAGCTGAATAAGCATGAGCACCGATGCAACGTTCTATAAGGTTAATATCATTCTGTTATCGCAATGCGTCTGAATAATTTAATGGAAAGCAGGCAACATGGTGGCACTGGAACAGGAACTAAGTTTGATGGTTTCCCGATTTTCCCAAGTCTCCTCGACCGTTTCAATGGGCGTCCATGGATGTAATCGGTTTTTAAGTCAAGGCTTTATATCTGAATCGTTCTCGGAAGTTGCAAAATACTTTTGCCGGGTTCTCTTGAGGCGTATGGATGTGTCTGTATTGTGTCACCACGCAATCTCCTTTCCATTATACTGCTCATAGCCCGGCACACAAATGTTCCTGAAGAGACCATTGGAGTCTTGATCAGCACTGGAAATGATATCAGTGACCGCGTTTGCACCTTCCTCTGCGGAAAGATCGCCATCGTTGCCTCCCATATCTGTTCGAAGCCACTCATGAATAGTTAGCATCTATCACCATGCCCAGTTCGAATTGATAGTACTCACTCCCGGGCTCACACAAAGAAATATCAATCCGTCTGCTTCGTAAGATAGAGCATATTGAACAGTCAATGCGTTGAGTGCGGCTTTGCTTATCTTATAAGCAGGACAGGGAGCGTAAAGGAAGGACCGAGCAGATGTTGTTGAGCCCCATGGGCTTGAGCTTGAACGGAAAGCGGCTGTGAGTATTTATTTCGAGAAAACTATAGCATTATTAAATCTCACATATTGATAACTTTCTTCATGTTTCCAGCTTGAAGAAGTGGCAGATATGATTTTATTACATTATGCGTGCCGGTAACATTGATCCTCAATTGGTCCGCCAGATCAGACCTAAAATTATATCAGTGAATTACCAGCTCGTATCTTCGGTGATACTTACATCTCTGAGACGCCACCATTTGTCCAGGAATGGACACCAGCATTGTTGATGAGGATATCTAGACCATTGACGGGAATGAGAGATTTTACTGTCTCGACAGATTGCAGTATGCTTTCCTCGCTGGAGATGTCCATTTCCACAAAGACAATATTGCTCTTGTCACTGCAAACTTCTTCGAGGTCCAGGCTAGATTTCCGAGAAGTGGCAATCACAAGACTATTGTCAGGTAAATGGAGAGCATACCTTTTCACCAACTCTAGGCCGAGCCCTCGGGCCGCTCCTGTGATGAGTACGTTCGGCATGGCTTTTGATGTCTTCCGAGTCGAGGATTGATCTTTTCTAAATCAATACCATAGAGATAATTCGGAGGCTCAAGTACGTATTTATACAATATGCCAGTGCCCATTCCGAAATCCCCACTATAAATATATGGAACGGCCCACTTCGTCATGTTTATAAAAAAGGCTCAGGTAGTGCCAGTGAACGATACCTGGCAAGACAAGACTGGTCACAATGTATTGTACAACGCAACCTTGCCCGAGTTAATTTTTCTCATTAAGAAAAAAAAGTGAGCCTTGTATACAAGGCTTAATTGGCCTCAGAAATTAGCATGAACGACAACGCGAATGGCGCTTAATCGCAACAGCAGGCATTCGCCAGCAACCCTCGGCTCGGCTGCTAAGACGGGGAACGAAAAACAATTTGATCGGTAACGTTAGCTTGGTAATTTCTAATTTGTAATTTGTAAGCTCTTGCAGATCACTAGGTTTTTCCAGTCGAGCAGTTGTTGAACAAACACGGTCTCGATTGATTTTCCTTCTTCCCCATTCATTCGGAAGCCGAGCGAAAAGGGGAAAGCGTCGGATTTTGGAAGGAATGACTCAGCGATTTCGGATAGCTCGGTCGAGAACACGCAGGAGCAAGGTAGTTTAGATGGATTTCGAGCTCAAAGGACCCCTCAAGAGATATTTTCGGAAAGCGAGGGCTTTGACAATACATTCCAATGAGTGACGACGCTCTGCGTGCCGTAAGTGTTGGCCTTGTTCTATACTACTCACAACCGGAGCCCGACCTCCACATCGCGAACATCCACGCTAACTGTTATCAACACTAGTGTGACCTCTGTCACTCCAGAAAGGTATGAATTTGACATTCATCTGGACATCTGTTTTACAGTTTTAGTGCTGAACTTGTTTTTGGAATAGGTTCGCTGCGACCGGCAACTCAATTGTGCAAATTGTCTCGATGTCGGTCTAGAGTGTCAGCGAACTCGTCCACGGCGCCCAACACGCCCTCCAGCTACAACGTACATGCCATTACTAGTGCCGTCCCGCCATAACTTGTAACTGATTTTTATCTAGTATCTCCACTCTTGGCGAAAGGCTTCTCAGGTTGGAAAGCGCAATCTCTCATCCCCACGAGTACACTCTTTCGTTCATATTCTTTTGTTGTCGTTATCTAACATCTCCCAGGACGACTGAAAGTACAAGCCCATCCCATAGTGTCAATCAGGGGGAAGAAGATAGAGGACTCAAGAGGCGGAGGTTAGACGTTGTCTCTCACCTACAAAATGCATCCAAGTCTCCCCACAGTAGCTGCACTGTTGTCACCCCAGATGAATCGACACATCATGCGGAGCAAGCCAAAGCTGTCTTCCAAGGAGAGCTTGAAGGAAATGAAAGTATGAATCTTGAAAGGCAGTCTATTCTAAGATCTGCATTGGATTTTGTGAGTGCCATGACACAGGGGAGGGTTTCAAATCTCGAAGAAGGCGTTCAGTCGGAAGTTCGAGACGACAGTCCAATTGTCACAGAATTCACTGCACCGCCCCCTGAAATATTCTACATGCTTTTCAAAGGTAAGTCACCCCCGCATTTACTTTGAGAGCATGTACTAAAAGAATAACAGAGCCACCAGCTGCGGCTGGAGCACTCAACATACAATGGCCAGACCATATCTCTCAGGAGTGTCTCGAGAGGATGATTGCCGTTTTGATCAATGGTGAATCACAGGGACAAATATTCTACCAATACTGCGTCTGCATCTATGTCAAGGCTCTATTCTACCTTAGTCAGATGCCAAGAGTTTACAAAAATTCCACCATCAATCAGCAATTTCTCAAGTCAAAAAGATTGTATGAATCATATGCTCTTCATGCCTTGAAGAATCTCAGTTTTTTGAGCAACCCCACCCTCCCTTTTATCCAATCACTGATATCTGCGGTATGTCTTCAATATATTTCAAAGAAAGGGCCATTTCTGATCATTAATTCTGCTTAGGCATTTTTGATGCAATATACTGGTAACATGAGCCAAGCCTGGATCATGAATTCCTATGCCGCCCGCCAAATCGTCGCACTAAAATATCATGAAACTCGAAGCCCTGTTTCGAGGTCCGATCCAAATGAGGACATCCAAAGCTCTTTATACTGGTGCTATTATCTTGACCGCACTCTCAGCGCCCTCCTCCTTCGACCTTTATCATTACCCGAGCCACTTATATCTCCCGCGGACCTCATCGTTCCAAACAAATCACAGCCTCATCTACCGTTGATTCGAATTCTTATGGAGCTGGCACAAGTACAGGGTGACCTCTTGAGCTGTGGAAAAGCAGATAGTACTCGTCAAATACTTGCGAACCACTCAAAGCTTCAAGAGAGGATGGATGTCATAAAGTCCAGTTTGCAGGCGGTAAGTATTGATCACGGATACATCGGAACTGGCTAGCTAATCTAATATTCTATTATTTCTAGACTCGGGAATCCGTCAATGAATTTCTATCCTGTGATTGGATCTCAGGAGAATTCTGCTACTATGCAATTCTGGTCGATATTCTTCGATCTCGATTGAAGTACTCATTTTCACCCCTCACACACAAAGAATGCGTTGCATGTGCTCGCAAATCTCTCAAAGCACTGCGGTACTTGCAAAAAAACCCCGGAAAGAGTCCTGGCTTTGCGGACCCATACCCGACGTTTCTGACATGGTAAGCTGTCCTCACGTTCCAAAGATTCCGACAAGAGGAAAAATTAACAAGGCTCAGGACAATGTTCCTATACCCACTGAGTCCATTTTTCGTTCTATTTTGCAATATTATCGGAGAACTCGACTTCGATGATTACACCTTAATCCAAGACATTACCCAAAGCCTGACTCCATTCGCCGCAAGCCCGTATATTTCAAAGTTGCTAAAACTCCTCGAGTCACTTCAAAATTTCTGCATCCCCTTGATTGAAGCTAAGCAGCGTTTGGGACCAAAATCCAAAGTCGCCCCCTGGTATCCATCGATGACTGGGGCACTGCCGGAGACTTCAACGACCATAGAACCCAGTTTTCCGGTCGATAGTGGCTCTTCTTACGCAAATCCTGTGGCACCTGTATTACCACAGCAAGTTCAATCCCATGGCGATCAAGCGTACCCGCCGACCGATGAACTTATGTGGCACCTATGGAACAGCCAGTTGTCAATGGAGTGCTTTGAGTCTGATTTCATTGGCCTTGATCCATCAAACGGGAACGGTAACTTCTGAGATGGAATTCTGTTAGAAAAGTCTCCATTCTTTTTCTTATGATTAATGATAGAATATTTGGTGGTAAAATTAGATCCCAGGCGTTTTCTTCTCTTCAATTCCAAGGTTGCATACTAGTAGGGCTAGTACTAGTAGTGATTTTGCGTTCTGCTTTCACGGTTTCCAGTTTGGAATATTTATCCAACATTAAAGTTTTCATACTATCAAGCCTACTATGACTGGTAGTACGATTCAATAGTAACACCAGTCAACTTTTTAACTCCACCGTGCCATAGTCAAAAACAAACCTTGGAATACCTAGGTATATCTCGGATTTCCGTTCGGAACCCGAGCTCTCCGGGCATCCGACCCTTCCTAGTAAACACGCGAACGCAAAGGAATTACTGGTTCGGTCACCGAGTCTTAAGAGCTTTTTAATCTTTTCGACATGCAATTTGAATTTGCCACTCAATAATAGTTCACAATCTCATCTTTCAGGCCGCGTGACAGCCATGAGACCGAATCTTCGTTACTTTCTACAATCGGCCAAGGTAGCCACCGCCGGAGGCGCAATTGGACTGGGCTCATTCTTTATTTACACCCGGAAGGCGGAATTCACTTCTATCGCCGAATCGGATCCTATCTTCAAGCTTGCCGAAGATAGGGGTTGGAATCCATATCGTAACCCGACGACTCACGATTTTTACGTGCGACGCGTCTCGCTGAGTGATATTCGTCCTGAGCTTCGGGATTCGCCTACTGAGTTGGCAAAGACTTTTTGTGCTGGGGTTTGGAGTGATTGGGGTAATATTTTCAGTCTTGGTATTTTTCTTGTCGGTTATATGGATTGTTTAGCTAACACGTTTCAATTCTTGGATGGTGTAGGATTCTCAATTCAACGAGCCCTGTTGAGAGGGGCGCGGAATGACTCGAATCAAGATCACCTTTGGACTATTGAGGACATGCTGTCTTCCGACTACAGTGAAGGTACACTGATAGCCGATTCTTTCGAGGTATTAGAAAAGAAAGATGGCCGGATAGTGGTTCGCGGTGGGGATTCTCCGTCAAACAAAGCGCTCCGTCCGTTTGACGTGATTTTAGAATTGTCCGCCGTTATTCAGGAGGATGAGCAAGCGGTTGATTTTGGATTCAAATCTGTTTTTTTCACGGGAGATAAGCATAGTGGGCAGCCTCCAATGCCGGGATTTGCGGTTTGGTTGCATTTACAGTATGCCAAGTTGCTGCTCGAGACTGGGATCTTGAATACAATGGTGCGGTGAGCGTAGCCCTAGAGAGCACATTGAAAGTGTACGATACCTAGGTATGTAATATAGAATGAAGCACCCCTCTCTGTATGTGAAAACGAATGTTCTTATTTGTCTGTCCGATGAGTGATCTTCGCTCGGCAGAGTACATTGAAACAGTGTAGCGCGGACTGAAATCTAATCTAACAATAATGAGCATCTGATAGAGGAAGGACAAAGCAGAAGGATTGACAATTTGGGAAAGAATACAGTGTTTAGCGGAACGGCGTACGGGATATTTATGGCATACGCTGTTTCAAAACAGCGACACCCCGATGAACAAAGTTAGCCGCCATTGTCCACACGCGGCGTTCGGGCTGCTCTGGAATACCAGTACCCTCATGACGCTGCGGACCTTCAGTTCGAACGGGAGATGACCGGCTTGGTGCTGTTGTATAGCTATCTCGGGAGGTAATGGGTCCAAGTGGTGTTCCCTGATCTGTTCCTTGATTTGCTCCAGGGCTTATTCCCTGATTGATAACATCAACAATTCGACCGCGAAAGCAACAGCATAGAAGCAATGGCATGGGAATTCGAGACAAAATTTTGTAGGCTGCGTTTAGCTGAGGTACAGGTACAGGTTCGGTATCTAGTTCTTCTTCTTGAATTGTCTGGTTGACAACTGTGTGTCTCTGAAAAGAGTCAGATGGACTGCCCTGGCCTTGGAATTGTCGGCGCTGATCTCTGATTCTAGCTGGGTTTCGCGGAGGTGCTATCATAGCAACAGGATCTTGGGTAGAATCTCCAGTAGGATCTCGAGAAGGTGATCGAGAAGATGATCGAAGAGATGATCGAGCAGGTGATGACCCAGGCTCCGGAGACGTAGAAGCGAACATTTCCGCGATAGAAGGTCTAAATAGTCTGGCGTATCTTTTCGGAAGAGACAAGGTACTCTTGAAACTAGAAGTTTCGGCTGCCGTCCCAACACTTGTCCTTCTGGATTCGGCAGGGCCAGGTTCATCTGTAGCAGCTTGGGTAGCTGCCAGTGGTATATTATCCACGTGAAACGTATGATCATATAAACCCTGTGCAAAATCCATTCCATGGCCACTTTGTCGAGGACCAAATCCACCAAGTACCCTTGTGCCATCGGGCGCTCTTCCAATACCCCGAATAGATTGTATAGCTGTGGCAGCCGTAGCCGTGGCCGTAGGTATAAGCTGACTTGGGGACTGGAGGCCAAACAATCTCCTGATTGCCCCATTGGGAGAATTCCCGCGCCAACTATTAGTAGTAGGTGGAGATGGCCCCCTGGTGAATTGAGCAGACGCAGCCATGGCTTCCGGGGTGCCAAATGATGGGACCCCGGGGGGAGTAGGTATCCTTGTCGGTGGTGGAAAGGGAGGTTGATGAACCCTTACAGCTGGTACGTTCCCAGGCCACTGAGGGGTTGCGGCACTTCCGTCAAAAGTATCGAGTGAAATAGCCCTGCGGCGTGTGGGCGGAAGAGTGGCCATTTCCACTGACAGTTCACCTTCCGGGTGTGAATATGGTTTGTATAAACCATCAGTAACGAATTCGTTGCACCACCGAAAGCCCTCTCTCCTTTGTCCTGGGATTCTGCCATTTCGCGTCTGAGGGACCGAGTCATCCTGAGACGAGCCCGATGGAAGAAACATGGCTATATGCGAAGCCAATTCCTCTTCAACAGGTTGGACATCGGGAACTTGGTGATCATCGTTTGGCGTAGGGTACGTGTCAGCAGTGACTATGAGTTCCTCATCACTGTAAAGGGTTCTCGCGTCGTCGTCGGGTGATGTTGAAGTAGAGTTGTAAGCATCGCTAACATGTGGTGCAGTGTCTGACCTGGAATAAAATCTGGCGGTGCTGGGGCCGGGGCCCGCTTCCGGGTCATCATCGCATGGCCCTCGGCTCTGTCTCTGTCGGAATGCCATGAAGGAGGGAATAATAAGAGCTGGTCAGTGGGAAGGGAATGGGATATTTGAAGGAAGAGGAGGTGAAGGAGGAGGTAATCGAAGAGAGAAAAGGAGGTCAAGGTTGGTCAACGAGATCGCGCCTGCCGCCACATGCAATTATCATACAACTAAAACAAGGAAAGAGTCGAGTCTATATATGTACAGTTACAGTAAAAGTTTCCGGGAAAATCGGGTTGAACAGGTCATCATCATAAGGGGGTGCCAATGGGACTTGGGCCAGGCTTGCCCGTCACCTGCGCATGCTCCTTTTTGAGGGCTCGCAACAGTCCTTCGATTCTGCGGCGCTCTTCTTGTTCCGCCTGTGACCAGAGTTAGTATTGCTTTGAAAAGAGAGAGAAAAAAAATGTTGTGGTGGAAAAGTAAACTGACCTTCAGAATCTTCATGTTCTCGTTGCGAGTATCACGCATCATCTTCTTAAACTCGTTCTTCAATACCATAGTGGAAGTGGTCTCGAGGGTTGGATCGCGGCCCATCGACGTCGGACTGCTGAGGTTCATCCAGCTGATACGTTCCTCGCTCAGCTGCTGCTCCAGTTGCTCACTGCGATCCCGCAGACTATCAATCACGCCCTCGAAACGTTCCCGTTCCTTCTCGAACTCAATGCTGGCCTTGGTCATTGCCTCGTAATCATCAATGGTTTCCCGAAGCTCCTTCTCAAGAGTGTCAGCTCGTTGCTGGAGATCACCGCCGCCGCGTTGGCTCTTGAGAGCGGCAAGCTCTTCGGTAAGTTCAATGTTGCGGGTGTTGAGGGCATCGATCTCGTTCTGGAATTCAGGATTGGCGGCCGCTTCTGCTGCACGCTGTGCCCGTGTACCATAAGCACCATCCAGCTCAGCCTTGACCATGGTAAGTTCGGTCGTGATTCTCACAACCTCGCCCTCCATATCAGTCATCTCATTTTGTAGGCGGGTGCTGTTCTCTTCGGCTTGGATACGCTGGTCGACAGCCTCTTGCACACGCGCATCGACTTCTTGTAGACGAGACTCGGCCTCCTGGGCACGGGAAGCAGCTTCCTGGAGACGGAATTCGGCTTCTTGTGCGCGAGACTCGGCTTCCTGCACACGAGAAGCCTCCTCTAGTCCGCGAGAATTGATGGTCTGAAGATGGGACTCAGCCTCTTGCAGGCGAGACTCGGCTTCCTGTAGACGAGACCCGGTTTCTTGCAAGCGGAATTCAGCTTCCTGTGCACGCGACTCGGCCTCCTGCACACGAGAATCGGACTCTAGTCCACGAGAAGTAACCGCTTCCATGCGGGAGTCAGAATCGCTACGAATCTGCTGGATATCAACCTCGAGCTGTGTGACCTGGCGCTCAGCACGATCACGAGCCTCTCTCATTTCCTCGATTTGAGCCTCGGATTGGGACGCCTCATACTCGGCGCGGTCGCGGGTTTCCCTCATTTCCTCCGTGCGAGCATCGGCCTCGCGGTGTAGCGACTCCACAACACTCTGCAGACGTGCGATCTCGCCTTCGGCCTGGACCAAAGAGGCCTTGGCTTCGTCTTGGGAAGAACCGTCATGGCGCATGGCCTCCAACTGTTGCATGACGACATCAAGCTCGTCCTGGGCAGACTTGCCATCTCTGCGTGCGTGGGACAATTGTTCAGTCAGATCGCCGATGTGAGCATCACGCTCGGCGTCGGACTTGGAGTTGAGCTCGCGTTGCTGTTGGATCTGCGTTGTCAGAATGCTCTTCTGCTCAAGCAGTCCGTCTACCCGGCTTGCCAACCCATCGACACCGGTTTGGAGATATGACAGTTGTTCCTCTAACCCATCACCATCGTAAGCAGAGGGAGGCGGCGGGAGTGTCGGCGAGCGAGTTAATCCAAAGCGGTCAACAATGTTCTGGAGACGCTCGTTGACGTCGGTGATCTGTTGCTTCCAGGCCCCCTCAATCTCCGGAGCCGGGGCTGCACCAGAAGCGGAGACACCCACCGCTGCAGCGGCTGGGCGCGAACCCAGGGTGTTCAAGCTATTCTCAAGGTATACCAAGTGCGCCTCAGCGGCAGATGCGGGATCGAGGGATCGGTTCGCGGACTTGGGGGGGAGGATCAACAAACTCGTCCGGTGTAGCTTCAATCATCATGTTGCACATGCGCTCGCTGAGTTCCTCCAGTCTCCTCTGGGTGGCTTCTGCGGCCTCCGAGGATAGCCCAGACGATGGAGCATTGACCTCGATCCTTCCTTTCACGCCATAGTTATCCAAATGCTCGGGTGTGCGGTAGAGACTGCGGTCGTCGAATTCGTGGCCATCGTAAAGTTCATCGGACGGTGCATCAAGGTTCTTTGGGCCCTTTCTCATACCCTTATGGGTCATCTGCAGGACACCCGCGGTATGCTCTAGCAGGCGCTGACCGATCTGCTGAGACCTGCGCTCGAGCTTCCAGAGCTCCTGGGCCAGGTCCTCGCACTTGCGCTGGCTCATTGCCAGTTCCGAATCGCTCTTGTCCAGTATGTCGGTAGTTCCATTCTTCCCAAAGATACTGCGGCTTCTGCGGTGTGATTTGGAAGATCCGTTGACGCCGTATTCACCGCTATCCCGGGGGCTGGGGGGACTGTAGAGTCGACCGATTGACTGAGCAGCGTCGCGCAGCTTGGTCTCGAGGGCCAGCTTGCGTTTTGAGCCTTCGATTCGACTGGAGAGTAGTGTGCGTTCCTTCTTCAAGTCCTCCACTTCTTCAAATGACAGTATCTCGAAGTTGTTGCTGTCCCCTATCGCGGTCTCGGTCAACAAGTACATGGTGACGGGGTCGTTGGTATTGACGAGGACTGAGCTGCGCGGGTGAGCGGCATTGAGCTGTTTGACGGGAAATCTTCTGTTAGCTTTGGAGAGGCTGCTGAGTTGGTGGGAGCCCTGAGTATGGGGGGGTTCCCCTTACCGGGTTGTACCGCGATCGGTCGTCATGTTGAGGGTGGACAGCATCACGGTAGCCGTCGACGAGGGATTTCCCGATGGGAGCATTGGCATCGGAGATGGTGGCGGTGGAGAGATAGCGAGGGTCGCCATAAGAAGACTGGCTGGAGCGAAGGCTGATATTCATGATGGGGGGAATTTAGGCGCAAAGGAATGTAATACAGCCCGGGGGGGAAATATGTGGACACTCGGGGGGTTTCAGGGATTCAAGAGTGGGCTTCGCACATCCTGAAATTCGTGACTAGCAGGTAACTGATCGGTAGTCAAGTCCACAGGCGATGGGCTCAAACTCGAGAAACCGGGTGAATAGAGAAGGTGAAGAGTCAAGCGCAAAAAAAGAAGATGGCGGGGAGGGAAAAGACCAGCCGCGCGATCTGCGGATGCCTCAGCCACACTTTTAAGGTACTCATGACCATATATGATTATGATTTTGATCATGATCATGATCATGATCTATTTGATATCTACTCTATGGATAATGTCAACTACCCCAGATAAATCATCCGTGGATCAGGGGCCTCGTACCGGGTGATCCAGTTCATGGTTACCTCTTAGCCTGGTTTCACATTAAAACGAGGAGCCAAAACACCACGGAACTCATTTCTCCTCCGACTCCTTTTTAAGCGAAGCCCATGGCGTTGGCACATGCCTAGGGTAGTATGGAGAAGATAATAAATAAGGTCTAGCTGAATCTGGGGGTACCTGACGTATACCACTTAGACCGGTGGGGTTGCCTGTACCGGCCATGTCATTCACGACGCAAAGACGCAAAGCCCCAAAGCCTGGGGGAGAACCGGAGGAAGCTAACTGGAGATGGATTCGAAGGTTCCTTTGTGTCCGGATCTTTATCTACTGACTGATTTCCCCCTCTTCCTTTCCCCTTCCCTTCCCTTGTCATGCTGATGTCTGATCTCCGCCATGGTCCCCAAGCCTCCAGACTCTACCTTGTCGTCAACCCCACAACCCCAGTTTAGAGTCTACAAACGACGTTTTTGGGGTTTGGCACAGCTGGTTCTACTCAACATCGTCGTCAGTTGGGATGTATGATATGCCTATGCCTATCCTATGCCTATGCCTATGCATATGCCTATGTATAGCCATCTCTTGCTGACCACTGTATCCTTCCATCATAGTGGTTAACCTTCTCTTCCATCTCCACCACTACCGCCGAATACTTCCAAGTCTCTGAGAGCGCCATCAATTGGCTAAGTACTGGCTATCTCTTTGCCTTTTGTGTCGCAAGCCCGTAAGTATATCCATCGATATATACTACTAGTAGAGTATACCGCCCATCCATTTATTGCATCAACCTCGCTCACTCTGTGTCACAGGTTCGTCATTTGGGTCTTGAACAAAGGCGGCCCCAAACCAGCCATAATTACAACGGCCTCGCTCTTACTCGTCGGAAACTGGCTGCGCTATGCAGGTACCAAGGCGAATGGAGGCATCTTTGGCCTGACCATGTTTGCCCAGATCCTGATTGGCCTGGCGCAACCCTTCTGCTTATGCGCGCCCACTCGATACAGCGATCTATGGTTTTCGGATAAAGGTCGCACGAGCGCAACTGCTGTCGCCAGTCTAGCCAACCCTCTAGGCGCGGCAATTGGACAATTGGTCGGTTCGGAATGGGCAACCAAGCCATCCGATATCCCCAATATGGTCCTGTACATCTCGATTATTGTGAGTTCAAGTTGGATGTTGGAAATCACCCAGGAAAACTAGTACCTACTACTACGAGTATGCAAGCCCGTGGAACACTTTCGCTAACGATCCATTGAATCAAATTAGTCGAGTGTTGCTGCGATCCCATCCTTCTTCATCCCTGCGGCACCTCCGACTCCCCCCAGCGCATCATCCGCCATCCCGCGAACCCCATTGCGACTCGCGACTCGCCAACTCCTCGGAACGCTAGAATTCTGGTTAATTCTAGTTCCATTCGCCGTCTACGTGGGTTTCTTCAATAGTGTCTCATCACTATTAAACCAAATCCTTAGCCCATACGGCGCATCGGAGACAGACGCAGGTATCGCAGGCGCCATCCTAATCGTAGTCGGTCTCGTCACCGCAGCCATCATGTCGCCCATCACAGACAAATACAAGCATTATCTGGGCTCAATCCGAGTGCTAGTTCCCATCGTGGTAGCCTCCTACATCGGACTGATCTTCGCACCATCCAGTTCGGCCGGAATTGGACCCTCGTACGTCGTTATGGCGTTGATGGGCGCTTCATCGTTCGCACTACTTCCCATTGTGCTGGAGTATTTGGTTGAGATTACGTACCCATTCTCACCCGAGATTGGATCGACCATTTGCTGGACAGGTGGGCAGTTACTCGGTGCATGCTTTATTCTCATCCAAGATGCGCTCAAGGCGAGTGGAGATGCGGATCCGCCGTTCAATATGCGCAATGCGTTGATCTTTGCTGCTGTTGTTTGTGCGGTTGCTGCTCCGTTCCCGCTTTCCCTTGGTCTCTTTGGTCGTGTCGTAACTCGTCGTCGTCTGGAGATTGATCGTGGGGTTGAGTTGTCGGCTGCAGATGTTGGGTTACAGATTAACTCCAATGATGGTCCCGAGGAGGAGTTGGCTCCGGATAAGGCTTCGGCGGCCTATCGAGAATCCGGGTTGAAGAGTGTCTGAACGTGAATAGTAGTTCGAAGTATTTAAGGCTATTTCCGTAATTTGTGGAATTGCACATATGCACATACCCTGGGCTGATACCTTCTGCTCTGCCGAGCTTATACCCTTTTTCATGTTTATGACTTTTTTCTTCATTAGCCAGTGGTATTCAATGTGGTTCTCGCCTCTTAATTACATGACTCGGGTATGATATGGACACGGATGGCCAGGTGGCTCTGGAATGGATAGAGCAATGAAGTTGATTAGGCCGTCATCCGGGGCCAGTCACGACCCAGAGGTATTGAACCACCGCAGCGGGTGGTTATAAGCATGGATGAGCGAGCCGGGCTTGCCCCATTCGTCGAAGCCTACTATTATTTGATAGCGTGGGCTACAATGGAAGATCATATATGATAAGTCTCTTCAATCTAAACTTCCGTTTTAACAGATGAGATTCGTCTTAAAACCAAATAAATGAAACACGAGCACAGTTCGAATAGGCGGAAGACCAGCTATCTGTACATGCAAGGCAGGGAAAAGGGCGGATCTATTATCGTTTTTCCATTTCCTTCCTCCCTGCCTTGAAACACCATATGCGTACACCCCAAAACAGAGGGGGTTCAGTTCCCCTCTAATCACTTCGTGCTTTCTCTCACACACAAAAATAAAGGACATAAACGGCAGACTGTCAAGTGACCAATACGACAGTCATCAGGAGAGCGGTAATAAACTTCGTTTTTCGACGTGGCGTTCCGGAGGAGGTTCGCTCATATCAGGACCCAGTTGGGAGGGATCTTGCAGTCGAGTCGATGTGGAACAGTGGGAAATATAGCGTCGAAAAGGAGCCTGAAGATGATCCGCTTACTTGAGCTCCCTCCAGAGCTTGGGGGCGGCACAGGCGGTAGCGCAGTGGGTGAGGTGGAAGACTAAATTATGTATCAGCATGGGACATTGTCATCGATCGGGTGGATTTCCGGGTTCGCGAGGGAGTCCCGCGGTAATCAACATACACTCCTCAACACAGTCCTCCTTGACACCCTTGAAGTCATCACCCGCCTCCTCCTGGCGAGTGACGCGCTCAACGCACTCGTCGTAGTGGTGCTTGTACGGGGCACACTTGGCAGAGTTGGCGCAGTCTAGACACAATTTGGGTCAGTCATGTCTTTGATTGAGATGATACCGGATGATGTGAAGGGGTTCCGCTGCCATTGAGTCCTTGGGGGTAGATGGTGTGATTCCGACGATCCGAGCGAACGAATGCGAAACACCCGCTCGCTCAGCGCGTACAAACACCAAGACTCGCCAGCATGCAATAACAATCCTTCAATGATAATGGTATCATCCGAATGATAGAAAGTTCACTCACCCTCCTCGAGCTTAGGCTTGATGTCCTCAGGCTCATCCTCCTCCTCTTCCTCCTCTTCCTCTTCTTCCTCTTCCTCCTCGGCGGCGGCCTCCTCCTCTTCGGGGGCCTCCTCAGAAGACTCCTCAGATGGGGTCTCCTCGGCGGACTCGGACTCTTCGGTGGCCTCCTCGGTCTTCTCGGCGGGCTCGTCCTGGGGGGTGGAGGAGGTCTCAACGTCGGCGGCGGGAGCCTCAGCCTGGGCCTCGGCGAAGCCCAGGGAGGAGACGACGTCAGTGAAAAAGTCGGTGAAACCCATTGCGACTGTCAATTGGCAACAGTGACCGGAGGTCGTGGAGTAGTGGGGGGGATATGGGGTTGTAGGTAGGGGTTGGGGTTAAGTCGAGGATGTGGTTTTCCAAGCTCGGGCTGGAAAATCGGGACGCCCCGGCCGCTGCGAATTATGCCGCACGTGATTGGCTAACTACTGTTTGCTGAGAGTCGCCCATCGGAACCGGCTGCATCGGGGGGTTTATCTACGATTATGACTATGTCTGGTTATTTAAAAGTGCTTCTACTTGGTTGGGATGCAAAGTTTCTTGGTCAGGGTTCATCAATTCATAACAAAGGGGAGAAAACCGGTGCACGCCAATGCTCGCTCTCTAGTACGGGCTACCGCTTTGGAATCATTATTCGACAAATCATAGTATACAGACGAAAGATCAGGGTTATGAGTTGAGTTTTATTTCCCAGGAAACCTCTCAACTCGCCCGGCGCAGCCGTTCCTCCAGCTCAGTAGCCACACTTTGGCTCTGGACCTCCTCGTAGCAAGGCGGAGGTTCAGCGGGCTCCGGGCCCGCTTCAGATGTCGTTCGAGTTTGTTCTGGCGTCACGGGCGCTTCGCCGACAACAGTGCTGTGGCTGGAATTTCCGGGCCCCTCGTAGGCAGGCAGTTCTTCCAGATGAACCGCTGACAGGTCTACACTTCGTAGGCCACGGGCACCATCATTCTGAACCTCGACAGCTTGCTCTAGTCGCTCCTTTATTCGTTCGAAGTTGGTGTGGAAGTCAAAGGCCCCTCCCTCCTTGAAAGTCACTTTGATCTGTACGGCTGGTAGGTTGGCGGAGATGCCGCCGCCAGGGACAGGTTGGACGAGAGCGGTCCAGACATTAGGACCGAAGAAAGGCGCGGAGACATGAGAGTCACGAATGTGGAGGAGCGGAGAGGAGAAGGATTGGAGGGTGTCGGACTTTTGGGCTGGAAGGTAGACGAGCTAGTTCCACGAATGTCAGTATCAGAGCATTTCAAGTAGGGGGGTCTCTGCACGCAGCGATCAAACGAACTCGTTGGTTTGTGAGATGGATACAGCCAGCGCTGCTCTGGATTGATAAGCTCTCGGGCCCCTTGTAGTTGGGAAGCGGCGTCAGTGCAAGGCTGGTGCGGGGAGGCGAGGAGTATATCAGGCGTTCGTTAGGCAGGCGGACGAAGCCTTCCTGGTCATTCAGCATCACCCAGCTACGATGTGTTAGTTAAGCATGAGGGATGTTCTTATCTTGGCGCCAACAGTAGACTGCCAAGGGAGGAAGGGGGAACCCTAACCTGGGAACCCTTGGGAAGGCGGACTTACTTGATAGACATGCTGATAGCAGATAGTCATGCGACTGGGGTGAGGGTAGTAGGGTTGGTAGGATTGTCTTGGGGGTGGGGGAACAAATCGAGAAAGAGGATAAGCAGAAGTAAGTGAGACCAACAAAGGAACAAAGTTTGGATATTGCAGGGTCTGGAACCCTCCGCTCACCAAAGGAGGAGAGGGGAGAAAGCTGGTGGGTGGGAAGGCAAAAGAGTTGCGGGGCAGGCGGGGAATTCCATGGATACTGCTGGCTGCTGGTGTAGCTGCAGCTGTAGCTACTGCAGGGCCTTTGAGCTCCCAACAAACACTATATATGGAAAACTACATAGTAGATAGTCTATTTACATAATCCATAATCCATAATCCATAATCCATAATTCATGCCTCCATCGATATTGCTAATCTGTTGGAGAGTCACGGAGTTAATGAATAATGAATTAATGGACGTGGGGTCACTATACGGATACGGATATGAGACCGTGTTTTGAAGTTTGATATCCAAGAATGTAAATGAAATGTCAACTTGAGTTGACATGAATAGTAGTAATAGGATTGATAATAATAATATTATTATCATTATCAATAAACTACTATGTACAACCCATACTAATGCAAGTTCAACGGTTGTGGGTTCTAGAAGCGTCCGAAAAAAGACGAAAAAGACGAAAGCGCGCTAAGCTTCCCAAACTTTCCGGATTTGATCAACTTTCACCTCGCTCTTTCGCCCCCCAGTTTCTCCCTTTCTTAGTTTCTCCCCCTCTACTCTCCCATCGATAACTGCAGAGTTATCAAATCTCTTGGCTTCCTGCTACAGGTATCATAATAAAAGCGAGACGACTTCGCGCCTATCTTGTGTCGACCTCAAAACGAAGCGGGTCCAAGCTTCGCGACTAATTTATCTCCGGGGACGCCGCTCCATGTCAAACCCTCCGACCCGGAACTTCTAAACCTCCCCTCTCCTCTACGCTTCCGACCAATTGTCTTCACGAACCCTTCTACAACTAGCCATCTAAGGCACGGTCGGAACCATGGGAAGAAGCAGGCGTACATTCCACCCCTCATCGGGTGGCTGTACGACCTGGTCCTGTGGAGTTTCTCTGTGCTCATCGACCTCTTCTTCCGCGAAGTGCATCCTCGCGGATCATGGAAGATCCCTCGTCGAGGTCCTATCATTATTGTCGCCGCCCCTCATGCGAACCAGGTATGTCATGCGCGTCTTCGGAACCTTGTGTTTCCTGGTTCTTGCCCCTCCGCAGTTAAAGCTAACCATTTCGATTCCCCTAGTTCGTCGATTCGCTCGTGCTCATGCGCGTCATCCGTAGCGAGGCCCATCGCCGAATCTCATGGCTTATCGCAGAAAAGTCCTTTCGTCGCAAGTTTATCGGGCTTCTCGCGCGGGGTATTGGGACGCTGCCCGTTGCGCGCGCAATGGACAATTTGAAACCCGGTACCGGCACCATATACCTCCCCGACCCTATCAACCAACCGACCCTCCTGCGCGGTGTCGGCACCAACTTTGAAGGACCTGGATTCGAGACCGAAGGAACAATTGCTCTGCCGACCATCAACGGAACCTCCCACAGTACGGCGATCGCGGAAATTAATGGACCAGAGGAGTTGATTCTCAAGAAGCCTTTCAAGCACCGGGACGCTCTATCGCAATTGACGGGCCGCAAGGACATTGACGAGGATGGAAATTTCACCGGGGAGTCTGCCGACCAGGAACCCGAGTTTAAGGGCACCAAATTCAAGGTGGCCCCGCACGTCGACCAAACCGCGGTTTACAAGGCCGTCTTTGCCAGACTGAACGCCGGTGGTTGCGTGGGTATCTTCCCCGAGGGAGGTAGCCACGACCGTCCGTCTCTTCTGCCATTGAAGGGTAAGGCATATTCGCATATTCTGATACTAGAGTGGCTTCGTGCTAACGTATTTATTTAGCTGGTGTTGCGCTCATGGCCCTCGGCACTCTGGCGGACAACCCAGATTGTGGTCTCAAAATTGTCCCCTGTGGTATGAACTACTTCCACGCACATAAGTTCCGCTCTCGCGCTGTGATCGAATTTGGAAACCCGATCGAAGTGCCCAAGGAATTGGTAGACCAGTTCAGAGGAGGCGAGCGTCGCGAGTCTGTGGGAGCGCTCCTGGATATCATCTACCAAAGCCTTGTGGCCGTCACCGTTACTAGCCCTGATTATGAGACACTGATGGTAAGAGTCACCCTCACCTACGTTGAAATTCCGGCGATCACTAACAAATTATAGGTCATCCAAGCTGCCCGTCGTTTATACAACACCAAGGGCAAGAAACTTCCTCTTCCAATGGTGGTGGAGCTCAACCGTCGCCTCGTCACAGGATACGCGCATTTCAAGGACGACCCACGAATCGTCAGTCTTAGAAAAGGTATCGTGGACTATAACAAACAGCTGCGTATTTTGGGAATTCGAGACCACCAAGTCAACTATGCCAAATTCTCCATCATCCAGATCATCGCCACCCTCATTTATCGTCTAGGCAAGCTTGCTCTTCTTACCATTGGAACCCTTCCTGGCCTGGTTCTTTTTACCCCGGTTTTCATCGCTACCAAGTACCTCTCGATCATTAAGTCCAAGGAGGCACTGGCTGCTTCTAGCGTCAAGCTACAAGGCCGAGACGTCATGGCTACTTGGAAACTTCTTATTGCTCTTGCTTTTGCTCCGGCCGTCTACACGGCCTACACAGCCGCTTTCACCTATTGGACCTACAGGAATCGCATTCAGGGCTTCATGCCTGACTGGGTACCCCTCTGGCTGGTGGTTGTGATTGGCGTGGTTCTTTTCCCCACGATCAGTTTTGCTGCCCTTCGCATTGGTGAGGTGGGAATGGACATTATCAAGTCTCTTCGGCCTCTGGTCTTGTCACTCAACCCCTCACCGACGAACCCTTTGGTGAAGCTCCGACAAACTCGTGCAGCGCTTGCTCAGCAAGTCACTGAAGCCATCAACACCATGGGCCCAGAGCTATTCCCAGACTTCGACGCTGCGCGAATCGTTTCCGGTCCCTTCCGTGAACCAAACCATGAAGAAGCTATTGAAGATGATGAGCCAGGGCTCAAGCGTATTCAAACGGCCGATCGAAGCGAGGGATTCTCATCCCAGGAGCCTCTGCCACGCAACGAGTCATTCCACAACCTAGCCAATATCGGATTCTTCTCCACGAGACCTCCTAGCCGCAACCGGAGCCGTAGCAGCTCTGCTGGGCCCCGACCCGGCTCGCGACATGGCCTGAAGCCTCTGAGTCCCATGACTCCCAAAGATCCCTTGGATGATGTCAGTTCGCGAATCCGAGATGCCATGAGAGAGCGTGGGGAGCGCCGACGCCGACGAAGCGAGGACGGAAGCTGGGACATGGCCAGCTCGGGATCACGAACACCATCCAGTGGCGATGAAACACGAAAGGATCTATGATTTGGTGCTACGGTGGCTTCTCTTCTTCTTCTTTTTTTTTCTGTTTGGACCCTAAACTTTCTCTTGTCTTGGCGAGTGTCACAGCGGCGGTGCTTGACATCAGAGGCATCTAACCATTTGGAACCATTTGAACCATTTTGCTGCGTTTATATAACCCCTCTGCGAGATATCCCAGTTGCGTTTTTTGTCTGTTCCTGTTCCTGTTCATGAATACTCCAATGAAATAGAAACATGATTACGAAATTTACTAGTAATCATCCCTTGAATTCAGATTTCAAGTTTGTAGTTACACCGAGGCTAACCAAAGTCTTGGTGGTTCAACCGCGGACCTCGCCACCAACGGGGAATGGTGCAGCCTGGCATCGCCTCGCCATAGCCGTAGCTCTTGCGTACTATTTATTTAGTGCAAATCACAAGGAACAACTAAATACATCGCATTTCTTCTTTTCACATCTACTATACTAGTACTGTTACTATATTCTCCCATTCCGACCCCACTCGCATTCGTATCGACTCCGAGTCTGACCACGTTGCCCGCTGCATCCGTTCCGCTCTCGCCTTCCCTTTTCTTTTTTTTTTTATTTAACTTAAACTCCCCCCGCGTCACACCTAAACCCTCCGATCGTATTCAATCCTCGTTTCGCATCATGACGGACTCAATACATTTGTCTCGTCTCCGCAAGTGGTTCCTCGCCTCCCCGCCCATCGAGTTTGCCATAACCAACCTCAAGGAGCTCCTGATCGGTGCGCTTCGACAAGGTCCCATCCCGCAACATGTCGCGTTCGTCATGGATGGAAACAGGCGGTTCGCCAGATCACATGGAATTGAGACAGTGGAGGGTCATAATCTGGGGTTTGAGGCATTGGCAAGGGTAGGTGGTCTCTCCTGAGGCCGGAGCAAACAGGCTTGGCTCGAGGACTTTGCAAAGTCCAGCTTTCCACAATCGCAAAGCTAACAGATTGATTCCCTAGATTCTAGAGGTCTGTTACAAGAGTGGGGTGAAGGTTGTTACGATATACGCGTTCAGCATTGAGAATTTCAAGCGATCCAAGTTCGAGGTGGATGCGCTGATGGATATGGCGAAGGTGAAGCTTTCACAAATGGCACAGCATGGAGACCTGCTAGATCGATACGGAGCCAAAGTGCGCGTCCTCGGCCGACTCGACCTTCTCAAACCGGACGTTCTGGCCGCCGTGAACAAGGCAGTCGACTTGACCAGCCGCAATGGCGACCGCGTGCTAAACATCTGCTTCCCCTACACCTCCCGCGATGAAATCACCTCCGCCATTCGTGAGACCGTGGAAGATTACAGCACGCCTCTCAAGTCGACCAATGGAGCCGGTCGGACACCTTTCTCCGAATCTCATATCACGCATAACATCCGGGCCCAGAACCTGGGGACGAAACACCACGATACGAACAGCGACTCCGACTCTATATCTGCCGAGTCTTCCACAAACGAGGACGACCCCATCCTACGAAATGATTACCCCCACCGAGTCTATGAGTCTGGCTCGTCATTCTCTTCCTCCACCACTCTTCACCTCGGCCAGCAAGATGGACATCCCCAGAAGGGCGCGACACAAGGAAACTCGCCCGAGCCGACATTCATCTCCCCCGAAACAATTACACGCCAAACTCTGTCCGATCACATGTTGACCAAGGGTACTCCGCCTCTGGACATGTTAATCCGTACATCGGCCGTCGAGCGACTAAGCGACTTCATGCTTTGGCAATGCCACGAGAACACCGAGATCGTCTTCTTGGACGTCCTGTGGCCCGAGTTCGATCTCTGGCATTTCCTGCCCGTCATGCTCGGCTGGCAACGCCGCATCTCCAAGTCTCGTCAGAACCCGGAGGCTGAGGGCAACTTTGCCGGAGACAGCCCGGAGTCTAGCGAGGAGGATTTGGATGTCAGGGTCTTGCGTCAAGGCAAGGTGAAGGGCATTTAGAGCATGATGCATTTATTCTCTTCCCTCTTTTTATTATTATTTCCGACTACCCTGTTTACTCTTTTATTTTATCAGCATCCAGCGGTGTTCGTGGCGTTTGGCGACCCCGACTGATCATCCTGTTTCCATATACCAAGCATTTGCAGCATTGCCTGCCATTGTCTATCTATGCATATCATTATTCACAACACATTATCCATAACTGCATGAGAATAGAGTGCCTTTTCGCCCGTGGTTCGGGTCTTTCCAAACTTAATAGTTCGAGTTGACTACTTTCGTATGCAATACTAGTATTGAGTAAACAGCTGCAATGCTGCAACACTTTAAGAAAACTGCCAGTAGCTACTTCAAGCTGTCTATATTGAATACACACTAGTACTAGTATTATAGATATTCAACAAAACTTATTCTCATCAGGATCTTCTTTCTTGGATTCATTATCATGAAAAATCACTTTCCTCTATCGTATCATCATTGCATACCCCGGTCCAAGTCAACACCAGTGCAAGCAGACCGGAGCTCGAAGAAAAAAAAAAGAGCAAACACAAAAAAGATCTACAAGAAGAAAACAATAGAAAAGTCCAAGGGTAGACGTAGATGTAGATGCACGGAATACCGTCACGGGGAATGGCAGTGTAACCAGGCAAATCACCACATAGCACAAGCATTGCCCTCATCGATCCGAAGCAGGCAGAATGGCAAGGACTATGTGATAAAACATCGGGAGCCAGGATGGTATGGGTCGGTATCGAAATTTCTATTTCCATGGACGTTTTGCTGTTGTGTATTCTTGCTTTTGCGTTGCAAGGGGAAGAAATATGTGAAATGCAGATGGGGGGGTCATTTTCCACATCATGCAGTTGGGATAAAATCACGGAGGCGATCAGAGAATAGTGCCAAACCTAAACCAATAAGGAAAAGGGAAATAGTCAGTAACGGGTATCGAAGCAACGAAGATGAAGAGGAGGAAGGTTTGGATCTATAGAAGAGCGAAAAACCCGCGCATTGGTCAAATGCCAGGTTCGAAGAGAAAAAAAACCAGGGACGAGTGCTGGGAAGGATATTATAGAGATACATACCCGAAGGTCTGCTTGATGCTGCGCACGTAGTACAGCTCCCAATTCTGCTTGGTGACATCCTCCTGACCGACAGGAACGCCGGACCAGGACACACGCAGCTGGGTAACGCCGTCAACGTCGTTTTGATCGAGGTTGATCTCGAGGGTGCTGTAGTGGTCGGCGGGCCACTGAGCGAGGCGCCACTTCTGAATGATCTGCTTGGGGGCATCAAGCTTGACGAACTCGCCGGAGACGTTGCCATCGAAAATGGCGAACTTGCCGCCGACCTTGGCGCCGTCCCAGTGACGGGGAGCACCGCGGGTGAAGGCGGCGATACGCTGGGGGTCAGTGAAGGTGTTGTAGAGTTCCTCGGCGGTGGTGCGCATCTCATCTGAGGCGGTCACGGTGGTGGTGTTCACGGCGACCTTGCCGGTGGTCGAGGTGGTGGTGGTCGCGGCGGGAGCATCCTCCTTCTTGTTGCCCTGGGGGTGGACGGGGGCTTTGGGGAAGCCGGCGGACGGGTTGACGCCGGGCGCGTGCTGGAGGTCCTTTGCGTGCTCGGTAACCAAAGCGTTGGTGAGCTGGGCCAGGGTTTGGCGGAGTTGAGGCAGGATCTTCGACCGGACGAGGTCCTTTACGGGCTGCTTGGAAGGGGCATCTGCGTGGTTCTCAATCTCGAACTGGACAAGAAAAACCCATTGATTAGCCTTGGGAAACTTCCACGGCTCTGGTCCTGATGTGCCAGAAGATTCAGGGGTTCTAGGGAACGTACGACGTACTCATCTTCCTCGGTGTCGTGGGCTACCTCGGGAATGCTGATGGAGCCGGTGACATCCTCCTCGTCCTTGGTCTTACCTATTGAACAGTCTCAGCTGCCAGTTCCCTCGAATTTGGAGAATTGCAATCTACAAACCTGAATACTCTAGCGACAGCTTGACATCGTACAGGGTGATGACTTTTCCCTTGCGCTGGCTGACGTCTACGTCGCCATCCATGGAAGTCACCTTCTCTACTTTGGCGGACACGCCACCTTCCTCGGCGCTGAGCACGGTGATGTTTTGGTCAAGCCAAGCGCGAGCCCAGGGTGCGGCATCCTTGTTCACCCAGTGCCAGTTGTTGGGGTTGTGAAGAACCATGATGAATGTTGACTATGGAAGAAAAAATCTCTGAAAGGGATGATTGTGATTCGGGAGGGCCGAAAGAATTCTTGCTCCAGCGAATCTCGCCTTGTTTTTGTTTGAAAAAGTGGAAGAGTGGGGTTTCTCTTGGTTCCTGTTTTAAGCCCAAGCGATGCTAGGTTCTGATTGATTTCAAGTTAGCGAAAAAGTTCTCGCAAAAGCTTGCTTGGCGGGGGTGATGAAGAAGAATTAAAACAATTGCGTAATGCAAAGCCACAAAATTTCAGGTCCTGGAGCGTATATTTCCGGACGAAAAGCTTTATCAGCAGTGCGAATGAATAAATCCATCCGCCTCTGACTGGTGCCAGCTGTAATCTCATCATTTGAGTGGGTGGGTGGGTGTGCCTTTTTGCACCCAGGTGGGTGAAAAAGACACAATGGGGAAGGGTGCAGGTTGGTGAGGGCAATTGAAGTAACAGGAAAACTTACAATTCAAACGAGTATATCCCCAGTGAGCCGAGGATCAGCGATTGTGTGTAGAAAGGAAAAGGGAGTGTCAAGGGAAGAAGAAGGATATTTGAGCGCGGAAGACGGAAGCTTCTAGAGAGCGCACGTGACCTCGGTGGATCCCACTTGCGCCAAGCCAAGTCCACCTTTGGAAAGTGTGCAGAACTATACGGAGTACTTCCTCCGTACTACCGGCCTATAATCAGATCTTTGAAGATCGAATGGTTCAGTCAATAATTACTATGTATAAAAGCCCGGTTTGCAGCGAACGAATGGGGATATCATAAAAGCACAATGTCATCACAAAGCTTCAACCCGGAACTTCCTCCTGCCCTCTCTATTCTTGTTCCAGTCGCTCCAGATCTTCCCACCCATCTTCACCAAGTAGCTGTCCTTTCACTCGCTCTCGCAACTCTTGAATTTGACTACCGAGAGCCTCTGTCCATTGTCCCTCGACAGTGGCAACTTTCTCTTTCAGGTCCGAGGTGAGATTAACTTCCTCGTCGGCACGGCTTTGCTGCATGCTCCGACGCACGCCTTCTTCAGGCTCGCCTTGCCATATCCGCTCTGCTTCGGCAAGATTCCTATTCGCCCGCATCATGGCCGACCGCACCTCATGCAACAGACAAAGGAGGTTGGTCTGTGACTCAATGTACTGATAGCTCGATTTCTCGGCATGTGACAGCAAGGTATAGAGGTACTGCAGCGGGTGGGCGTGGTAGCTTGGATTCTCTTCATACTCTTTGGAAGGAATCTGGACTTGGAAGCCATGGAGATTTTCGGGGATTTGTTGAACCATGACTAACAGTGATGGGGCGATATCCCAGAATGCCGAAAGCTGGATCTCCACTCCACGAACAACGTTTTGCTCGATGACGTCCAGGAATGATCCGAGGCGAGTAAGTGCCGATGTCTCGTACTGCACGCGTCGATCCATAGTATCCTTTGAGAAGAACGCCTGCGTTTCCCAGAGCTTTTCGTTGTTCTTGCTCTGCTGGTACGGCAATAGTGCAAGGGCCTTGTACTTGTCATCGCGGCCGCTAACTAGATCAAATGCTTCTCGGTGAAGTTGCTCCCGTGCCTCGAATAACCATTTCAGCTGGGTCAGCTTCTCCAGAAGTTCAGGTTTCTCATCACCCTCTTCCTGAGTCTGATCTGGGGTCTCATTTCGTGCATCGTCGAATAACCTGCTACTCAGCTCGTCGATACAAGCGGTCGCTTTATCAATCCGATCCGTAAGTATGACGTGCATTGGCTTCAGAACAATATCTTGGTATGTATCGAGTTGGCGTTTTGCTAACCCCCTTTCAAGCCTGTTCTCCTCGTCCAGCATGGCTGCTTCAGCCTCCGCGGCCTCCGCAAACGTGAGGCTTCCTTCCTGGATCTGGCTTTGGATATTGGCCTTGAATTGACGACGAGCCTCTTTTGACTGGCCTTGCTGCTCTTGTGACATTCTTTCAACATCCTCCTGGTATCGCTGTCTTGTAGACTTGATCTCCGAGAGGTCGGTGATTGATCGAACAATAGTCCTGTATGACACAAGGTCCGGGTGGCTATTGTTGACTGCGGGATAGTGGCGTGGGTATGGAGGTGGCAGGGTAATCAGACGTGAGATATCCAGCTTTCGACTCGCTTGGAACTGCGCGTATGGGTTTCCATTCCTGTTTGTTGAATAAGGTGATATTTCATCGTGCAAGCCAACCTTCTCCGGCGGATACTCATCAGGTCCGTAAGCCGCAAACTCGCCAGTATAATGCGCGTCTGCATCATCAAGTTTCGAGGGTGTCTTTTCCGAGTCCCACTGCATGCCGTCTCGAGGCAATCCCATATATTTTGATTCTCGTTTTGATCGCTGCACTCGCCTCCCAGCTTCGTCGCTGCTAGAACCTGTTTTTGATTCCCACCAACGACTCGGTGCGCGCCCTCGAGAACTCTGTTCATCATTACTCATACCGAGACTAGCAATTGGCGATAAACAGGGCTGATAGTTGTTCCACCAAGCAGAATCAGGTCGACTTGTTCGGTTCTGGGGTATTTCCAGGGTTGGAGCTGGCCTCACTGGCTTTGCTTTTTGGATAGGCTGCACCGCAAAGAGCTTGCTAGAGACATCCTCCACGACGGCCGGATTTGACTCCCAGACAGCAGCATACCGAGTACGGCGTATCTGTGACTCGTTGATCATGAACTCAGTGAAAACGTTCAGGGCCTCAGCTTCGTTTGTCGCAGCTGATTCTCTTTCGATAAACTCCTTGTGTCGTTGTATAGCGTCCTGTACAAAATTGGTGTCTTGCTTCATGATCGATTCCAGAGATTGCTGTTGCACCGCCTGCTGTCCTGGGATTCGGCGTGGTGACAATGGTTTCATACTCGAAATAGCTTCATTGGGAATATGCAAGATGTGAGAGACAGGGCGTTCTTCTGGTCCCCTAGAAAGAGCACGGGGGCGTGATTTGAGATCATTTGCAGAGTTCAAAGGCGGGGTGGGCAATGATTTTGGAGGGACTGCCCGTGGAGCTTCTCTTGGATATGATGAGGAAGATTCGCCTTTTGGTGAAAATGGTGGTGTTTGCGCGAATGCTGCTGATGGCGCAACAGGGCTTGAATCCCACTTGGGTGTTGCATGCGAGGATTGGTCAGAGAAAAGGCCACCAGAAGATGCGCGAGATCGAGATCCAGTACGTCCATCAGATCCCATGCTGCGACTACTTTGTGGGGTGGCCCTGGAAGATGCAGGCTGGCGCATATGCTCCGGACTGGCGGTTTCATGGTCTGGAAAGACCAGATTCGATGGTTTGATTTGCTCCAGCGAATCCGCCCAGGGATTCGCACAGCTAGAAACGGCACTGCGGATCTCTTCAACATTTTGACTCTGTTGGTTGCGGCGCTCAATTCTTCTTTCTCGGATTCCCTTGGCGCTAGGGTCTCGGACTGCTGAGCTGCGGAAGAGACCACTTCCTCCACTTCCTGGTGTCCTTTGAGATTGCGATGGATCGTTTGAATTGGGATCATGAACTGGATCCTGATGTGCTCGGGCCTTGGTGGTATCAATAGAGAGAGCCTCCGTCTCGGCAGTCGGGCGATGGTTTATGTATTCTTCATCTACCCAGTCGGCCGGGGTGGGTGGGATACTACCAAGACCACTACCGAATCCCGGTGCTCTGGGTCGATTTCTACTTGGTCCATGAACCGTTCGTGCAGAAGATGACTCGGATGATCCGCTCACACTGACTGATTTTGCAGGAGGTGGTCCTGGAGGAGGGGGTGGGAGTGGCATGCCAGGTCCCCAGCCACTGTTCGATGGAGAGTGGTTTCTCGTCTGACTGATTTCCCGCGAACTCCCTGCACTACTGACAACGGCCCCAGCCGATGCGGCCCGCCTGGATGCAGGCGGTCTTTCGGGTGCTCCCAGATGACCAAATGACGGCCCGTTCGTGTTTCCTCCCAGGGAAGGTGATGGAAAGGGTTGCTCGTAGTTGGACGATGATACTCTGGGTCTATGGTGCGCCCCAGCCAAGTTGTAAGGCGCTGCCTGGTATACATCGACGCGACTTTGCGAAACAGATCTCGATGCTGGATGACCTTGCGGCGGAGGTGGCGGCGGAGGTAATGATTGTCGAGAAGGTCCGGTTTCGTTTCCATACGCCATGGAAACTGGACGTTGACGCTGCACTGAGCGCCTTTGATAGTCGGCCGGGACTTCAAATTCATTTTCTCGCGCAAAGCTCTGGGGTGGTGATGGGGCCGAAGACACGGCGATATTCGGGTTTGGCGATCCATATGCATCTGGCGACCCTCGATTTGGGTTGTTTGGAGGGGAGTACGGTGGGGGAGGTGGTGACAGAGACTCATCTACATTGGCTGTTAGCCAAGAAACTCTTATTTTCCATACCATGGGAAGGAATACCGACCTGCATATGTCCTCTGCTGCGTTGCGACTCGAGGTGCACTGCTAGACTGGTGATAGGGGGGCTTGAGCAGGGCCACCGCCCATGGGACCCCAGTCCTGTGGGTTATAGGGAACACTGTAGCTCGCAGCCTGTCTGGATGCCATTGAGGATGAAGATGACGCAGATCTTCCATTTGCTGGGGAGGCGACATAGGGAGAATGACTCTGTATAAATGGGCTCGACAGCGATGTAGTTGACAAAGGTGTATTCACGGCGTGGAACTGAGGACCGCCTAAGGATGTCGTCAAGAGAGGCGGCTGAACTGCAAATTCTCGACGGCCGGGTGAAGGTTGATTGCTAGTCGTCGACGACGACCAGCCGGCATACTGAGGATTCATCGGTTGTTCGTTTGCCGCATAGTTAGAAGCCGTCCAGCTAGAGGAACAGGAATCAGTGTCGTGCAAATGTCTCGCGTGTTGGATAGGAGACTGAATGCAACGAGAGCCAAGAAAGCCAAGCGTACCTATTCATCGTGGCGTGTCTATCAATCAAGACAGAGCGCGGATTGAGGCCATAATTTCCTCGTGTCGGGCTGGGAGATGGAATAACAACTCGAGAGCGACAGGAGCAGGACAATCTGAGGCTCTCTGTGACCAGGAAAACTGAAATTCTCTGGAGATTCGCCGCAACTGTAGCGGAGAGCTGAGAATGAAAGGGAACAAACCCTCAAACCCTAGGCCATAGGGCCAATTACTGCAGACCCAAGAGCACGGCACGCACTCCACCGAGAGAGGGGGCGATAGCTAATTTTGGAACACAAAGAAGAGTGTAATTCTCCTCGTGGGGAGGACAGTCACAGCGGGGAGGCCCCATCTGCAGCTTTGAGGTTCTCATCACACGCGGACCCGAGTCCGGCGCTTATCGTCGTCGCTGAGAGGCTCAACGCTGTTGTCCCCGCAGACACGGGCCCCGGCCTGGACAAACCAGCGTCCAGCACGACGAATTCGGCCAGTTGATCTGTTTAGAAAGGGTTAAGGGCCTGCAGGGGTCCTGCTAATACAGGGAAATGGCATGAGGATCCCTCCTGTGAACAGTAATAGACTTCATCCTTCTCGAATTGTGCCAGACCCTCATCCTCGCACCAACTTAACTTAGTAGAGAGGGTCTCAATTTAGGGCAAATGTCTTTCAAGAGTCCTTCCCAGGATAGACTCATGAGTGGAGACCGAAGTTACCAGCCCCATGGGGCTTCAACTATATAGGGGCCGCATCGCATCATCCAGTTATCCTAAACATTTACAAGGCTGGCATGGTTCGTAGCATCTCGATCGAGGTACCGCATCGCTACAAGCAGAGTGCTGTGGGCAGACCACACCAAGGTATGCCAGGGAGAGATGACCAGGATACTCAAAAATAGATAGAAATCAAATTGTATTGTTAAGCAATAGTATAAGGCTACTGCACACTAATGCAACCTCGAAACCAGGGAGCTTCCCTGGCCCCAACTCGGCCGGGAAAGTACCGAGGCCGAAGGGCTGCTTGGCATATGGACGATCAAGAGCTGGAGTTCACTGGTCGATATTAGTGTCAAATTCAACACGGTTGCGACCGACAAAAATATGTTTGAAACAAAAAATATCAGATAATATGCCCTGTCACAGGCGGTGGTCATCAATATAAATTCCTTATGTTGACCGTCGTGATAATTGAGTAAATCATCATATTATAAAAGCAAAACAAAACAAAGCAAAGCAAAAGCCAAGACACTCACGTTAGTTGTTGTCGGCCAGATGGGAATCGAATGCCCATCTGGAGATTAGTGTCGAATTCTTCTTCCGCCCTATTCAAAATCCATCAGCATCGGGGACCGGCTGGATATTGAAGGCATCGGCGGTGTGCTTTGGGATCGATCAGACATGACAATTCTCGTCTTGGCCAGCAAGCTGACTTGGACATATGCTTGTCTTTTGGTAAAGTCGATTCATCATGAAAGGTTGAGGGGGAGAGAGAGGATGCGGAGTGACATACACCTACACTCGTGCAAAGGCCGAGGCCAAGCTCACAGCCCATGGAGATCACTGTACCAGATGAATATTAGTCACTGGTTGTCAAATGGCAATAATTTATTATTCAGAGGAAATGTATGTCAGAAAGGCATGAATGGTATTATAAAAGATGTTGTCTGCATGGATAACTCCGATAAGACTCGTCATCTAAAGGGAATCATCATAAAAGATGGGGAAAGGCAAAAAAGAATAACAATATTCGCATACCTCTTGGGATGTTCTACGATTGGATGCAAAATCAATTCGGACCAGCGACTGCTCAATATGATTAGTGACTCGTCATGAAATGATGGTGTGAGTCAATGATGATAATGAGGTATGTCTCAGTGGGCGAGGTTTTCTAGGCCTGCCACAAAATGGGCGTATCCTTCATGACCGGACGTTATAACGACCGTCGGAGCCCAGTGCCGTTTCATCTTCGTGACGGGGTGGAGTGGGTGAAGTGTTTGAATGAGCCGAGGGCTTACCATTCGCAGTGCCGATGAGGGCATTGTGTATCTATCTTCAAAGCAATCAGCATAAATCCAAAATAATTTCCTGGATAAGAATGCAGAGGTATGAATGGGGTTCAGGAATAGCCATTTGTTATCGTCAATGATCCGAAGACCTTGGACGGTAATTTCCAGCGTATATAATACGTGTGCGTTCATCATGTAAAGGTGCAGTAGCGGAGGGGAAATCGCAATAAGAAGGTACTCACCATCAACAGATGTTCAATTGGCGAGATGTCAAGTTCGGTCAAGTTAGTCCTATTCGAGGCCAGTTAGCGTACTGTCTCGGTCCACAACCAGATGTGACAAAATCAGTGTAGGTGTGAAGGTGATCAGCCTGACGTGCAAATAACAGAAGTTTCATTCCCTTTATGGGTCAAAGACTCTAGTTTGAAAATGGTTATAGGTATCATCATATAAGAGAGTACCGTAGAATAGTGTAGGAAAAAAAACGAGACCATCGCTTACCATTTTTGCCTGGTGCTGCTGTCGACAGTCGGTTAGTGACAGAGCAGGCAGTACACCATGGAGAGACCATGGTCAAAACAAAAACACTCAAGCTTGAAACCCAATGGCAAAGACATTGAATGCCAGAGGGGGACTCGCTCTCGGTTGGGGGAAGGGAAAAGTCAAAGTTCGATTTTTCGAGCTTTTCAATGAGCTCCGCCCGGAAGAACATCGAGCCGGCCCTAGCTTCCTTTGTTGACGCCTCAGGCAGAAACCTCGGTTAGCTTATGTCAGGCCTTGCCGCCTTATATATTAGGCACCCGGTATATTGTCCATTTATCAAAACTTTGCTTGTATTAAGAGTGCTATATGCAGATAATTCGAATATTCTATTCTAAGCTTTCGCCTAACCAAGTACGGTGTACCATATCAGATAATTCGCTGACTTAGGATCGCGAAATTCTCTGCTCGCGAGTCCAGAAATGCTGCAAAACAACAAGCATGAGCAGCATGCACACATCAAGCGCAATGGTCCAATTGTACCCAATGAGGTATCGAGGTGCATCGACAGTTTTCCAGACGCTATATAAGTTATTAGCCTTGTTCGCAGCATAGACAATTTGATTCACTTACAAAAGAGGAAGCCAAGCTCCGAAGGTGTTACCAATGGTGTTCATGGCACTGATCACCAACGCGCGCTCCTCTGCGCTGTGAGCACAAATTTCATTGGCCCACGCATAGATGATAGCCGCAATGCCGTCGGCTGTTCCAGAAAGAAAAAATGCGAAGAACTTGAGTCCGACCGGTACGTTCCAGATTGCCAGAACAACACAGGCAAAGATGTTGAGCACCGCAGTAACGGCGATGAGGCTAGCTTTCGCGTTGTATACGTCAGAAAGCACAGCGCAGATAATCGAAGAGACAATGGTAACAGCAGGCGACACCGTGGCGATGGTATTGATGCTTCCAACTGAATACCCTTCTGCCTTCAGCCACAAGGAAAGACCACTGTTGGAGAAAACGCCGTCGGCTTGGGAGAAGAAAAAGGCGAATGCAACGAGGACCCATAGTCGCCATCCCTTCAGAATCTGAAGGACTCTCGGCACGGTGAAAGGCTGACGGGGTTCGCGATTCTCAGATGCCATGCGTTCCTGGGCAAGGAGAATCTCATCTTGGGTTAGGAATCGAGAGCGACATTTGTCGGGAGTGCTAGGTAGCAGACAGAGTCCCATGAAGGCAATTGGAATGGTGCACGCAAAGCCTATTCTAGAATCAGTAAGGCCACACATGGATCTAACACAGGGTAAAGCGAAGCTCACAGATGATATAGAGCCATCTCCAACCTTCAATTCCATACCGCCCATCCAGACGAGCGTAAGCGCCTGCCTGGATGTATCCAGAGCTCATACTACCGACTTGGCTAGCAATGAAAAAGATAGCACCTCTGCGAGAAAGCTCTGAGCGCTTGTACCAACTGCCTAAGTACCATTGTACTGCAGGGAAGAAGAAGCCACCGAGTGCTCCGACGAAAAAGCGCAGGGCATATAGCTGAGTCACATTGCTGGCTTTGTACTGCGCAAGGGTGAATACCCCCCCAGAGTAGGTCTGCTGCCGGGAGGAAATAATTCACTGGACAACGAGTCATCTGTTAAGGATTAGATTCTCTCTCTCTCTCTCTCTCTTCCTCGGCTTGTTGATGAGTCAATGAGACGAACCACAAGTGTCAAAGGTATTTGCATGGTGATGAATCCAACCCTGTGCGAAATGAACATCAGCTCTTGCCCGTGAATAGATCATAGCCATGGGAGTGGTAAGACATACATATAGACGGTATTCAGATAGTTCAACTGATTTCCATATAACTTCAGATCCTCCTTCATCCCACTGACATATGCCGTACTTGTGGCGGACGAATCCAACACCTTTGCCCAGTATGCCAAAAACACAAACACAATAATTAAACCATCCAGTTTGAGAATCAAACGTCGCTCGGCGGGTGTATCAGTTGGCGCAAACCACTGATACCACTTCTGGCGTTCCGATGCCGGGCCAGTAGGTTGTGCGGAGATCTCCTTCAACTGCTCGGCATTGCTCTCTGCAGCCTCGACTGTTTGCGGGGATTTTTCGTGAATGGAAGTCATGATCGCGATTTGCCTTGGACCTTTGCGACTCCTTGGTCAGTATCCTGTCAGACTTTTTTTTTTCGGACAGGGTGAAGCGACGGCAGTTTTGAGTCGTGGCTGTTTAGCCGGAGCACGCCATCGATCGGGAGGATAACGCAGGCCTTCAATGGTGCAAATTGCGACGCTATCGCCAAATTTTGACAAGCCTTGCCGAGCACCCCGCCGATTCGCGGAGACAATAACCTTTGAGCATTGACCGTGGCACTGTCAGTGCAAGCGCCGTGCCTTTGAAACTCGCGAAGCTGGAGTTGGCTCCTTGAGTCGGCAAGGGCGGTCTCATTCCCCAGTCACACGATCACGTCTTATTGCATCGTCAAGTACAAAACGGTATAGCAGTTGCTTCATGTGCTTCAGAATAACATTAAACTAGGCTGTAAAACATATCCATGCTAATATAGACATACTATAACTATGGGGAGACTGCACTTCTTTCTGATGGGGATTCACCTCCCCGCAAAAGAAATTGGGCACACCCGCCGTTCGCTTCACCAACTTCCATAGCAGTACTCGATAGCCCGGAGGCAGGAATTCACATCTAGCTATGTACATAACAACAACTAAAGGAGAAGAGAATTTATTTTCGAATTGCAGTTTCCGAGCCATGGGACAATTGATGTCGGTCGGGATCGGTAACTTGAAACAATATGAATTTGTTCAAATAGATATAGAACAAGTCAACGTTGCCATTTTCTATGTAGGGATATTCAGCAGAGAGCTTTTGTGATGACGGTGACACTCAATAGGATTCCCTTAAATTCGGAATTAACTATTTTGTACCCATGGATCTGCGATCCAATTATGCATAACCTCAGTCTGCGAACTTTATGATTTCGGGTCAGACCGCTACAAAAAGGTATAGTACCCCGAAAAGTATCGAGATTAGCCTAGATCCAGGGGAATACCTAGTGTTTTTTACCATTCTGCTTCGTGTTCCATGGATGAGCCTGTTTTTATAACAGTCTGGATTCGTAGCCTCTCTCTCCTTTTATCAACCACTTTCGTGCCCTTCGTCCTCTTCACGTAGGCCTCATCAACTACTAGTTGATCATGGTGACCCCTTCTCATATTCCAAGGGTTGTTACACCAGGGCTCTACCTTGAACAGTCACTGAAAGGCCTCAACACCATCCGTGACTTAAATTATGGAAAAATTGACTACTCGTCTCGGATACCTCATCATGCGTCCAGGATATAAAGCCCTAGGATCCTTTCCTCGCAGAATTTCCCCCAGAGTTGATATTGTCAGCATCTAACTTTCTTCCATATATTGATCTCGTTTAATTTTCATTTTGCAATCGTCAAACTTTTTGGCTTTTAAGGACGCAAAAAAAGCAACTACCCCCTACTCGAGAAGATACGCAATCAATATTAAGCTGATTAGATTTAAGTTGTAATGAGATGAAACCTTTCGTGGGCCCAAGAGTACTAGAAGCAAGAGCAATACACCTGGAAGCACTTCTAGTATTTCTAATGAAATTTGCGAAAAAAAGATCTAGATCGGTCTCCGGGTCTAACCGCAGTGAAGGCAGAGATTATGTAGTAGATGTGCTCCGACGCTACATGAGATTACTAGTATTGTCCGACCGCCTGATACTATGTACAGGAAAAGCCGAGAAAAGGAGGTATGTCCTCTGGTCAAATTGAAATTGAAATTGAAGAAAAGAGGGGAAGATGAGGGATTTTTCTGGTGACCCGGAAAACGAGATTTTTTTTTTTAACTAGTAGTACGTCGTATTATGTAGTATGTATCTCGTGATGGTCGATCAGGGGGGTTTGTGGTATAGACCGGTCGCCAATTGTGGTTACGGACTTGGAATGATCCGCAACCAAAGATAGAAGCCATTGACTTCCAGGGAATCCACTCAGTGGACAAGGCAGATAAAGAAAAGAAAAAGATAAAAAACTTGAGGGTGCACATGATCCGCAGTGGAGGGATTACATTCTTCCGGGGCCCAGCTGGGGCCGGGTGCTTTTCCCGACGGCGTTCGGCCTGGCGATCGGTTCTAGATGTAGCAGGCTCGGGCAACTTGCCTAGTCGAGTGCCATAGTTAGTACCATAAGGTGTACCATAAGGGGTATTGGCTATTGTGCTGTTCTGCTGTTCTGCCATTCTGCTATTCTGCTCGGTATATAATTAGTATTTCTATAGATGTAGATACTCCATATGTACTCCGTATACTCGTAAACAGCTCTAGCTCAGCCTGAGCTCTCCCGGGCATTCTCGGCAAGGGAAAAGCCGGAGCAAGCAGGGTCACCCGGTCACGCGGGGAAGAATGACGAAAACCAGCGGGACTCGGCTTGAGTGAAGTCACTCCCCCACTCCTTTTAAGTAGTCCGGTTTACCTCCCCTCCTGACGTGGATTTTCCCCACTATATCTGATCTGCCTTGTTCAAGAGCTCGCCACTGTTCCTTGCTGCTGCTCTTTAAAGTCTGCATCTTTCACCGATTGCTGCCGATTTGATTTGATCCCAATTGCTGCTCTCTACATCTCCCTCAACCCCCACCTCTCCCACCCCACCGAGTACGAAACAAAACATCGTCCAAATCGCAATCATGGCTTCCAACCAAACCTCTCCCGTTGGTAACGAGAACATCAATACCGATATCATCACCCTCTCTCGCTTCTTCACCGAGGAACAGACCAAGTATCCCGAGGCCTCGGGTGACTTCACCCTCCTTTGCCACGCCCTACAATTCTCCTTCAAGTCGATCGCCTACTACATCCGACGTGCTTCTCTGATCAACCTGACTGGCCTGGCTGGCTCCTCCAACGTCACCGGTGATGACCAAAAGAAGCTCGATGTCATTGGCAATGACATCTTCATCTCCGCCATGCGGGGCTCAGGCAAGTGCCGCATCATTGTCTCAGAGGAAGAGGAGGAAGTGATCAAGTTTGACGAGCACCCCGACGCCCGGTACGCCGTGGTCTGCGACCCCATTGATGGCTCCTCCAACCTGGACGCTGGTGTCTCCGTCGGCACCATCTTCGGTATCTTCCAACTTCCCGACGAGGTCTTGGGCGCTGGCAAGTCTGTCGGCCCCGAGCAATTGCTTCACCCCGGAACCAGCCTGGTCGCGTCCGGCTTCACCATGTACGGTGCCTCCGCCCAGCTCGTCATCACCATGCGTGGTGGCGGCGTCAACGGCTTCACCCTCGAGAACTCGCTGGGCGAGTTCATCTTGACCCACCCCAACATGCGTCTCCCCACTTCCCGCGCCATCTACTCCGTCAACGAAGGAAACTCCAAGTACTGGGACGACTGGTGCAAGGAGTACTTCAACAGTCTCAAGTACCCCGAGAACGACGGCAAGCCCTACAGCGCCCGTTACATCGGTAGCATGGTTGCAGACGCCTACCGTACCCTCCTCTACGGTGGTATCTTCGCCTACCCCGCCGACTCCAAGAGTCCCAAGGGTAAGCTGCGTATCCTGTACGAGTGCGCTCCCATGGCTATGCTTTTCGAGAACGCTGGCGGTCTCGCTGTCAACTCGCGCATGGAGCGTCTGATGGAGGTTTGCCCCGAGCACATCCACGACAAGAGTGGTGTCTTCCTTGGTTCCAAGGACGAGGTCCAGAAGGTCATCGACATGTACAACAAGTTCCAGAAAAAATAAGCGCTTCTCTTCTGATAGATAATTTGCGCATCACCCCCTTTATTGGAACCTGTATACCCCCATGCGCAGCTCAACCTCATTTCTTCCTTAACTCGCCCTTTTTAAATCATACCTCTATACATCTTTTTCTCTGGGAGTGTTGAGCTCGATGATGGGTTTGTGTTCCTGCTCTTCCATGAGCTATAACGTCTGTTTCTACTTGTCGCCGTTGATTTCAGCGCCCTGGGTTTATTCCGACTTATCGGTTTTGGGGAAAAGTACTACATCGATATAAAAGAATTTCAAAAAAAGTTTTAAAATATCCTACTCCTTTCCACAAGAGTATAGTATCTTTTACTACTAGTAGTAGGTACCATGGGTATGACCTAGTCTATGTCCAAGGTTTAATCAAGGTTGATACAATAAGTCCCGAAAATTCATGAAAATGTATATTCTAAGTCCATACAATACACAGAGACAAGGAAACCCGGAGAATGAAAGAAATCCCGCAGGGATGCTATAGCGAAAGATGCATAGTGTGAAAGAAAGAAATTGGGGGAAAGACCGAGAAGATCAATCGACTGGGTCTTCCTCCAAGAGGGTCTTGAAGCTGAATGGCAAGAATGGAGTACCCTCGCCCATGAAATGCTTGCTCATTGCCTCGACCCAATGCAGACGAAGAGCGTGAAGCATAGCACTGGTTCCTTCCATGACACACAGGACAATGACCTAGTATAAGTTAGCATATGAATGCATTTTAGAAATCGGATAACAGATGGACTTACCGAAAGAACAAACCACATGTAGAATGTTACGACAATCATGATGACACGGACAACAGGGCTCTCGGTCTCGAAGGAACCACCAAGAGTCATGTTCCAAAGCACAATGGAGAGCTGCTGATGAGCCAGCGACAGAGCCCAAAGACGGAGGTATGAAGCAGTGTGGGAGATACAGTTCAGACAAAACTCAATGGTGTGAATGACCTGGTGAATCATTTCATCCCCAAAGACGAACTCTTCGTGCTCCTCATCAATATCCTGTGCAAGCATGGCGACACCCTCGCCGTCACTGGCTAGGCTGTCACGAGCTCCGCCATACCCTCCGTTCGCATCTCCATCTTCGTCAAGAGCGCTGAAGTGGGTTTGCTCTCCGAGTCCGCGGTAGCCAAGGGCACGCGATTTATTGTGCTCGTGGCGAAGCCAGAAGGGCTTGAGGAGCAACATAACAGGAACCTGACAAACAGCGATGAGAAGAAGGATGACCTGCACCGCACTCTGTCCAGAGTAGAGTCGCTCGGTAACTGTGCCGGGACTCAGGAACATGAAAATAAGCATGTTTAGCAGACTTGGGGGAGCAAGGTCAGTATCCTGCCAATTGATGGTCCACTTATAGATGATTGTGAGAGACAAGTAACCGAAGATGGATTGGAAGAACAGCATGCTGGGAACAAAGTTGCCCCAGAGATCGACCTTGGACTTGAAGTGTCGGGCATTGATGTATTGGAAAGTGAGAGCAAAAGTCATGTGGCACCAGCCTAGCAGAATACTCATCTTCATCTTCATACTGTTCGAAAAGAGCAAAGAGTTCTCTGCACCGTGCCAGTTCCAGTCAAGACCAATTGGGAAACGATAGCCCTCTGTGATGGAAGCCTCGACGGATTGACCTGCGGTAATATCCTGAGGCCATTGCCACTGACTGGAAATGAAGGTAAAAGGTCGAGAGAAGATATCGTTGTAGATAAAACCGGTATACATGGAGAAGATACCCATCAACAACATAATGTAACGTCCGTAGAAGAACATGGATGAGATCTCATCCAGCTTTGTGCGTGCCAGTTTCTTCTCAAATAAGATAAGAGTAGATGCAGTCAAAGTCATCAAAAATCCGTGACCAAAATCACCGAACATGACGGCAAAGAGAAAGGGGAAAGTGACGACCGTATAGATTCCCGGGTTGACCTCCGAGTACTTAGGAATACCGTAGGAGTTGACAATGGTCTGGAATGCTTCAGTGAACTTATTGGTCCGGACATAGGTGGGAGGGGTCTTGTTGGTCTGGATCTGGTTGACGATTGTCGGAACAGAGAGTCCGGCACGGTCGTTGACATCTTGGAGGGTCGACTTGATTAAAGCAAGGGAGTTTGTTGGGCACCATGCCTCAGCAATCAAAGTTTTCCGGGCTTGATCATAGGAGAACTTGTTTAGGGTATCGTAGACAGCCTTCTCCTTTTTGACGATGATCATCCAAGCTGCGAGAGACCGGGCAATTTGCGAAAGTTCTGCATCCAGAGTGCTCTTGGTGTTTCGGAGCACATTGGTAACATCGCCCAGGCGAGTGTTGACCTCATGGATCTGGTCACGTCGCAATTCACTGTTCTCGTCGACACCGTACAAGGAAGCACCCAGGGACTCCGAGATTTTGCGAATCTTGGCGAGTATGTTTTTACCGTGAGCGAAAATCACGAACACGTTCTTGTGGATTTCTTCGTTGTTTGTAGGGTCGATGATGGGGTCGGCGATCTCAGACTGGTTCATGTAAAGATTGCCACGCAGTGTTCGCCAGAGGATACGTTCAAAGGCTCCGATGCGGTCACGGGGAATAACACCTGAGACAAATCCAATGTTAAGTTCCGAAAAACTCTGCTGTCCTTGGGTATCTCCATTTACCCCAGCAGGGCCATGCTGCTCAACATCGCGTAGAAGTGGCGCCTCGTCGTTGTCGAAGGATTGGCGGATGTCTTCGGTCTGGGTGTGGGCCTGCGGTTTTCTATCAGTCTCATATACATCGCCGTTAATTATGTAAACCTAGACTGACCCGATCAAAGAAGCCACCAGCTTCTCTCAAGACCCAGCGCCATTCGGCAAGCTCGACCTCGCGCTTCTTCAAGGTCTCGTAGCTATCATTCAAGGAGGCGATGCGCTGCTCAAGGCTCTCGCTGCGTTCGGCCAGCTCATCAATCTCTGAGGCGAGAGGGGCGGCCAGTGTATCCGAGAAGTCGTTCGATGGTCGCATAGTGATGGCAGCCTTCTCCATCTGAGCGTGGAAATATCCTAACATGAAAACAACGAGTTTAGCAGGCGTTTTATGCTGTACAACCAAGTCTTTCACGAAGTAATCGTTCTCAACATACGGAGTTGTCGTTCCACATTATCCAGACGGCGAATTTCCTTGGTGAACGTGCGTTGGAAAGCGTTGGTATCGGGGTTGAGCTAGACAAAACATCATGAACGTCAGCGCATCCTATCACCTTCACATCGCAAGAGGAAGCATTTTCAATTCTGAAAGACACATACATCCCTGAACTGAACCTGGCCAATTTCGCCGAGTGAGCTGACAACCTCACGACCGATCTCGTTGGCGATGTAGAGCTGGGTCAGGCTCATGTCCGACGAGCGGAAAAAGGTATCCTGGGGGGCCATGGTGGACAGAAGGCTTCTTGGAGCCGTGCCTTTCCACCAAATATGCACACCGAGAGGGAAAAGATCTCGAGATCTGAGGGAATAAAGAGGGACACAGATGACGGCGTCGGCTGGGGATCTGAAGCTACCTCCTGGACTCTCTGACCTGGCCGAAATGCACGTGATGTCACGTGTGGCCCATCCACTGCGTCGTCATTCGACAGCAGCCCCATCGATATATTCGAGGTCGAGGTTCCAGGAAGTGTTTCAGAGTTGAGACCCGTGGAGATCGAGTATGGGTGACTATATTTTTGGGTTGGTTGAAGTTCTTTTGACAATGCACTCCGAAGCCTCTCTATTCTCTCGAGGCAACTGATGGTCAGCCTATTCTGGTTCTGGACCTAAGTCTTAACTCCCAATTTATGTCCTCGAATGTTGCAATGATCCAAATGTATCCCGTACTCTATATAGCTATACCATGCATGATGTACATAGGGAGGACCAGATAATCTTGGTTACCTTTCCAAACCGGGGCTTTTTTTAGGGCAACAGATCCAGAACCCTTTCCCCTCTTCCCACTTAGACCCCGCCAGAACTTGACCATCAACCTTCTCTTTTGGGTCCCCTTGCTCTTTCTATTGACATACCAGGGCCTGTTTTACTGTCCTCTTTGGATGCAGTCATTCCATCATGTCTAGAGAAACAATCCCTCCCACGGATGCTCACCCACAGTCTGCTTGTGCTACATGACGCTGAGAACTAACCACGTGACAATTCCATTCAGGCGGTAGGATACTGCCACCAAGCTCCCTATATAATTATAAAGAACAGATTCCCTTTCTCCTTTTGGACATTTGGTCAAATGAAAATATACAGAGAAGATTAGCATGGCCCCTGCACTAAGGATGACACGCTCAATCAAAGAGAAGCTACCAGTTTTTTTTTTTCCCTTACAGATGCTTCATTGAGGTAGGAGGAGTGGCTAAATATTTTGATCGCCTGTTCGAGACTCGGAGCGGGAGTTTCTGACCTCTTTTTTTAATAGTCAGCTACTATCTGCGAGAACTTATTTTTGTATGTTTATCCAACACTTCTATCTATGGATATAAGGGGGAGGTGATAGATTTATATGGGGGGAGATTCTATTAATCTTCAATCAATCGTAGTTGGACATAATAATAGCACCGTGACCCTTATGGTGGGTATACCAGACACTCCGTCCTCTGATATGTATAAGATATATTCGCTCCACCTTTGGGTAGTTATTGGGGAAATTCACATACAACCTGGGAGTATTCAACGGGCCTAGCCTACTACTTTCTGACTCTTTCTTTTTTTGTTACTCAGCTGCTATGTAGTACCTAGGTAGTACACAACCTGTAGCTTAAATATTGGTTCTGCTCTAATCTTGGGGCACTATTGGCCAACTAAATCTTGAAATTAAACCGGATATTTAGGTGTACCTAGTAGGTGCCACTGCCACTACTTAGTAATACTAGTAAGAGAATCTTGGCTATTTAAGTTCCATTCCCCATTCCACTTCCCCCTGTCCTCAAAGCTGGAAATCTTGCAAGCGGGGGAATCCGGGGTCACATCCACTACCCTTTGACGTCATCCCCTCCCCCGAGTCATATGAAAACGTTCAAAGTTCAAGTTCAAGTTCAAGTTTCTCCTCCCGTGAGCCAGTCAACTTTTGTTCCATTCATGAAGCCAAATCTTGTGTGACCACGTTCCAAAGTCCCGATATACCATGTACTATGTACTACATGGTTGAACTCGACCCCAAAAACACACTTTGAGGAACAGGCCGAACCTGAAGCTGCCCAACCTCCCCTTACTGTCCCACCACCCCAGCCAGTTGGCCGCGAACGCGTGGTTTGCCAGCTGTGCACATACACACCGTGAGCCCCGGAGCCACTTAGTTATCACTCAGTACTCATTCAGGAACCCACACGTAACCGAACTAGTGCCTTGGGTGGATGGGCAAGACGGTCCTTCTCCGTTCTCCACGCACTCCTCCGCCATTGACCGCCTCCCATCCGTATCCACTGCAGCTTTACCGAGCTGCGATGGGCGCTTGATCGCCCCTGACCTAGACCCAGACCCATTGCCTTGCACAGTTAAACTCCCGAGCTCGTCAAAGAATCATCTGCTACTAGTTGAGTTGGCCTCTGAGCTGGTGCTGCTGCTAGTCTACGAGTAGTCAACTCGTCTTCTCGACTCCATTCTCTGAGGGCCCACAATTATAATCACCGTCCCTAACCCCCTCTGCAATATCGCAATTTCCCGCCTGTTGGGAATTTGAGAGACCGAATTCCCGTCCACAGGTTGAAAATCTATATTCCTCGTGCCCTCATCATGGCCTGTCCCGCAAAAGAATTACCCGATGGCCATGGAAGCGTCTATAAGGAGGTACGCTTTTCGCCGACCGCAACACCTATACGCCGCACAAAATCAGTCTCAGGAACTGCCCCCTCGGCCAAGACAAAAAATTACCAGACAAAGAGCTCATGCGTTCCCGAAAGGACCCCAATAATCTTGGATTCATCCTATATTGATCAGTCGCGAGCCCTGCTGGACCGTCAACGAGCCCACTTTGAGGAGGAAAGGAAACTCTTTGCAGAGGAACGTCGGTTATGGCAGAAGGAAAGGATACTCTTGAGAACAAAGATTACAGAACTAGAGTCGTTGTTGAAAGTGCAACAAGGCCAAACAATTTCGCCAGACTCTGCAAAGCCGGCGTTTGGATCGCTATCATATCTAGGTTCTAATGAATCCGCCATACACTCAGCACAAGTATGGGAGGGTTCAAGCCCAGGTGGCCGACCGACAAGGGTCTTCCGTGGTGAGGATGCTATAGACCCTGCTCACATGTCGCCGATCAGTGAAAGGAGCAGTAGTATCCCTCCATCCCTAGACGCGGCACTTTCACCTCAAGCGGGGGCGGCGGACGCTGCCAGCGTGGCCGTTAGTGTACCAGTACCTATCGAGAAGCTTGATAGCAGACTCGATGGAATTATACTCAAATCCACCGCACTACCACCTGGGGTTGTTGCTCGAGTGATCACCCCGCCCTCTCCGTCGCCCCTGGAGACCTCCTCGGAAGCCCCTTCAGCCGCTGCAAGGTCGGACCAGGAACACCGAAACAGTCTTAAGTTGAAGCTGTCAGAACTGGGCCCACCTAATGAAAATCTGGTCCGGAATGCGGGCCACACTCCAATGGCGATCATCGAGGCCGACGTTAGCCAACGGTCTACCAAGGAGCCTTCTCCCATCGAGGAGATGGAGGAGCCCCCGTGCGACGAAGAAGCCCCTCTCGCCCCCGTGGCAACGACCGTGCATCAACCCACCGAGAACAGGATCTCCTATTTCCCCGATCTACCTGAAGATCCAGCCCTGAAGGGGCCCCTGGGTCTCATTAACGACGAGGAGCACGACAATAGTTTCCTAAGTGAATTAGACCAGAAGCTCCTAGACCAGGCGAGGCGGATTCTGTCTCCTGCATCAGACTCTGGGAAAATTGATGAAGACGAAGGCGACGCTGAGCTACCTACCAAGGGGGAGCAGGAACCGGAAATCAAATTCAGGAAGTCAACGAATTTCGGCACGGCCTTTGGAATATCAAGCTATGGAAATTTCTAAACAGACACAGGCCTTTCTCCATTACCAGTTTGATTCTGTGATTTATGGACAGCCTTGCTGGATATGCCATTGCTTGCTACTTTTCATTTCTCTATTTCTATTTTAACTTCCATCTGGCATACATCTTTCGCCATTTATTTACAGCAGCGAAGATACTTCATGATTTGACGAGTTATGCTCAAGATTATGCAATACACACTTTCTATTCTCATTTCCACATGTTCTCTCTTTTTTCTCTCTCCCATCTAATTTCTTACTTCCCAAAAAGAGAAACCCTGGGGTGCGTGCCCTCGGCTCATTGAGCCAGACTTCAACAGAATTGTTTTATGTTTCCTGCGAGTGTTGATATTGATATTCCTTGCATATGATGTGTCAATATTAGCCACTCGCCGACTCGCTGACTGGTTCCATCTCTGCCCTATCTTCGACTCCTGTGGTGACCTCCTTGCATGCTCTCAGGAACCTTTGACCCCGGCCCCACGTGTGGTTCATGATTTCCCATGTTACGCGCATCGCAGCGAAGATCCGGGCCATTGTCCCCTAGTGCAGCCCGCAGTATTTTGGATGGCTCGGGCGTTGGCCTCGTGCATAAGCTTTGAAGATGGTTCGCTTGAAGCTATACCTACTGCAATTCTTGGTACTACTAGTCATTCCCACGAATCGGAACAGCCCTTGACTTTGGGCAAGGTTTGATATCTCTCATGTCGCCTGTCTCTTCTTCATTGGCAACTGCCACACCCCTGGTACCTTGCCGATCGTCGTCCTTGTGGCGCTCTGCAAGAAAAAGCCACCAGGGGCTAGCCCATAGCCTTGCAGCGTCCTGGTTCCTGTTTGGCCCTTGGCTCTCCCCACGGTGCCCCTCGGATGCGCCAGGACTCAGAGGCTCTTCAGAACCTACATAAAGGCGACTGATTTCGGTCTGAATGATTCTTTTCATCATCCACTTAACAGCACAGTTTCAAACAGTCACTCTTTCTCTCCCATTATCTCCCACTCTCGTTCTCGGAGCCAGCTCCCCAATCCTTCGTTTCATCTTCCAACCAACAATCTTTTCATACTCCCAAATCAATTCCAGCTTTACGCTTTCACTTCAACACCACAACAATGCCTTCTACCACTTTCACTCTTTCCTCCGCCCTGTGCCTTATTCTGGCCGTTGGCCCCGCCTCCGTCTTCTCCGCACCTCAGCTGGTAAGTCACCGCAGCACATGGGTCTACCTATCAAAGCGGAGATCACCAACTAACAACAAACAGCCTGGTCTCCCCATCCTCGGCGGTGACCATGACGCCGAAACCGGCCACAGTGAGCACGATGCCGGAGCCGGATACACTGTCGGTATTCCCGATGGTCCTTCCGTCAAGTTCGGTGCTGGCGTCCACAGCGAGCACAACGGTCCTTGCGGGCCCGGTGCGAGCAGTGTGCACAATGCAGGCGCTGGCTACGAGGTCGGTCAACCTGATGGTCCTTCCGTCAAGTTCGGTGCTGGCGTCCACAGCGAGCACGACGCTTACCCTTGCCCTGAGATCGTCGAGGCGGTCCCTCCCCCCGGCTACCGTTGTGATTCCTCCTACTGTTCAGACCCCCCCCCTGCTGTTGAGGCTCCTCCTGCCACAGAGACCTATATGCCTTCTTTCATCCCTCCCACTTATACTACACCGATCAACATTCCTACCATCACCACCCCCGCTGCTTACGTTATTCCTACCCCGGTCTCCGCCACCTCGACCCCTCTGATCCACTACCCGGTGCCTTCCTCTACTCCTCCTTCGCAGCCCATGTTCAACTCTGCCTCCGCTCTGGTGCCGAGCTCAGCCTTTGCCATCGCTCTCTCCATAATGCTAGGCGCCTTCGCCTAAGCGTCGCAAGCATGCAGTGATCATTGATAAACGAGTTGATTGACCATGATTAAGATCCCAGTGATCTTCCGCTGCACATTGTTTTCTTTATTGCTTTCTTTTTCTTTCTTCCAAGTTTTTTGTCCTGTATGATTCCATCAATTTCTCGGTGGAACCTATTATCATCTGTACCTTTGACCATCTCTTCTTCCGTGTCATCTTTTGTTTCCGCTTATTTACCATCTTTTAGTGGGCTCGTCCACTGCTGCTTGGGTGGGCGATGGCCGCATTTACACACAAACACAACCAACAGATATCTGCATGTATCTCGGGCTGACATATGAGGGCCATGTTACTATCGAACGTTCTGCTTTTTACTTTATTTGGGGAGGGAATTGGCTTGGGATGGAATGGGAGTCCGGGCGTGCGGCTTTGCACTCATTATTTACAATTTACTGCTGTTTGCCATTTCTAAGTTCTATCAGGCTTGAATACATTGCATCTTGCCCTTACATTGTGGAAACCTAGCTTCGCTCTAACCTTGTTTTCCATAATTGCCGTGTCGTGTCTAAGACCTACAAGGTCCCCTGTCGCCGTAAGTCAACTTTTGCGCAAATACCATCCAGTCGAAAATTTTCAATTGAAGACCATAAGCTTAATTCCTGTGCAGTTTCGAGTCGGTTTGTCAGCTAGGAAGCCACTGATCAGAAGCGTGCTTCTGGTCATGTCGTATGTTTCAATGCTCACCCCATACCTAGTGACTGGGAACTGAAGGTTGTCGGCGAGTACGGTCTCTGCAACAAGCGTGAAGTATGGCGTGTCTAGCTTACCCTCTTCGAAATTCGTTGTGGTACTTTCTGTCTTCTCTCATTTAAAAGTCTGCAATGATTCAAGGTTTCGAAAAATGGTGGCCCGGGGTCTGAGGTAGATCAAGCTAAACTTACGTATGCACTTGATAGTATATTTATGATATGCTCTTTCTATTGGTGGAGAGAGCATACCCCGCTGACCTGGGGGTTTGAATGGTTGACTCGCGGAGAAAGGACGCTAGGGATTACTGGTGGTCTCTAGAAAAGTGTTCAATCTGTCCAGGTGGTAGATGTGATGAATCATTGCTGCTAGCAGATTCTACAAGAACGAAGCACTCCGAATGTTGTCCTGGTATATGCAAGGTTGTTATATGGCTTATATGCAGCTACCGATTTGGTATGATTTTATGTGGAATTTACTTGGAAGTTTTGAAAGGAACAGAGCCCAAAAAGAAGAAGAAAAGCCAGAATAGATTGAGTGGCAGCAAGTCAACGCCTATCATGTCATATCATGCGTTATCACGTATCCAGAGCCCTAGCGCAGAAGGCCCATCCGTTATGCTCACAGCCCAACTCTAGCCGAACCCATGCTTTGTCTCCGCCCAAATGCTGGCATATGCCCTCCAGAGGGTCGATTGGGCTGCTAAATGAAGAAACAAGAGAAAGGAAAGGAAAACCCCCTCCATCTTATTATACTCCCATCGTAAAGTCGTGCTCGATACCCGGTGTCACGCTGGCGATGAATTTCAGAAAAACGACCAAGTACTGATCCACCCGGATGGCGTTCTGTTCTTCCTCATCGGCCTGCAGGACCTCCCACTCGTCCCCGCCTTGCTGTTGCTGGTCACCTAGTGATAGCCCCTTTGTTTCATCCACGAGACCTTCAAGACCGCCGTTAGCCTGGAGGACGCGGTTTGCTTCTTCGCGGGATTGCGTTTGCTTGAGCTTTTCTCGGCGGAGCTTGAGGGCTGCGTCGGCGCGGTCGAGGAGTGTTTTCATGACTGAGGCGTGGCGGCAGGGATGAACGGTTGCCATCTTTATACTGCCGTCGAACCAGGGGAAGTCTTCTAGTGTCACGGTCTTGTCTTTGTAGTCGCCGACGATATCTTCCATCATGAGGTGCGGCGGGAGGGGCTCTGATGGTGATAAATAGCCTGATAGATAGAGGCGGGGCGTGCGATAGAAGTTGGAGTATGTGATATAGAGGGTGTAGGTGCGGAGTGGTCTGGTTGGTCAGATGCTATTAGTACTTGAAGATACCGGTGACACAAGAGTTGAAAACAAGAGAGCTGTCTGGGTTTAAAGGCAGCTAGAGAAGGAGGAGGAGGAGCAGATATCACGTACTGTGTTGTTCCGGATTGCCCAACTGGCTCACGGATAATAGCCTCCTCGTCATCGTCGTCGTCTTCCATATCTGGAATCTCATCGTCGTCTTCTTGGTCGCCCAAATTCCCAGAATCATCGACTGTCCGCACATCCCGGATTCGTGCTTCTTGTTCGCTCCGGTTCGCTGCAGAGTCACGACCGCCACCGGTTCTCAACCAGCCATCGTCCCCATCCACAGTTGTGGCACCCTCCCCCTCCCCTCCAGATAACATGTCCCTCACTAGCTCATCTTCGGTGCCCGCATCGCCAGCGAAGTTATCGTTCAACCGGCGATGGCAAGGGACACCGCGGGTAACGAGAAACTGTTTGCCTTCTGGCAGATAAGAGACTCTCTTTGCCGGGCTGGAGGCATCAGCCCAGGACCACGTGGGGAACTTATAGACCAGATAATCGCCCGCAAGCACGAATTCCTCTGGGGTGATTTGGCCGGTATTGCGGAAGGTAGAGGTTCGAGAGACAGGGGCGAGGCGATCTCGCCAGGTTGATAGAGTAGAATGTAAGATGTTCATTGTGTCTATGTGCTATTGAAGCGTGTGAAAAGAGAGGTAGATGCGAGATGGAGATGCAGTGAGATATGGGACAGTGGGGGGGGGTAACCTTGATAAGCGGTGGAGCACATGATCGGCCCCGCGTGAGCTCATCCCATCCCATCACAACCGTCAAAATCGAATCGGCCGCCGTCGCCTCCCTCCACCTGATTCCAGCGGCCTGATGCCGTTGATGCTGCTCAAAGTGGTCTCAAAGATAACGTGGCGCTCTCTGCCATGCAGGTGATGCATGAAGCATCTCTCCCACTGGAAGATCTATGGTTAGGTGGCCAGCCGTGGCCGATACTAACTCGGCCTCACGGGTTCTCCAAGGTTCCCATTCCAAGTGGCCAGCGTCTGCCTCTCCGGGTTATATAGTCTATTTATTGACACCCAATGTGCCTGAGAGCCCCATGCGCTCCCGAATCTGGAATAATCCAAGCTTAGGCTTAAGATTTCCAACTCATTCACCCTCCTGCATCATTTGACTGCGCTCGATCTCCGCATCTACTTCTTCAACCACCAAAGGAATGGGCTTTCCAGGACCCTTCCACTTTTCCGTTTCAGCACGCATGAAACCTTCCGTACTCTTCATTCCGACCACCAGGAACCCAAGCTCTTCCCGATCGACATCGAATACCTCCCACCATTCACCATCGACCAGCTTGCAATCCTGTTCCCGCGAAGCAAGATAGATGGCCGCTACGGCCAGGGCATTCGGCTGATGTGTGACGTAGAGTAGTTGGGGGGGAAAACAACGCGGAATTCAGGTATTCGACAGTTCGGCGGGACACGGCGGAGTCAGTGACTCCTAGGGTTTGGAGGTAGGTGAGAGCGATAGTATGAGGGAGGGCAACGTGAGTGTCGAAACTGAGGGTGCGGAGGATGACGGACTCGATGCGAAGTAGAATTAGGCGCGCAGACTGGTACCCGCCCTCTGTAAGGGTGTAGCTGTCCGCGGATGGCGGCTGCTTGGGCGCCCCGCGGGGGTTTACAAACCACAGCGGAGAGGCCTCTTGCGAGAGAAGCAGTGTGTAGACATTGAGAACTGAGCGCGGTGAGGTGGGTTGAAAGGATAATTTGGCTGTCAGGTAGAGAGCAGCGGCTGATACATCCTGGCGAGGTTGGAATTCAGATTAGGCGCGAGGTCAAATAGACAAGGAAACGAGTCAAGAAAGACTGAAGGAAGCTTGCTCACCTTGACAGAATAAATGCGCAAGCTGCCCCCATCAGCTCCGAGCCAGAAGCGCGTAAATATAACAATTGCCTGTGCGATGATATCTTGCGACAAATGCAAGAGCACGCCAGCGGCCTGTGTTAATTGTGTGCCGGCGCAGCGAATTGAAGCTTCCAGGTCGGAGGGAACGCCATCGATCAACGAGGAAGAAGCCGAAAGCTGCTCTGGGGTGGCAAGAGCATTGGAAAGATGCGTGAGGCCGGGGTTGGGGGGTGCCATGACGATGATGACGATGACGATGGTCGGGATGTAAGAAGGAAGATTTCCTATGCACGGAACGTGGGATCGGACTAGGATCGGATTAGGAGAAGCGGAGCTTCCTCGTGCGGCGAACTTATGTAGTACAGTAGTATTTGGTTCCGATCTTGATAGGACTGCCAATGCCGTGTCTTCCACTTCTTTGCCGTCGTGGATTTGCAATTCCACCACAGTCCACTGAAGAGGGGAAGTCGAAAGAAGACTGGAGAGAAGATTCCATGGAGGTGGAGTTGCTGTGTGGTTGGTGGTGGAGAACTCTTGAAGCCACCAGCCACCAGCCACCGCTATTTCATACTTCCCAGCCTTTTTCTTTTGTTTGGCCCAAAGACGCGCTGCACAGGGGGGGAATAAAACAAAACAAAACTCAGAAACAGGAACTAGACCAAAACAACTTAGATTTGAGGGCTGCCACAGGACCCTGAAACATCTTCGACACATCCCATCTCCATCTTCCCCCTCCCATATCCAATCTCCCTGACTTCACCACACCTCGACCCTTCAAAGGGAGTCCACTAGTCCACTCGCCCTCCTCCACCTTTCAGGTTGCACATTGCACACCACCAAACGCCACACCAACCCGATTCGACGTGGCATTACAAACTCGCCCTGTGTTTCTGTCCCAAGGCGAGCTCCCCCGTCGTCATGTCCTCCCATCTCTCCTCTTCGATCTCCCTACATTCCGATGACTCCCAGGGGCCTCACACGACCGTTGCCTCGTCGCCCCCAAAACCGTCGATCCCTTTAGCCTCCCCGGAGAACCGTTTCCACAGTCTGCCCTCCCACCGTCGTGCCAATACTGAGTACATCTCGCGACCCCCTATCTTCGAGGAAGACCTCTACGATCCAACCTCATCCGACGGCTCGTCAAAACACTCTTTGGGCCCATCACCCCTCTCTTGGACCGATACCTTCCCCAAAAAGAAACTTGAAGCAAGAGCCAGGGTCCTGTCGGATTGGTTCCAGGGCAGGTCAGATCCAGTCAACTTGGGAATCGCTCCGCGTACCAGCGGACTTGCCGACTCGGACGAAATGGATAAACCCCGTCTCACCAGCTTACACTCCTCCCACACCCGGTCAAACTCAGGCTTTACATTCTTCGGCCTACGAAAACAAGCAGAGGAGAAACCGCTCCCTCCAGCTCCTGCCGACGACGAATTCCTCAATCTCGATATCGATGCAGCCCTATCGCTGCCCAACTCTGATGTCGATAACGAAGATGCACTCGACAACCTCCGAGAACAAGCTAGCACCGTCTTGCGAGAGATGCAAGAAGCCTACAAGGAAAGGACCTTTGCGATGCACCAAGCCTTAGCCGCGAAGAACCAGAAGCAAGAGGAGCTCGAGGAAACCCGGGCACGAGCTGACCATTTAAGGATGCAGCTTGATGGAATGGCGGCCAAGGTCCTCGACCAGGAGAAAGCCATGAAGGCCATGGCCGAGGAACTGGAACAAGAAAGGCACATGCGTCAACAGGAGGAGAGCCGTAGTCGCAGTCGTACGATGCGCGCGATTCCTCCTGACGAGGAGATCCCATCCCTCGTCCTCCAGACTCCTCATCGCGGCAACAAGCGTGCAAGCCACGGTACCTTAACCAGCGACTCTGGCTTCGAGTCCGGAGACGAGAGTGTGGCCGACAGCGTATTCTCACACAAGGAGGGCATCGAGTCCCCTACATCAACACTTACCGCGCCATCTCCCAACCTGTCCCAGGTTGTTCTGTCCAATCCAACCGTCACTCCTACCCCAACTCCCGCCATCCAGAAGAATCTTGTCAAGGTCACAAGCACACCCAACCCGGCGCGGTCGTCAGCTTACGACCGTGTGATCAAGGGGATTGCTTCGACGCGCTTGGGAAGCTCTTTTGTCGGCAGCACCGGCAACCCAAACCAATGTGGCAACTGTCATGGCGTGCCAGCTTCCGAGGCCTGGAGTGTCATGGGTATTCTCAAGGATGAGAACCGAGGGCTGAAGACTCGATTGGGCGAGCTTGAATTGGTGATTGATGACTGCATTGGTCTTGTTGGTCCTTGAGCGAGGCTCGGACGAGATGTGTTTGAAGGAATTTGGATAAATATTTTGGGTGAAGATCTCTCGCAAAGACCTGGTGTCTATATAGAATAGCGGGGGGGATGATCTTATTTTGATGTTTTCTTTTTTTCACTACTATGAATATTCCGAATCATCAGATAGAATAGCCCGTGAGTCCTGGGCAATAATAAAGGGTTCTTCAGAATGGTGTGCTGAATATAGAGCTTGATACGATATGTTGTAGACCCTGTGCTAATGTGGGGATAAGCTCGGGGGGTGCTACCCTGGGGTACACACACCCACAGCTTAGGGGAGAATCTCGAAAAAAGTAGAAAATATCTTTTTAAAAAAAAAGAATTGAAAAATTGAGTGATATCAAATCTTCCAACTGTTTGACGCTATTTCCATTCAGGGTGAGTCAATGGAGGGGGAATTAAAAGGGGAGAGAGAAGTGCATCCAGAGTGGTGGCCAAGTGGCCTTAGTTGAATTAGCGCGAAGCGAAAAGTGGCCAGCGAACCTCTTTCTGTGACTTTCCTTCCCTTCCCCCCATCTCCCCCCAACCCCCATCCTCCTTTTCCTTTCCTTTTCATCTTCCCCATTCCACTCCTTTTGCTGGCTCCCAATTCCAGCTTCCTCTATTTCTTTTAAGACGGATTGGAGGGAAGACTGTCACAATGAGCGGCCGTGAGTTTCTTCCCAGCCTGCCAGCACGCGATCGATCGTCGCAACTCATCTTGCTTCGGATCACCCTCAATGGACTCGCCCATACTGACAACCATGATTAGTTCGCTTCCTTGACTTGATCAAGCCCTTCACGCCCCTCCTTCCGGAGGTGGCGGCGCCTGAGACCAAGGTGCCCTTCAACCAGAAGCTGATGTGGACGGGTGTACGTTGCTCCAAATTCGAGAATCGACCGTGTTTCGTGATCCGTGTTCAATGCTGACCTCAATCTCGTGTATAGTTGACTCTGCTCATCTTCCTGGTCATGAGCCAGATGCCTCTCTATGGTATCGTCTCCTCCGACACCTCGGACCCCCTGTACTGGCTCCGTATGATGCTGGCCAGTAACCGTGGTACTCTGATGGAATTGGGTATCACCCCTATCATCTCCTCCGGCATGGTCTTCCAGGTAGGTGATATCAATTGGTTTGTGACGAGCCGATAGCATTGGAACTGACTGTCAATTTTCCAGCTCCTTGCCGGTACCCACCTCATCGACGTCAACCTTGACCTCAAGACCGATCGCGAGCTCTACCAGACCGCCCAGAAGCTGTTCGCCATCATCCTGTCCTTCGGCCAGGCCTGTGTGTACGTCCTGACTGGTCTCTACGGCCAGCCCAGTGACCTTGGTGCCGGTATCTGTGTTCTGCTCATCGTCCAGCTGGTTGTCGCCGGTCTCGTCGTCATTCTGCTCGATGAGCTCCTGCAGAAGGGTTACGGTCTGGGCAGTGGTATCTCGCTGTTCATTGCCACCAACATCTGCGAGTCGATCGTCTGGAAGGCTTTCTCCCCTACCACCATCAACACCGGTCGTGGCCCCGAATTTGAGGGTGCCATCATTGCCCTGTTCCACCTGCTCCTCACCTGGCCCGACAAGCAGCGTGCTCTGTACGAGGCCTTCTACCGCCAGAACCTTCCCAACGTCATGAACCTTCTGGCTACCCTCCTCGTCTTTGCCGCTGTTATCTACCTGCAGGGCTTCCGCGTTGAGATCCCCGTCAAGTCCGCCCGCCAGCGTGGCATGCGCGGCTCTTACCCCGTCCGCCTGTTCTACACCTCCAACATGCCCATCATGCTCCAGTCGGCTCTGTCCTCCAATATCTTCTTGATCTCCCAGATGCTGTACTCTCGCTTCTCTGATAACCTCCTTGTCAAGCTTCTCGGAGTCTGGGAGCCCCGTGAAGGTTCTGCCCAGCTTTTCGCTTCCTCGGGTATTGCCTACTACATGTCCCCTCCTCTGAACTTCAAGGAGGCTCTTCTCGACCCCATTCACACTGCTGTCTACATTGCTTTCATGCTTGTTGCCTGTGCGCTCTTCTCCAAGACCTGGATTGAGGTCTCCGGCTCCGCCCCCCCGTGACGTTGCCAAGCAGCTGAAGGACCAGGGTCTCGTCATGTCCGGCCACCGTGAGCAGAGCATGTACAAGGAGCTCAAGCGTGTTATCCCCACTGCCGCCGCTTTCGGTGGTGCCTGCATTGGTGGTCTGTCCGTTGCGTCCGATCTTCTCGGTGCTCTTGGCAGCGGTACTGGTATCCTGCTTGCCGTGACGTAAGTTGACTTCTCACACATAGCAAAAGAAAAAAAACATCTACTAACACTTGACTTAGCATCATCTACGGATACTTTGAAATTGCCGCCCGTGAGGGTGACATCGGTGCCGGCCTCAAGGGCCTGGTCCCCGGCAGCTAAATTAACGAGACTGTTCTCCAAATTTCACGAGCAGTATGACGAAGGATTCTTTTTTCCCTTTTTGAATCTTTTGCCTTTCTCCGTTTAGTTCTGTCCCAATTTTCTCCTTTTTTTAATTGCCGCTATTCTTTTATACAATCCTTGGGAAAATGAATTGGTGTGCAAATGTCATGGCGTGGGAACGGGGACTAGTTTTCTCTTTGCTAGTTTGACGGTCCCGCTGAGAAATAGTTGAAGTGCCCTTGTAGAGAGGGGGCCTGTAACCATATTTTACTGATGAAAAACCAAATCAATTTCTTGTGATCGATCAAATGAACGTGGCCTTGGTAGAGTAGAGAGTAGCAGTCATGTATGTACTCAAGAGTAGCCAAGTCCTTCAAGTTCCGGCGGACTTGTCCTCGGTGAGTGGAATCGGCGCGGCAAAGTTTAATGGTGAATGAGAGTTACGTTGGTAATTTTCTCGTCCGAGTGCCAGTAGAGTAGTCAGTAGTTACTACTAGTATGTACTCTGTACAGCGAGGGGAGTGTCTTTCCTCTTGTAGTTAGTATAGGAGATCATGATCAGCCGACCACTACATTCCTGTATACTGTAGAGTATACCGTAGTATACGACCTATCATGATGAATTCTAGAAGATGTATGTAACATAGTTACTAGTACTAGTACCGTGACGATACAATACAATACACATTCTCCTCGGGTAACTCCTGCACGAGCTTAAATCGCGAGGGGCAGCCCCGCCGAGGCCTGAGGCGACCTTTCGGTACAGGGTTGGCGGGGAACTTACTTATCGTTTTTGACTCACTCTTCTTCCTTCTTAATCCCCTCAATCCCTCTCTTTCCCTTCTCGTCTTCTTTCGTTCTATCTTAATTTCCAAATCCACCTCCTCCTTCACAATGGCTCAACAGAACGGTTCCTCCGGCAATGACTTTCTCGTCAAGGCCGGCCTTGCGCAGATGCTCAAGGGTGGCGTAATCATGGATGTGGTCAACGCTGAGCAGGTAGGTTTACAACATCCTCTGTCGCCAATTGCCAATTGCCCTCGATTGTCTTGACTAACATGTCCTTCTCTTTTTCTCTCTATAGGCTCGCATTGCTGAAGAGGCTGGTGCTGCCGCCGTCATGGCTCTCGAGCGTGTCCCCGCCGATATTCGTGTCGAGGGTGGCGTTGCGCGCATGTCCGACCCCGGCATGATCAAGGAGATCATGGCCGCCGTTACCATTCCCGTCATGGCCAAGGCTCGCATTGGCCACTTCGTTGAGTGCCAGGTACGTTTTACCATTCCTCAGAACTATAAGAAAGAGAAAGAAATTCCCGGGGGCGGCGGATAGAGCACTCCAAAGCGGGGGGGTATAGAGAAAATCTAAAACTAACCATCCCACCCTCCTTATAGATCCTCGAGTCCATTGGCGTCGACTACATCGACGAGTCCGAAGTTCTGACCCCCGCCGATGACGTCTACCACGTCACCAAGTCCCCCTTCAAGGTCCCCTTCGTCTGCGGCTGCCGTAACCTCGGCGAGGCCCTGCGCCGCATCTCCGAGGGCGCCGCCATGATCCGCACCAAGGGCGAGGCCGGCACCGGCGACGTTGTCGAGGCCGTCAAGCACATGCGCACCGTGAATGCCCAGATTGCCCGTGCCCGTGGTATTCTTCAGTCTAGCGCGGACCCGGAGCCCGAGTTGCGCGCTTTCGCTCGTGAGATCGAGGCCCCCTACGAGCTTGTCCGCGAGTGTGCTGAGAAGGGCCGTCTGCCCGTTGTCAACTTCGCCGCTGGTGGCGTTGCGACCCCCGCCGATGCGGCGCTCATGATGCAGCTGGGCTGCGATGGTGTCTTCGTTGGCTCGGGTATCTTCAAGTCTGGCGACCCCAAGGCTCGTGCCAAGGCTATTGTCCAGGCTACTACCCACTACAAGGACCCCAAGGTCCTCGCTCAGGTTTCTGAGGGTCTGGGTGAAGCTATTGTTGGAATTAACGTGTCGCAGATGCCTGCTGCTGACAAGCTCGCTGGTCGTGGCTGGTAAATTTCTTTATTGAGATTGTGTGTTGATAACCTTGCCTTGTCTTTTTTTCATTTTCGCCTTCGGTGTTTGCTGGAGGGCACATTCAAAATTTCTTTTGTACATGAGCCATGAGCCGATGTCTATGATAGCTATTTGCATGACGGATACACAAAATTCTAGATTGTTTTTTTCTCTATCCTCGCGATATACAGCAATTGTAAACACCTGGTATATCTGCACTTGGCCGGAAAAAAAAGGGTATGTACTGGTAGTAGTTCATCGATGTAGTCCAACTAGCCAGTCGCCACAATCCCCGATCTAGACTTCCCCGCCACCAAAAAGAATCTTGAACCATGTCCTCAGTAGCCGTCGCCTCTTCTGAACCAATATTCTAGACACCAAGAAATCAATTGCCAGCCCCAATACGCTAACATCCAAAGTCACACGACGTGCGGAATCCAAAATGTTAGTTACACCATACCCTACGGAGAAAGTGGCAGATCACCGGCAACCCATCCGACAGATCCCAAATCTGATAGGCTCTCCGCTCCGAACCACCGATCACTGAACGCCCTGGAGAGAGCAAGATACTCCCCGGCCCCTCCCTTTCCCCCCCCAAAGCTCATTGTGGTAATCGATTGATCACCGGGGCCTCCATCTTCGCTTCCGCACACTTCTTCCAGAATGTCCAATCGGGATTGACTAACCTCCGTACCGAGTCTACCCGTTAGTAAGTGGGGTCCTCTACTCTAGGCCACTCTTTTTCCGCGTTAGGAAGGTGTATTGTATATACTGATACGACCGCTGTGGTAATTTATGTTTATGGGGCCACAAATGCACCTGCGTAGGTGAGTGAGGTTGTTGACTCACATACGCCTGTGGGGGTAGTATGGTAGAACAGAGGCTTCTATTCTGGCTCGCTCCAGGGCTGTTACCGCCAATGACTATGGGTCTTCCTGAATTACCCACTGAGATCCTGTTAATGATTGCGTGTTGTCCTTCGCAGGAGAGTATACCGAGAGCTTCATGAAGTCCTACCATTCTTCAATGCTCAATATCTCCATGCATTGGCATTATTATTTGCGGTTGAGCATAATCTCCCTCAAAATGTTCAACATCTGTTAGATGACTTGGAAATTGCTCGTACTCGGCCTCACTGCCTCCCGAACGACCTCTATCGAGAGATCATACGTGAGAAACGCCTCAGTCGGGCCGAGAAGCGCCAATCCGAAGATGTGAGTGGAAGTGCAGGTGAAGAAAAAGAAGAAGACAACTCATATTTCTCGTCATACAAATTATGCGAGACCCTCAAAGAGAGAAGACGGAATGAACATTCAGAATGCAGAGATCCCTACTGGGAAGATATCTACGCCAACCGTCTCTCTTTGCGCGGATATCGTATTTCGGCATTTGAGAATATCCAACACGCCTTAATGCTAGCTATTCAACGGGCCCAGGTCGATATCGTTATCATTTTACGGCAATTCGGCGCAGAGCCTAATTTCTATCGCGGTCGTGGCCGCGTATATCCACCGCCCAAACAGATCGACTGGGAATCAAGGCCACCTCGGAGACTGGGGCCGGGTTTGCCCCCATTATTTATGGCGGTACGAGGTGGAAATCTGGTCAAATTACTGCTCGATTCTGGGGCTGATCCGCAGCGACACGATCTGTCGAATTTATATCGTGCCGTGGAGGATCATCGTCGAGATATCATTCAATCTGTGTTATTAAATCTTGATGTTCGGTCTCAAAAATCCGTACTGAAACTGGTGGCTCTACGGAATGATTGTCGTTTGATTGAGTTTCTTATAGATGAGGGATTGAACGTTGCGGAGCAAGGACATGTGGGGTTATATGTGGCTGAAATGAAAGGCTACGAAGATAATACCAGATTGTTAAGGCTTCGTGGTGCAACTCTCTTTGCGCTCTCCGAGGATGATAACATGAATCGGGGGGGAGGAAGACAGAGATGGAACGTATCGCCGTCCTTCCTGTTGGTGTTTTGTTTCAATCGAGGATGAGGTACTTGAGGATGAGGATGATGAAGTCACCGAGGACTAATTGGATGAAAATCCTCATATCTATTGGATATCTGAACTTTCTAAGACTCTGTCTGATATTCGGGCAGCCCTCTCAGGCATTAGATTCCTATTATCGGAATTGGTTCCGGGATCCGTTTTCGGAAATTCCTAAGTTTCCGGGAGGGTTCTGCTCCAGTCTCTGATTTACTCAGTTCACTGGCTTTTCGTACTGTCCGCACCATTAACTATCTAAGTAGCAATACTATTTTGCATTCGATTTGGTGGAGGGTAAGGTGGCATAGCTACTTGCTGCTCGAAATTGCGATCTGTCTTACGGACAGGTATCAGTTTTCGTAGTTGGTAGTTCTAAAAAGGACTACCCAGATGAGGCAAATACTTCAATCAAACTGATTGTAAGTTTCAAGCAAATCTCTCTTGAGTGCTCACATACTAGTATAGTATATGCTTTCGAGGTCTGGAGTAGCTCACACTCCACCAGGTGCGCTCGGGCCACTCTAACCACGCTTCCCCCCAAGCCAATCAAGGGATACTTAAACACTAATCACCCCCCGTCCTCGAATCAGCAACAACGTATTCCTCATACTCTTGACGGGCCTTTTCAACCGCAGTAATTATGGCCAAGCAAATCTCGACACAAGAAATTACGAAGCATGCTCATGAGAACGATATCTGGATCGTGGTGAATGGGAAAGTTTACGACGTGACTGAATTTGCCCCGGATCACCCTGGCGGTGCCGAAAGTACTATGAATATTACAGATCCCCGCGTTCAGAAAACCCCCCGGCTAACTAACCGTCAAAGTTATTTATCACTTCGCTGGTCGCGATGCATCTCAGAAATACAATAGCACGCACTCTCCTTCGTTGATCAAAGATATCAACGACAGTCTCGTTGGGGACCTAGATACGACAACCATCACAGAACAATGGCGTGGACAGAATGAAACTCCCACGTCGACAACGACAGCCTCTGAGTCTCAGCTCTATCAGAAGCCGACACTCGACGACATCATAAATCTGGATGATTTCGAGGCCGTGGCCAAGAATACTTTCAGTCCCAAATCATGGGCATATCATAGCGGCGCAGCCAATGACTGCTTCACGAGAGACGAGAATCGCGACTTCTTCCGGCGTATTTGGCTACGGCCGGCAATCATGCGAGATGTTTCGAGGGTAAACACCCAGTCAACTCTATTTGGATGCAATCTTGACATCCCAGTCTTTGTCGCACCTGTTGGCGCAGCCAAGATGAGCCACGAAGAAGGCGAACTGCCTCTCGCGAGAGGAGCTGCCTCATCAGGAATCATTCACTGCATTTCAACAATGGCTTCCTATTCTCTTGCCGAGATTCTTGACCAAACCCCTTCCCAGGCTTTCTACCAACTCTATATCAATACAGATCGATCCAAGACAGAAGCTCTCGTCCGCCTAGCCGAGAAATCCGGAAAAGTGAAAGCTCTTTTTGTAACCGCTGATTTGCCAGTTATGTCAAAGCGCGAGGCAGATGAGCGAATTAAGCTTGATGAAGGTACCCAGTGGATTAATGTCGCCAAGGACAACAACAATAACAACAACAACCCGACAGGGAAGAAGAAGAGTGCAGGTCTGGCAAAAGCCAACAGCTCCTTTATCGATTCGACTCTGAATTGGGATGATCTGCGCTGGCTGAGGAGTATTTCGAATCTTCCTATAGTACTCAAGGGCGTTCAGCGGGCTGAAGATGCTATCCTAGCAATGAGAGCTGGGTTCGATGGCATTGTCATCAGCAACCATGGAGGACGGGCTGCAGACACCACACCCCCGACAATCCTAGTTCTTCTAGAAATTCACCGATACTGCCCTGAAGTATTCGGCAAAATGAAGGTCCTTGTGGATGGAGGGTTCCGTCGCGGCTCGGATATCGTCAAGGCAATTTGCCTTGGTGCATCTGCCGTGGGTTTGGGTAGATCGTTTGCATTTGCTCTCAACTATGGGCAGGATGGTGTTGAGCATGCTGTGAGCTGTGAGTATGACATGACTGTGGAAATTTGGCTGGATGCTAACCGATGTAGTGATCAAAGAGGAAATCGAGACGGCTACCCAGCTGGTGGGTATGACAGAGTTGTTCCGCGATGCGAGCCCATCTTACATCAATACGGCTGGCTTAGATCATCTATTGCCTCCGAATCATGATAGTACTATTGGGGGCTCAGTGAGACGATCGAACAAGCTTTAGATACTATGTCGTTTAGGAGGGTTGGGTTGCTGCGTGAAGCAGAGTGTACATGAATTTAAGTTCTATGGGAGTCGCTACGCCCCGGCATCTCGATACTGTAAAGCTTGGTACTTCAGTGTTTACTTGAGAATCTTGCTCAATAACCTTGTTAGATTTGATAAGAATAAACACTCAGGTAGTATTTTCGAGATATTCCTTCACATTAAATAGAGGCCGAGGTCATTGAAGCCTTGAAGGAGGGACCTTAAACAGCTTTCAAACGGGCCTTCCTAGCCGAACCAGACCTGCCCACTGCAAAGAGTTCCTCTTTTCATATTATCCTCCTCACTCTGCATCCTCAAGTTGAAAAGGGTCATGACCGCATGGCTGTACCCATCATTCCCCTTTTTCATCTTCGACTCGTAATCCTTCAACTCATTCGGTTTCAAAACGCTTCCCGCTTTCTGACGATTGACCCTTGCCATAGCCAACCTGTCTAGCAACTGTTGGCTAGCCTTCTTCTCCCTGATAGCATTTCCATACTTCAGTCGTGTCTCCATGATCCAGCGGTCGGCCTCATTTTCATTCATGCCAACGGGGAGATAGAGCTGGAAAGCGTCTACCTGTAGTCTCAACTCCTTTGAGAAGTCGAGGAGTTCATATTCGAGCTTGCGCATAGAATTGCCATAGTCGTTTCCCCTCTGAATGCCCAGCTCGTGCAGCCTTTTTTCCTCCGCTTCGTGCTTTCTGGCCCGCACCCAAACTCCGTACTCGTATTTCTGAAACTTCTTAATCCCCTCCCAGAGAAGAAGCGATAGTCCCAGAAGCTCTGTAAAGGCATAAATGTAGGGTTCGGTGCCCTCTTTGCTGTTGTTGATCAAGTTCCAGAGCACGGTTGCCCGATCCTGGTACATTTTCATCTCCTGAGGGTTGAGCTGTGGGAATCGAGTGATTTGATCGAGACGAACGAGATCGGAGAGTGATGGGAATGGTTTGTATGGGCAAAAGTCTGGCGAAATGGGCCATGGGTTGACGCCATTGGATTCACTGGGGTCCTCGTCTGACATCTTGATGGTGTTCCTGTGTTGCTGTGTTGTGGTTTGTAGTGACGCTTCTTCGTTGTTGGGATGCGAGTAGATTGTATCAGCGGTAACTGAGATAGAGTGTAACCGGAAGGCTTCTTTACACAGTAATGGACACCTAGGGTATTCAATAAGAAGTCTTATTGACGAGAGAGAAGGACGGGAGAGAAAGGGTGAGTAGTTGACGCGGAGTTGGTACAGTGAATGAAAAGGATGGGTGCCTGAGGGGAGAGAGGCCACCCGCAATTCGCCAGAAAAGCCACTACGCCTAGTACGTCTACAATAAGACCAGATCAAGAAATTTCTCAAATAGAATGGCTCAGTATGCGGGTCGCTAATTGAATTTATTTCATCGATTCTCCCCATGCAATCCACCGCCGAATACATTCATCTACCTTTCGCAATGCGTCCTTCTGCGCTTCAACCTCAAACCACTCGCGATGCTCCTTGCCACACTCTGTGCACTGGCCAAGATCACGAATTCGAAGATTTGCCAATTCCAGATGAATAAGTCTTTCCACACGATGGACATGTGGGACCTTACTTCCGGATACTGAAGAGGCCGCCGGGGTCCGAGATGGTGGCACTCTAGCTGGGGAAGAGTTTGTAGACGAAGGGGTATAAGGGTAGTAGCGTATGAGTGTCAAATCGTGAGAGCATTGGCGTGTCCATTCCACCAGTCTTCTGTGGACATTACTCGTCCTGCCTATTTTCAGTCTGAGTGTGCCGGGTGAGGTAGATGTCGGGTTTGTGGTTAATGCATTGAGACCTTGTGCTGCGCGAATTGCATCACTGACACTGCGTGGTTGTGCTGGTGGTCGGAGGGTGTTGTCCTTATAGGGGGATTGGGGCAGCAGAGAGGATGCGATATCCCTTGGGATGGGGGGTTGAGCCGGTCCACTTGGTCCACTTCCTCGTGGGGTACTTTTTGGAGGTGTAACCCAAAACATGTAGATGTAGCCTTCCTCGTCAGCATCGGAAATAGGTTTGGCTAGTTCCGTCAGAAGAATCGATGTCGTTTGAGGTTCCAAAGTGGAAGGAATCCATGATAAAAGAGATCCGGTCTGCGAAGACTTTCTGGGGGTTGGTGCAGAAGGCCGAGATGGTTTTTGCTGACCAGACGATGGGATGCGGCCATTTTGGGGGCGCCCTTGGTTAGAATAATGTGATGGACGAGATGGCGTGGGTTTCTTGACTGGAATGGATGGTTTGGAATCCTGGTCGCTTTCTTCGTCCACAATCTCGAAGCAGCAGAAGGAGCTTTTCTTCTTCTTGGGCCGAGGTCGAGGTTTTTCGCCGAGGTTGGCTTGGTTCGTATACCGCCTTTTTGGAGGCTTTTGTGTTCCATCGTTGATGTCAAGGACGCCAAGTCGGTCCATAAGGGTATCAATGCTAGACCTTGGCTTCAAAGAGTCTTCATGGGTTGTGGGTTGAGTGACCGGGGTCGAAGAAAAAGCCTGGTCTTTGTGTTGCCAGCAATACAAAGAATCCACATCTATCGGTGCATGTCGAGGGTCCTTCTTTCGAGGAGTCGATACCGGAGACGGATTTGGGGACGGTGTTACGCCGCGCCGACAGGAGCGGCCTTGAGTTGTGATGCCTCTACATGTGTTGGCGGGATTCCGGGAATCCGAGCGTGGTAGCAAAGATTCTGGGGTATTGGATATGTGAGGCATGCCCAGATGAGGCTAGAAAAATAGAGAATGGGTATGGCGTCGAAAAGACGGGTCTTTGTTTGAAGAATCGAGAAGTTAGGCTAAATACTAGGCGCCTGCAGGGCTGTTGCCCACCTGCAATGCGGCGAGACCGCCCTGGCCCTGGCACGGCACTGGCATGTCTGCCAGGGCCAGGCTAAGACTCCACTTGACCACGTCGGGCGCGAAGGGATGTTGAAGCATTTTTTATTTTTGTAAACGGTGGACCTATTATGGTTAGTGTTTGCCTCTTTTGGGTCTAGCGCTACCCGTGCACTCCGCCACATCGTGGCTCAGCTATGCATAGCACAAGTCCTACACCTGGGCAGTGGTCACACAATCCTATTATATATAGAACCGTGACACTATAGGTCCACGGATTATCGTGTCCTCTATAGTGAAACTTGAATGACTTGACTTTTCAGGAAGGAAACTAATTGTTCGTGAACGGGGACAGACATTTGAAACTAAAGTGGGCCTTCGAAATAGCATGGTACGGCTTATGGTTAGAGATATATTATAAAACCTGCGCAAGTTCTTTCTGCTACTTCTAGTAGCCTGGGCACTGGATATTTTTGATATGTTTCCTATCAAATCGTACTACCGATAAGAATCCAATTCCCAGAATAGCACTGCCGACCGAAAAATAATTTGGCCGCCTCCCGGTAGTATATTTCCGACACATCGAGACTAGTCGGTGATGTCTTTTGCTATGGGGTTCCCGCTTTTGGGGTTCGCGTCGTGAGAAAGAGCGTGTCAGCGACTGTCTTGCGGTGTCCATTCATCCACCGCCACATACTGCAAGATATCATTTGCTAGGTAGTTCAGCCGAAATATTGAGAACCTGCAGAATAGCCGAATCTTGAAATCGCAGAGATATATGTGCCAGGTGCCTTCAATCAAAAGCCAGAAATGCTGAGGTTGAACATCAGAACATCAAGAAGTACATAGTAACCCATTGCTGTCAATTGAGAACCAATCAAATCAAGATACGTTATACTTCTCATTCAACATTTTGACGGCGGGCAACACTCTCATTCCTTGGGGGAGACGTGCACAATGACCTTTCCCGTGCTAGAGCCTTTCTTGAGATGTTCCAAGGCCCCAATGACCTGCTCAAATTCGAAGGTTGAATCGATGGTCGTTGTGATGGTCCCATCAGCGAGCCAATTCGCTAGCTGCTCATAATCCTCGCGTACATTCTTGGTGAAGTACGGCACGAATTTGCGTGGCGTGCCACCCAGGAAGCTTGGCCACAGCAGACCTTTGGTCATATTCTGAACCGTCTGGAGTGACGGGGAGCCACCGACAGCAATATAGTGGCCCTCTGACCTCAAAAATCCAGGCGTCGTGGTGAAAAAGTCCTTTGGCGAGTTACCAACGTTGTCCACCACCAGATCGTAGACTTGGCCTTCGGCTTTCAGTTCAGTAACAATATTCTCGACGCGGTAGTCGATGACTGCATCGGCGCCTAGCTTCTTCACTAGATCGACTTTGGCTGTTGAGCAGGATGTCGTGACGTGGCACCCGAGGGCCTTGCCAATTTGGATACCGAAAGATCCCGTTCCCCGGAGCCGCCGTTGATGAAGATACGATCGCCTGCTTTGACGTAGGGCTTTATGCTTTGGTAAGCTGTCATACCAGCGGTGGGGACACCAGCAGCATGATCAAGATCCACTTCTTTGGGGATCACAGCGTATTCCTCTCGTGACAAGACTAGGTATTGGGATAGAGAGCCGTGGGACTTCATTGGATCGACGCGGCCAAGGATGTTGTCGCCGACTTTGACATCCGTCGAACCCTCGGCCACCGCCGTGACAGTACCACTGAGATCCATACCCATGACTTTGGGGAATTTGACGGTGGCACGAGCGAGAAATCCCATTTCCATGACTTTATAGTCTGCTGGGTTGAGACAAGCACTGACGACGCGGACGAGGATCTCGCCCTTTTTGAGAGCTGTATTGGGACTCGGAACGTTGTCGACGAGCTTGAGATTCTTCTCAACGGGACCGGGGGCATTTTGCTGCCATGCCTTCATGGTATCTTCCATTGCGAATCAATTGATTAGCACTATACAGGGTGCCTAGAAGCGATATTGTTGGCTGAGGGGTAGGATCGGCAAAACCAATCTCAGAAATATAGGACGATGACGTCAATATAAATATTAGTCAGCAAATATTTGAAAGTTGAACTATTCGGGATTCAAGATGAGGTTGTTATCTTTAGTTGCGAGATTTGCTGTGGCGAAGAAAATAATGTGAGAACTTGAAGTTCACGGGCGATGGGGTTGACAGCCAGGATATCAATCACAACGAAGGTTGTACAAAGCAAGGAGTCGAAAGGGGGGGGTATGGTAATAATAAGCTAAGGAAAAATACAGGCCGCAACATGGTACTGACTGATGGTGCCATCCCTTGAACTGAATTCCTGTTATAGAGCTCCTTTTCTGATAAAGTGGTTACGTTTTGATTTCGTCATCTATGTTTTGGGATATGAATCTTTAGTTTCAAACGGCATCATCAACAAGCTCGCGTAGCTCAGTTGGTAGAGCGCGGCACTAGTAATGCCGAGGTCTTCAGTTCAAATCTGGACGTGAGCATTTGTTTTTGCTATTTCTTTTTGCTAATTTATCTGCAATGCCAAACCTGCGTCTAAGTGCTGTCACCACGCCGAAGGCGATGCTTTGCAACCGAATTTTCATCATTAACTTGACATCGAGCTGATTATCGCGTAACAGTCAAGCTCGTGTGGACACTGAATCCCATTACAGATCTTTGGGACAAGCCTGGGCCGTATCGGCTGATAGTACTAGTAGTATCCTGCCTATGACTATGGAATCATAGAAATCCCCTTGATATGGCAGCTGATATTGTCCAGGCTACAAGATGTATACAATGGAAGGGATCAAGCGGTGCATCGTTTCGCGGAGCTTCGACTGTTTCGAAACCCAAATGATATAAAATGATATATAAAGTCTTCGGTTTCCAACAAGTTGGGCGAATCTCGTATAGGACTCGGAAATGGGGAGAGAGGTGAATCATAGATGGTGGTAAATAGTGGTGGGCACTCGTGATGGGTAAACAATCAACAGGGAAGGTGCCCAGTGGGACCTCATCTTGATGGAACTTGAAGAAAGAGGGCAGCCAGCAAAGGCAGGTGCTCCTGTCAAAAGGGTGTTCCCGGGTAGTAGCCTGGAGGCTATGAGCACACTGGTGCTAACTCATGGAAGGAAGAAGGCAGCCAAAACAGGCTAATCTGATCCTAATTGCGATTCCTCTGTTGACAGCCGTGGATAACTCGCATATTAGAGCCCTCGCCAATAAATAAATCCAGCCAAATATAGCGTTTCACAAATTATTTTACATTTTAATAGATCTTTCAATGTTGCCATTTATAGATAGCGGTAGAGTTACTATGGCCTACTAAAACTCGGTCTTGGTCGGAGTGCCAGTCTCTGCTCCCGCGAATGGATATCTAAGTAAATATCCAATCACCCAAAACTCCCCATCATCGTCATCATCGTCGCATATCGATAGATAATTCAAGCATCTATTGTGTATAATCAAAGCTCATGTTGCGGCACTTGAGCCAGAAATTCCTGACAAGCTCCAGAGTCTGTGACCTTGCGCCCCGAGCAATCATGAGAGTTTCCAGGAACCGAGATTTGTCTTGTGGAGAGAAGACTGGCACTTGGTTCCCGTTTGCATCTGCCATCTGGGCATCGAGTGTTTCCAGTGCAGTTGCAAGGCTTGGGCGTGCTTGTCTCATTTTGTTGAAGATGGTTCGTCGAAGCGCGTCGCTGAGGGATGGAAGATCTGACCTTGAGCAACGGCCAGCGAATTGTTTGACCAGAGTTTGGCACAATGGTGGGATGAATTGATCCAAGACCTGGTCGAGTGCTGCGGTTTCTTCCGCATTCCCGCCACGTAGCTCTATCATCGTGACCCAGAAACTAGAGCCTGAGCGAATTGTTAATGGCTCAGGTCTGCTCAGTGCATGGAGTGTAAAGTTGAGGAGGACTGCGAACACAGGCGGATGCTGTAATGAAGCATTTCCCGTTGAAGACGGAAGCGGTTCGGTGAGTGAGAATAGTATGTGGTAGTATTTCGGTAGTAGGCGTGCGAGGAAGTCTATGCCAGCATTGGCAGTTTCCGGGTCGTAGATATCGGGAGTTTGGAGCATCGACGAGAATAGTTCAGTCACATGGATTATCAAGGCCACTGCTTCATTGCGAATATGAGCTGCATGGGAGGCGTGGGAGGCAAGGAAGGAAGAGGCGGTGGCCATGATGACATCTGTTCCGGATATACCCAGTGGGAAGCTCTTGATGAAGTCAACTGTTAGTGACGGAGGGAAGACAAAAAGACCGGATGACTCTGTATATCCAGCCTTGAGAATGTCGCACGCAGAATCTATGATACCGCTGTCCACTGGGAAGTCCACAATGAGGATACGCATCGCTTCCATGATCAGTTGCTGAGCTCGAGAGCCTGGGCCGGCATTCCAGAAAGATGGTGGATATGGGTTTTGTTCTTCTGCTTCATCAAGATTGATAACTTCATCCGAATCAGCCCGAAGCCCCCTTCCGATGCTGGCGATACAGCCCAACACAAGGTGACCATGAGATCGAGCCACATCATATGACGTGCTGGCTTCTTCTCGCGCCTTCTTCGCCTCCTGGACGAAAAAATCAAGAATTCTCTCAAGCGTTTCAACCTTCTCCTGGTCGGTAGATAGCTTTTGAATGATCGTCGCAATACCCTCCAAGACCTTTGGCATGGTTGATACGGTTGCCGTTGGCTTGGTGCGGAACTGGTCAAACTGATCTAGGAAAATAGGGAGCTCTGAAGTCAAGACACGAGCACAGGACTTCGAGAGGGTCAAGATGGATCGTGAAGCCGCCTGTGCGCAGGGCTCGAAGCTGAGTGACTCGAATAAAATGTTCAAAACACCCGCAAGGAGAGAGTTGTGACGCTCGAAATAAGATTCGTACTTTCCAAATGTGTCCACCAGAGTCTGGCGCGCTTTGAGAGGAATCTGCGCCTCGCTGCCTGTGCAAAGTTGAGAAAAGGCCTTGCTACCGAAAATCGCATCCAGACACTGATCTGCATGGCCATTTTCATCGACTGCTTCAGAGAGTTGTGCAATGCAAAACATAGCGGCCTCGAACCCTCGCCAATCATGATTCTCGAGATGAGTTGTTGCGCTCTTTTGGAATACGCTCACCAACTCTACCCCCAAGATCGGGTAGGCTGATAGAAGATAATCGCAGGCTTCATAGCGGAAAGCGTTGAATTCTCCCCTTTCATCATCGCCCCAATCTTCGAGGTCCTCGGTTGTTGGGTAAAGAAGTTTGTTGAACAATCCTAGGACCACCTCGGCTAGTTGGCCTTTGACTAACTGATACCGGGGATCATCAGAATTTAGCTCATCGGTAACACATTCGGCAATTTCACTCCAGTATTCCAGGACACGGGGTGTTGCCGGGTCATCGATAGAGGCGTATCCCGGAGTTTTGAAAATGCCATGGACAATGGTCAAAATTCCGACGTTCTGGGGTTTCATCGGATCGGTGAACAAATCCAAATGAAGGTACGAGAGATATGCCACCAAGAGGTCGACGTATGCCATGCTCTCATTACCCTCGTCGCCCTTGGTAATAGCAACGATATGCATCGTCACAATAGAGTCGGATAGGATTTCCGACAAAGCCCATATGGAATTTTCATCGAAGGCCCAGCGGCGATTGTCAAAGGCCTGTGTCAATACTGTTGCGGCGCTTTCGCTAAGGGTAGTAAATCGAAGCATTTTGATAATATCCTGACCACATTGAACAGCGATACCCTGAAGACTTTCGCCACTCGATGTATAACGGCTTGCGTAAACACCTAGCCAGGCCTTTCAGACGAAAAGCACGTCAGCAATCCACGGGATGTAGTTAAATTGGAGACTTGGCAAACTCACCTTCCACGAACTCATAGCCTCATTCCCTAATGTGACTTCTGTTGACTCTTCCCTGAGTGCAGCCTCGGAAATTGAAATCTGCTGCATGATGTATCGCACCAACAGAAAACCATCCTCGGTGTTCGCTTGGCACCTTTCCAGAATCGGCTTGGCATCTTGGGGCTCAACCTCTAGCCGCAAACCGTCTTCAGCCAGCGCCACTGAGAAAAATGACAACGCCAATGCTTGTTGTGTGCTTAGTGCAGGCAGTACCCCATTCAGGAAATCCACAGTCTGGGATTCCTGTTCAGAGACATATCCACCATGAGCAAGGCTGGCAGCCAGCTGCCAGATAGCTCGTTTCCATGGTGATTTTGGGTGCCTGAAGATAGTCGTCAGGCTGGATGCAAGTTTCCTGATTACCATCGCCTGTTCGCCCTCGTTAACGATAGCGACGAAATGGTTAACGAGCTGCGCCAAAATCTCCACGGTCATGGACTCTTCAATATCAACGCTGAAAACAATTTATCAGCAACGAACTTCCAATAGTTGACATTTGTTTCAGGGACAAACAAATTATACTACCGACCTTGAGACATTAACTTTAACTGTGAATGTAAGTGCTCCCATGAACCGATGATGGGCTGATGGCTCCCGTAACAGGGAATCCGCGATTTCCCAGGCATTTTCGCCTTTCTGGAGTTGCTGCAACCGTGCTTGAATCTCATTGATCCGGGCCGGATCGCGTTGATTGCCCGGGTGATAGAGTTGACTGACCAGCTAAGAAAGTGTGAGAAGACGTGACTTTCAAATAGAACGTCTTGGATGACAGTCATACCGTGTGTGACTCAGCAACTGGACCTCCGGCATTGTGTCCCATGCCTGCAAGTTGCGTCGCCATGATTTCCTCACCAAGCTCTCATGGGGTGGATGAATGGAAGTGCGAAGGAGGAAAAAGGGCGTATACAAAGCATCACGTGGTGATAGCCGCCTTTCTGCAGGTGATTCCCTGTTATCTCAACGGTGATTGGTGAGACCCAAGGCGGTAGGGTGGTCGGTCAAACGCGGGGCTTTCGGGCGGTGTGGTGGAAATAAACACGACTGTGAGAAACATGGGGGGGGGAGTATGGCGTGCACAAGAACTTGCCAGGTGAACTTCTAGCTACTAGATTGGAGGAATTGGAATGGATATGGCCTTCCAAGGCTCAACTTGATGTTTCAAGGTTGAATAAATGCCTACCTAGGTAGGTAGCCTTTAGAAAGCTAATAGTATCCAAAAATTGTACCAGTAGTTCATCCACCATCGAATCGATATATACCCTTAGGATCATACTACTTGTAGTTTGAACTTCAAATATCTCAAAAGCAAGACTCGATATTCCAGTCAAGATAGACATGCCAGAAAAGAACACCACCTTTTCCAATTGCTGCAACTAGTACGCTGGCGCAATGCAAACATTTGGACGCAACATGCAAACAGGACGGGCCGGTGGGGAGATTCCGGCACTGCCCCCCGGCCTCCTATGACCGACAGCGAGACTAGCCGGCCTGGACAAATTACTAGTAATTTGCCATAGCTACCTTAAGGCACACGACCCGGCGGAATTGAAGCCACTTCCTCTTATCACTTATCTGCCACCTCCCACCTTCCACCTGGCAGCTCTGTTCGGTGATTCAGCTGAAGGTCGCCCGCAGAGTCCCCCCCCGCCCCAGGCGTCTCGCCCATGCTCTTCTCCCACCCTATTCGCCTTCCCTGGACATCACTGCGATCACTGAGGCCCCTTCAATCTAAGAGGTTTTTCTCCGCATCTCGCCCCCGGTTCACCATCGAGATGGCGACCGTGGATACCACACAACGCCTCTCGCAGCTGCGGCAGCTGATGCGAGATAACAAGGTTGATGTTTACAGTATGTCAGCCTTCTCTTTCTTCCCAATTCCCCGAAATGCTGCTAATCTCTTGTTCAGTCGTTCCCTCCGAAGATAGCCACCAGTCCGAGTATATCGCGCCTTGCGACGGCCGACGAGGTTAGCTGCCACCACCATTTTCGATCACACCCCCTTGCAACCACTCACAGTCTCTTTCAATATCAGAATATATCTCCGGGTTCTCTGGCTCCGCCGGCACTGCCATTATTTCTCTGAGCAAGGCCGCTCTGTCCACCGACGGTCGTTATTTCAACCAGGCCGCCAAACAACTCGATGGCAATTGGCAGCTTCTCAAGCGTGGTATCGAAGGTGTGCCCACATGGCAGGAGTGGTATGGATGATATTCTACTATACATGGAATTGGATCGAGACTGAGTGCGATATAGGACTACGGAACAATCCCAAGGCGGCAAGGCCGTTGGTGTTGACCCGTCCTTGATCACGGCTTGTAAGTACTGCTATATATATCCATGGCTCATGTCTATCACGGCTAACACCCGTATCTCTATACAGCTGGTGCACGCAAACTCGCCGAGACCCTCGAGAAGAACGGCTCCTCGCTGGTGGGAATCCAACAAAACCTGGTTGATCTGGTTTGGGGCAAGGACCGCCCAGCGCGTCCTAGCGAGAAAGTGCGCGCGCACCCAATTAAGTATGCCGGTCGTCCATTCCAAGAGAAGATCGCCGAGCTGCGCAAGGATTTGGAGACTAAGAAGAAGGCCGGATTCATCATTTGTAAGCCGTCCATTTTCGTTCCACTATCGCAGTCGCCTAACATTATGCAATAGCTGTGCTCGACGAGATTGCCTGGCTATTCAACCTGCGTGGAAACGAGTGAGACTATCCGATTGACATAGTTATGTGTCCAAGTGCGACTAACAAAATTTAGTATTCCCTACAACCCGGTGTTTTTCTCCTACGCGGTTATCACCCCAACCACCGCAGAGCTCTATGTGGATGATGAGAAGCTTACACCCGAGGTCAAGGCCCAGCTTGGCCAAGACGTTGTCATCAAGCCATATGATTCCATTTTTGCCGATGCTAAAGCTCTCAGTGTGGCCAGAAGCCAATCAGCTGATGAAACAGCCGCCAAGTTCCTTCTGTCTAACAAGGCTTCGTGGGCTCTCAGCCTAAACCTTGGCGGCGAGGATCAGGTCGAGGAAGCTCGTAGCCCGGTCGCAGATGCCAAGGCTGTCAAGAACGAGACAGAATTGGAGGGCATGCGTGCCTGTCACATCCGTGATGGTGCTGCACTGACCGAATACTTTGCTTGGCTTGAGAATGAGCTCATCAGCAAGAAGACTGTCATGGACGAGGTTGACGGCGCCGATAAGCTGGAGCAAATTCGCTCCAAGCACGATCTCTTTGCTGGTCTTTCCTTCGATACCATCTCTTCTACCGGTCCTAATGGCGCTGTGATCCACTACAAGCCTGAGAAGGGTAGCTGTGCGACCATTGACCCGACCGCCATCTACCTCTGTGACTCCGGTTGCCAGTACTTTGATGGAACTACTGATACCACTCGGACTTTCCACTTTGGTCAACCCAACGACTTTGAGAAGCGTGCTTTCACCTTGGTCCTGAAGGGAATGATTGGAATTGACACTGCTGTCTTCCCCAAGGGAACCAGTGGCTTTGCTATCGACGTTTTGGCTCGCCAGCACCTCTGGAAAGAAGGCTTGGATTTCCTCCACGGCACTGGACATGGCGTTGGCTCCTACCTGGTAAGTAGATACACGTTCGATCCCCTGCCTCCTCAACTTTAATTATGTATTCACCTCGTTTATAGAACGTGCACGAAGGTCCCATGGGTATCGGGACTCGTGTGCAGTACACCGAAGTCCCGATCGCGGCTGGAAATGTCATCTCGGATGGTTTGTTACTTCTGCCTTGAAGCCCAGACTCAAATGACTGATCAATGATATTAGAACCCGGCTACTACGAGGACGGCAAGTTCGGTATTCGCATTGAGAGTGAGTTCTGTCTGCGAACATCTAAAACAGTGGGCCTCAATTCTAATTACTCTTTGATAGATATCGTCATGTGTCGCGAAGTTACTACTCCCCACAAATTTGGCGATAAGCAATGGCTGGGCTTCGAGCATGTCACCATGACCCCCATTGGTCGCAACCTGATCGAGCCTTCTCTGCTGAGCGACTCGGAACTCAAGTGGGTGAACGACTACCATGCTGAAGTGTGGGATAAGACCCACCACTTCTTCAACAACGACGAGTTGAGCCGGAAGTGGCTTGAGCGTGAGACCAAGCCTATTTCCAAGTAGGTTGGTCTGCAACAGTCGTTAAATACATCCCTGTCTTGAGGCTCGTTGACGTAACCTACTCTTCATCTACAATACAATCTTCTATGGGTACATGTAAAGTCAAGCTCTAGCGCGGCCATACAACCTTTATTGGTTTTAGTTTGTAAATTGAGAGGGAAATTCCATGGATGTACTAGTACCAAAAGTCTACCAAGTCTACCAATTCTACCAAATATTTGAGGGTCACGTTGGAATGCGGGAAGCTCATGTGGAGCCGCCAACACCAAAGACCAACTTCCCCGTGCTCCAATGCCATCCCTCCACCTCCACAAACACGCAACACCCTCCTCCCGAACCCTCCGACCAAGAATGGTCGCTTCTCTTTCTCAACACCCGTCGCGCGAAGGCCACAGCACTTGAATCCCAACGCCCCCCACATTGCGGCCCCCCGCACCCCCTTGTCGCTGCCTACGACCACCCTACTAAATCGGCCTAGACACCTGGCGTGAGCCAGAAACCATTGGGAATGAGCGGTCGCAACGGTTACGGAAACGGTTACGGCTACGGCGACTCGAGCCGGTATGACCAGCAGAGCGAAGGTGGATACGCTGGTAACAATAACAATAACCTCGGAGTGAACGGATACGGCGGTCGAAGCGGTGCCAATTCATCGGCATCTAGTCGGTCTCGCCCGGGTGGTTATGGTGGCTTTTATCCAGAGGCTTCTCAGCAACCGTCTTTGTCTCCTGCCCCGTCGCCGGAGCGCCGACGTGATCGCTCGGAACGTGAGAGGCCGCCGGGCTCGTCGCACTCTGCGTCGTCGCGATCGAGGACGCGGGGTGGGGAAATGGATAGGAGATATCAGAACTCAAGTGATGGTGCTCACTTGAGAGAGGAGCGTTCGAGAGAGGAGCGCCCAAGGGAAGAGCGTCCAAGGGAAGAGCGCCCAAGAGAAGAACGCCCGAGAGAAGAACGCCCGAGAGAAGAACGCCCGAGAGAAGAACGCCCGAGAGAACAGCGCCCGAGAGAACAGCGCCCGAGAGAGGATCGCCCAAGAGAACAGCGTCCAAGAGAGGATCGCCCCACACAAGATCGCTCGAGAGATGCTGCGCAATATGCGGAGAGTCGCAGCCGGGACATGAACCCTCACCAAGCAAGTCTTATATCAAACAATTCGGGACCGATCCAATCAGTTGAAGGTTCGTGGACGCTTTCCAACACCAAGCTCTGTATAATTCACTACTAATCTGAATGTATACAGATGTTCTACAGTCAATTCAACGGGATTGGGAATTCATGACGGGCCCCGAATGTATCCCCGTCCATGTCGCGCTCAGCCTCATGGACACAAGTACTCTGGGAAAGGCCGAACGCGAACCGGAGTTTCTGAACATGTACAATGAGATCCAGAGGACTCTCAAGTCAATTGTGAACGGTTAGGATCTCTCCCGCCCGTTCGATTTGCCAGTACTGACAAGACTTGCCTCAGAGCACCATCAGGGATTCAACAGTTCCATTGGTACATACCACATGATCCAATCTAATATTTCCAGCTCCCAAGGGCGAGTGCGCAACCTGAGACACTCTCTGGATGAGGCAAAGAGCGGGTTGTTGTCAACCAAACCGGAGCTAAAAGGGCTGGCGACGTCTTCCCAGAACTATGACGATCTCCTGCAGCTGTTCGCCCAGATAGAAGAGATCCAATCACTCCCAGAGAAACTTGAATCTCGTATATCTGACAAGCGATTTCTCGCGGCTGTTGAAGTACTGCATACAGGATCGCGCTTGCTACGCCGCTCCGAGCTTGAGGACATTGGCGCTCTGTCTGATGTTCGGGCTTATTTCAGTAACCAGGAAACCTCTCTCACAGAAATTCTGATTGAAGAACTGCATGATCACCTTTATCTAAAGTCTCCCTACTGTTCGGATAGATGGAAGGCTCCCGTGGGCGAAGGAGACATCAATTCCTCCAGCTGGTCGGGTAATCGTTCCTGGGAACGACCGATATACACATTTTTGGCCAAATTCGATCCAACTACGGCCATGATAGAAGATTCATCACGAAATCCCGAGGCGGACACATTCTCATATATTCAACTACTGATCGAAGCACTCAACAAAATGGGCCATCTCGATACTGCTGTCGACCGAATTGAACAGCGCCTTCCCGTGGAATTGTTCGCGGTGGTTGACAAAACCAATGCCGAAGTTGACAACCGTTATCCCACCCCGAACCGTACTTTTTCTTCTCACGACAATCAAGCCAAATCGAACCTGCCCACGGAAACGATTGAGAAGCGTGGGCATGTGTTGTCTGAATTCTTATGGGCTCTCTATGCCAAATTTGAGTCGATTGCAGAAGGCCACCGAGTTGTCCATGACGTTATTGAAGGAATTGTTGGACGAGAGGGTCTAAACAAGGGTGATACACTTGGCGGTGGTTTCAAAGAATTGTGGAAGCTCTTGCAGAGCGAGGTAAGTAAGCCTGGTAGCCTAATTGTAACACTGTACTAATATTTGCCCTCCAACAGATTCGATCTTTGTTGCACGATTACCTTGCCACTGATGGAGATGGTTCCTTTGGTTCCCGCGGCGAAGAGGCCGATGCTCGGCGCAACCTCTACGCAGGAAACCGCGACAAGAACAAGAGAATGTTCAAGTTGTCCGATATGGATGAAGGCACTGAAATGAAGGCCGAGCAAGACGAACTGGATGAAATCTTGAAATCCTCTGTCCCAGGTCTTGTTTCGAAAACCAGGCAAAAGGCAGCTGCAAACGATGTTTCTGCGTCTCGACAAGGCAACTCTGGAACTGGTCATAAGATTCTCCTTGAGCCAAGTGTTTTCAATATGCGACTGCTTCTTCCGCCTTCGCTTTCCTTCATCCAACGTCTCAAGGACATTGTGCCCGTTGACTCTGATATCTCCATGAGCACACTGACATCCTTCCTTGATGACTTTATGGTCAATGTCTTCCTTCCCCAACTAGATGAGACTGTCACCGATCTATGCACGCTCAGTTTCATCGCCGCCGATGCATTTACCGAAGATCCCCAATGGACCAAGGTTTCGCCACGACCTATTTTTAGGGTAAGGATTGCTGTCACTCTCCATGAATTGTTTCCTCATCTCACAATTTCATCAATTAGGGAACCGTGAAGTTCATGTCGATTGTGCGAGAATTCAGCAAGATGTTATCGAGTATTCCACATGATCAGGCATTCACGCAATTGTTGATTGATCAGATCGTGACGTATTATGATAAGTGTTTTGGGTGGTACAAAGGTGCGTCTCTTGGCCGACATGGAGCAAGAATGGAATGACTGGACACTAATTCTCTCATAGCAATGGTGACAAAGGTTTCCGCACGTATGCATGGAGGTGCTGTCCGGCTTAAAGCTGCTGCTTCATTCGCTGAGGCCGGTGATATCCATGATATAGTTGACGAGTTATGGAAAGGGCCAGGCGAGAAGAAGCAGACACTCATTGATACTGTAGGTTCTTATCGCATTGTCCTTCTGTCGGCAGAAGACACTAATAGACATAGGAAATTGACCTCCTCCTCAAACGGACAGATCAAGTCCCCTTGGAGCCATACGATATTATATCCGACCCTAAGACCGTTGTGGCCATTTCGCTACTGTACAACAGCATGGTAAGTACCGTCATACCAACCGTCTGCCTGACGATTGCTAAATTTGTGTCTATAGCAATGGCTTGGAAGCCACCTCGCGAAGATCAGACTAATTGTCGATCCTTCTACGGAGCATACCACGACAACTCTATCCACCAACGGCCGACCATCCCGAAGATGGACACTCTTTGGAGCAATGAAGCCCAAGCGTGATAGTATCAACAGTCCTGTATATCTGCCACTTAACGACGAGACTGCCACAGCATTTGACAAGACTTTGCAATCACTTCATGGTCTCGGATCTACTGCTCTCCTTACATTGCATGTTGATATCCGCTGTGGTATCATCCACATGCTCACCAAGACCATGTCGGGGACCGAATCCTCCTACCGTTCGAAACTCTGAGCCCGCTACACCTTCTCCAAGCACCACCGACAGCTGGTGGCACATTATTCTGAACCAGCCGACTGCTGCCTCCCCGACAATTTTAGGACTCAACAGTGACTTGATCGCCTTCGATACCAACATCTCTACCTATTTGGGATCTGCCGAGCACTGGTTCATCACCTCCGGCCTTGCACGGTTCATCGATCGAGTATTTGTGTCCTGCACAAAATACATTGGAGCGATGAATGAGAATGGTGCCCTTCGTTTGCAATTGGATGTGCTTGTCTTACAGCAAAATCTGAAGAACATCATTATCGACCCCACTGTCGACCCTTCACACCCTGGCGAGGCTTCTCTTCACGAAGTTGTAGCTCTGCCCCGGAGCGCTAAGTTCCTGGACTGGTTCCTAGAGGGTGCCGAGAAGGCGCTAGACTACTCCAAGGACGAGAAGGATGCATTCGCTGCCGAGGGCGACAGCGCCTTGGCAGCAGGTAACGGCGAACCCTTTACTTATGATGAACTGCGAGTGCTGGTGGATCTCTGTTTCTCCGAGGTCCTGCGGGGTCCACGGGGTGCCGAAAACCGAGAAGACTTCATGTCGTCCAAAAAGGCCAGCGCGGATGCGCTCTTACGACTTAATGAAGTCATGTGGGATGCGCGATAGACCACTGAAGAATATTTGCGTTCACCATGTACTCTTCATACTATATACACTGGCAACTAGCTGTTTGTCAGAACTTTTAGCACAGGTCCGGAGGGGTCCTGGCCAGGCTTTGGCCCCAAATATGACAATCTCACGTCTCATAGAAGGATTGCAGCCTCCAACGGTCTAGTCTTCAGTAGCGCCATTTTGTTTAATGATTCTCTCTCTCAATTAATTAAGCTGCCCCCGCTAAACCCACTCAGGCACGGCGCGCATCCATTTTCGGACAGTCCCGAGTTTAGTCTCTGGCGCCCAAGCTCCACGCTGGTTTCAGATGTCTCGATCTCATTTCTCTAAACCCTGTGGCTGCGAAATAGCATCTGCCCACCGTCAGCGCCTAAGATGATAGCCTGATTCCATTAGATTTATGGTCTCAGCCTTCTGGTCTTCGTCTTCCCCTTCTTCCTTTCCCTTCTTGCCTCTCACTCTCTTTTCACTACCTGTCTGTGACAGTTCTTTTTTCTTTTTTTTTTTCAGTTTGGGATTCGATATCCAAACGTCCATTCATTCTATATTGTGCCATTGTGTCTGATCTCTACTCATTTGCACCCCCTCATTCATTCAACCCGCATCCGCGAAGGAATTATCAAATTTTACCAACCCTTCCAAGAAGACAATCACGCAAAATGAAGTACCAAAACATTGCCTCTATGGGCCTTGCCCTCCTCGGCAGCGCAGCTACTGTCTCTGCCAGCCCGCTGGTCCTTCGTGGAAACTCTGGAGTTTGCCCTAAGGGATACTCGCCGACTGTTATCACCATGTCTGTGCCTATTACCGCCACCTCAACCCCAGTGGCTATTGAGGAACCTACAAGCACTCCTTCGACGCCCGCGCCCGTCACCGAGACGCAGACTCCTGTTCAGATTATGACCACTACACCTGTCGGATATGTGGCTGCTATCCCGTCTTCCGTGACCCCAAAAACTGAGGCTTCAGTTCTCGAGACTACTGAGGCTTCAGTTCCTGAGACTACCCAGGCTGCTGTGGTTATCATCACATCGTCTTCCCAGGCCCCCGTTGTTCATGCGGCAGTTCCGACTACCTCTTCCGTGGTTGAGGAGGCTACCACCTCTCAAAGCCCCGTTGCTCAGTCAAATCAGGCTTCTTCATCTTCCTCCTCTTCCTCTTCGGGTGGATCATCCGGCGAAGCTACTTTCTACGGCGGAAACGTCGCGGGTGGTACTTGCTCGTTCTCGGGATACACACTTCCCAGCAACCTCTTCGGAACTGCATTCTCCGGCGCTGTTTGGGACAATGCATCCAAGTGCGGATCTTGTGTTGCCGTCACCGGACCCAACGGCAAGACCATCAAGGCCATGGTAAGACCTTTGAAACAAAAGCAATGGCCCACATATAAATCCGAAAACCGCTAATAAACTTAAAACAGATCGTGGATCAATGCCCCGAATGCGCAGAAGGACACTTCGATCTCTTCCAGGATGCTTTCGCTGAACTCTCCGCCATTTCAGCCGGTGTCATCGACATCACTTACTCTGCCGTCTCCTGTGACCTCGAGGGTCCCCTGAAGCTCAAGAACAAGGAGGGTACTTCTGAGTACTGGTTCTCGATGCAGGTGGTCAACGCCAACGAGCCTATCACCAAGCTTGAGGTTAGCACTGATGGCGGAAGCAGCTGGCAGAGCACTACCCGGACAAGCTACAACTATTTCGAGAACAGCTCTGGCTTCGGTACTGACAGTGTCACTGTCCGTGTCACAGGCGAGTCTGGAACTACTGTCGTCGTTAAGAACGTGGGCTGTGAGTCTGGTTCGGAGATTACTGCTGGCTCGAACCTGTGAGGCATGGATGTTTTAGTGCTGTGATACTAAACGCGATAGTCTCCTTTTTACTTCTCTTCTTAAGCTGTATTTTGACAATATACATATACTCTATTTGAAATCTCAAATATCAGCCTGGAGGCTACTTAAATAGGCGCAGACGAGAATTCATAAAGTCATAAACAGTAAATCATGATGCTGGAGCCTACTTGGCGGCTACTTGAAGTACTCCTTGAAGTTATCGTAAGAATGACGACCCCGTTTCCCGACCACAACTTGAAGAAGTACATTTTTTTCACTTCAAATGGAATTATTGGGTGGCCGCACAAGTCTAACTACAAATTTCGCGCAGCAGCTGATTTCTGCGCATGACGCTACTCCTGTTGATAAACAGGAATGGGTGCAACTCCAGTTATGCTGCCTAACGTCGGTAGAGCATCGGGTTCGGGTAAGTGGTGATTAGTATTTCATTGGTGCTATACTTCTATCTATATTCACCATGACGAAGGCCATATTACTAGAGACGGCGACGAATGGCGTCAAATATGACGATATACTATTGTGTTTCTTGCTTTGAAAATTTTGGTTATCCGTGGGTGCTGATCAAGAGCAATACCAACTATGACTTTCCAGGGTTTGAAGCTGCTCAACACACATCTATGGACGGAAAGCGCATCCCCTTTCCCCAGATATCTATACCGAGCGGGTGGATCCATTGCTTCTCTCGACATGTAAGCATACGGTCTATGCAAAGGCTTTTTATCAGGCGTTATAAGGTTCAGGCAGTGCCCAGGTAGTTTAGGCAGCGTACTCCGGATACCCCGAATAGCTGGCTGTCGAAGAATACGCGAAGTTTCATTTATGGAAAAGAATGCGCCCTTCCCAAGTGCTAGAATTCTAGGAAACTAGAGAGACTTTTATTTCTATTTCAACACGGTCGGCCACGTCATTATTTAGCATCGTAGGTGCCCTTGCGGCCAATAATTTGAAGGAGTTCGAGATTATATGGACCACTATAATTCTGTAGATAAAGAAAACTATACAGCTTTGAACCAGCCTACCTCGTATTGAGTCAAATTGAGTCAGTTTTGAAACCGATTCGTTGAATCACGCGGGAGAAGGAAATTATCTACCAATCAGAGCCAACTTGCATGAAACATAAGTCAAAGTATGAGAGAATGGCCCGGCTATCTGTAACTCGATTGCTGTTTCATGGGTTAACATACTAGTTAACACCAAGGCAGCCAACGTCGCGCAAACCTATGAGACAAGAGTTATCATAAGGTCAAGGGTCATTTTTGTCGTCTATCACCTTTTTCTCTGCCATGTGGCTCTTTCGTATTACATGTGGCTGAAGTATCTTGCTGGCATGCATCGCATATCGGACTTCGGGAGTTTCAACGGTTTCGCCCGACATTGCTTGTAAAGCCGCAAGGGCCTAAAGCGATCACCAAATCATCTTGGCACCTATGTAGTCGACGTCTTACAGCAGGTCTGTGAGTTGGCACAAGGTCATGCAACAATTTTTACAACCCAATGCCCTTTTCAGCCAAGTACACCCCGAGCTGAAGTCGCACTCGCAATTTTTCCGTGAATACCCTTTGGATGGAGTGGAGATAAGAATGTTAAGGTTAAATCCGGCCACCCCTGGCCTGGTCGGTCTTTGAGGAGGATGGGGACGGTCTAACATTCTCTCCGCCTCTAGCCCAATAAAGGCATGCGGGCGTCAGCCGGGATACGCCTAAGGGAATACATCGAAGCTGCAGAGAAACAAGGAAATTTTTCGTCCGGTTAATTTGTCCGGTACGTTCGTCCGTTGGCTGAGTGACTCACGGCTCCGACCGCTATTCGCTATGGTCGCCAGCTTCTTACGGTGCTGAAATGAAGATCTGAGGGTATCCCGAGGCAGCCGAGCCATTGATTGGTCCATCGTCGACATCCGCCTCGTATTTGCGGCGCTACGCCAACACTAATCCAGGGTTCCAGATGTGTCAGGCCGTATCATGTCGCATGTGGCTAGGTTTTTGTCATCGGATTTTTCGTTTCGGTATGACCGGGGACCGATCTCCGATGCCTTTGATGGGTGTTTTATAAAACCATGGGAAGCTGGCTGCTAGATGGAGAGTCTCCCAATCACTTCACCCTCCATACCAACGGGTCTGATACCGCCAAAAAAACTCTGTTTATTGTCTCGTGTCATAATAGCGAGTGACAATGACGGAAGCTAGCAAAGCCAGCAGTCTTACGAACGTGGATATCGAAAGCTCACCAGAAAAGGTCGTTAAGGATGTTCAAGAAACAACAGAGCCTGAATATCCTCCTCTTTCAAAAGTTATCATTGTTATCCTCGCACTCTACCTCGCTATCTTCCTAGTGGCGCTCGACCAGACCATCATCGGTGTCGCCATCCCCAAAATCACCGATCAATTCAAGAGTATCTCAGATATTGCCTGGTATGGCAGTGCATACTTCCTCACGTCAACGGCACTCCAGCCCTCATACGGCAGAATCTATAAGATCTTTAGTGTGGGTCAACCTAACATCTACCATCCAAGAAGCTAGATCTAATCATCAACCGCACAGGTCAAATGGGGATTTTTAATAGCCGTTCTGATCTTCGAAATCGGGTCTCTTATCTGTGCCGTTGCACCATCCAGCACAGTCCTTATTGTCGGACGAGCCATTGCAGGGATTGGCGTTGCAGGTATCTTTTCCGGTGCATTGGTGATCATATCATTTACAGTTCCACTGCCTAAACGACCATTGGTTTTCGGTGCATTTGGAATGGTTTGGGGAATCGCATCGATCGCCGGTCCGCTCCTCGGCGGTGCATTCACAGACGGTATCACATGGCGCTGGTGCTTCTATATCAACCTGCCTATCGGCGGTCTCTCGATTGCCGTCATCGTTTTCATCCTCAAAGTGCCAAAGAAGAGCGATCTGTCCGGTACCTCTGTCTGGGAACGCATCAAGCAGTTGGATCTGGTTGGTGCCAGTCTGCTCATTCCTGCGATCATTTGCCTGCTGCTTGCCCTCCAATGGGGAGGAAACAAGTACCCATGGAACAACTCCAAAATCATTGGCTTATTCGTTGGTTTTGGCCTCATGGTTATTTTATTTGCCGCCTCCCAAATATATCTGGGCGAAAAGGCTACTCTGCCACCTCACATTCTGAAGAAGCGTACCGTTCTGGCGGCATCATTGTTTGCCCTGTTCTTCGGTGGTTCTTTCTTCTTGCTGGTGTATTATGTCCCCATCTACTTCCAGAGTGTTAAAGGATCCTCCGCCATGAAATCGGGTATTCAGCTCCTACCACTCATGCTGGCTACCGTTGTTTCTTCGGTTACCTTTGGAGGCTTGATTACTGCGGCGGGATACTACACACCCTTTTTGATTGGCAGTACTGCAATTGCTGCCATCGGCACGGGTCTCATCACTCTGTTTGATGTCGATATGCCGAGCGGAAAGTGGATCGGCTACCAGATTGTTGCAGGTGCAGGTGTGGGCGCGGGATTCCAGGTCCCGATGACTGCTGTCCAGACCGTGCTTTCGCCGGAGGACATCCCCGTCGGCACAGCTGCAGTCATGTTCTTCCAAACTTTAGGCGGAGCTTTGTTTATCGCTGTTGGCCAATCAGTTTTCCAGAATGGACTCATTGATGGAATCAGCAAGTATACGACAGGTGTGGACCCCATGGTTATCCTCGGAGCCGGCGCGACTGAGATGCGCAAGGTCCTTGGCGAAATTGGAAAGCTTGATCAGATAGATGGTGTGATCGAGGCTTATATGAGTGGCCTGAGAGACTCATATCGCGTCGCCCTAGCGTTAATGGTTGTTGCTTTTGTGGCAAGTCTCTTCCTGGAGTGGAAGAGTGTGAAAAAGGCTGGTGGTGAGAACAAGGAAGCTGCAGTTCCGGCCCTTTGATACAAGTCGCAAAAAGATTGTACTAGATATAATTCTGGCTCGTTGTTTCGGCCCGATGGTTGTGATATATTGGCATACTATGTAATAGATAATATAATGAATATCTCCATTCAAATTAGCACTGTGGACGGGGTTCATGGTTTTCCAGAATAGAGAAATGGGGCGAAATAAGTAAACCACTTTACCTTCTCAAGAAACCGGCTTTGGATTCAAATGCTACATAGGCCAATCTAGCGCACTTGGTATGTTTTGGTCTGATTCAGGGGCTGGTCGCAATTTAAGGGTCTACCATTTAAGACTCAGGGGCATTTGCTCTGTTTGGTGGGCTACCCGTTCTGACCAGCCAATCCCGACTGAATTGGCCCCATGTGAGGTCCACCCAGTGGGCTGAGTCTCTGTATACTGCGTGAGTGAGATTCAACTTGTGCAAACATCAATGCAAAGAGAAAATAACCAATTTCCTAATCAGGTTACGGCCGTAGAATCGCTGAAACAATTCACCAGTCGCTATCGTTCTTCAGCCCCACGATTTGGTCGATCTTCTTCAGCTCTGGATAATTAGCACACAGCGAAGCTAACTGACTCGGTAATCAAATGCGAGCACCCTGGCTGTCGGAGTAGTACGGAATAGAATCAGCTTAGTTGCACGGAGTACTAGTGCTAGTAGTAGTTATAAGAAGCCTAGGATGGTCACTTCTCTTACGATTTGTCGTCCAACAGTTCGTTTCAGTTTTACGCCTACCACATACTTTCCTTTTTCATTTTGAGATAAACTATTTTTTTATTTTTTTTAAAGGGAACATACTAGTAGTTGTCCCACCTCATCATTCCTTTACGACCATGCGGGGTCTTCTCTCGTGGTCCGCCGTGGCAGGCGTGCTGACTACAGCGTCGGCGATAGCCATTCCATCGTCTTCAAATGTGTGAGTTTAGTGCTTTATTTCCCTTCCAATTTCACTTTAAAATCTCCCTTTTCTCATTTCTACCACTTTCCTTGGTAATTACCATACCGAGTACTAACCTCGCGCTATAGTTCCATCCAAAAGCGGGATACCTGCACTGGACCCACTGCCTCTTCTCCCAGTTCATACTGGCTGCTTGATCAAGACCACACTGGCAATTCTCGCGGCTACGCTCCTGAGGTCTCCAACGCCAACTATCCTGTGTGGCGCAATGTAAAAGACTACTCGGCATCCGCCGATGGATCCGGCGACCAGACCGGCAGCATCCAGAATGCCATTAACGACGATGGCTCTAACGGCAGCCGTGAAAGTCAGGGCGTCACCAGGTACCCTGCTGAAGTCTTCCTTCCTGGAGGAACATATCAGCTGGGAAGCACCTTGAACCTCCGCGTGGGTACTGTGATCACTGGTGATCCATTGAACCCGCCGGTTCTCAAGGCTTCATCCGATTTTAATGGCGATACTCTCATTAATGGCTTCGATAAGCAGAACGGCCAGCCGGAGACTAGCTTCATGACTCTGCTGCGCAACGTGGTTATCGATACCACGGCCGTCAATAAAGACACTACCATCACCGCATTGCAGTGGGGTGTTGCTCAGGGCTCAGGCTTGACAAATGTCAAGATCAACATGCCCTCCAACTCGAATGGACACACTGGTATCGAGATCACCGGCGGTTCAACCATCGCCGTGACGGACGTCCAAATCACCGGTGGAGTAATCGGAATCAAGAACTCCAACCAACAGGTCAACTTTAAGAACATCTATTTCAAATACTGCACCACCGCGTTCTTGGCATCCGGAGGCCACACGGCTCTTCTGCAGGGCGCTACCTTTGACACCGTCGGACTTGGTATTGACATGAGCGGCAATGGTCTCGGAAGTCTTGTTCTTCTTGATTCTAAATCCACCAACTCTGGCACTGTGGTGAAATTTCACGACTCCTCCAACGACGGCGGCGCCAGAAACAGCCAGCTTCTGATTCAAAACCTCGCTCACGACACGAACAATGCGATCGCCGTGGACAGCAATAACAGTGTGAAGCTTGCTGCCGCTGCCTCGGTCGATACCTGGGTTTGGGGAAACCTTACTCCTGGTCAATATGAGACGGGCACTAAGTTCGCAACCAGCCGCCCAGACGTGCTTCTCTCCAACGGCAAATACTTTACTCGAGCGCAGCCTACCTATGCTGAGTATGCCTCCGACCAGGTCGTCAACGTCAAGTCCGTCGATGGGCACACAGTGAAGGGCGACGGATCAACCGATGATGTTGAGTCTCTCAATTCCATCCTGGCACACAATGCCGCCAACTGCAAGATCACATACTTCCCTTACGGCGTCTATACCGTGAAAGATACCTTAAAGATTCCAGTCGGCTCGCGAATCATGGGTGAAGCCTGGGCCGTTATTTCCGGCGCAGGCGACGCATTCAAAGACGCCTCGAATCCCAAGGTAGTCGTCCAACTAGGCGAAGCCAATGACGAGGGCGTGATTGAGATCCAGGATATGCGATTCAGCGTCGGCGAGATTCTCCCCGGCGCCACGATCCTCGAAATCAACGCAGCAGGCAAGAACCCCGGCGACGTGGCGCTGTGGAACACAATCGTGACTGTTGGCGGAACGGCCGAGACGAGCATCAAGGATGACTGCGACAACCAGGATACGTCTCAGTGCATGGCGGCGTACATGGTGGCTCATCTCACCTCGACTTCATCAGCTTACATCGAGAACTTCTGGGGCTGGACGGCGGATCACAATCTTGATGGCGGGTCTTCCAAGACGATTATCTCTACCGGCCGTGGTGTCCTTGTTGAAGCGACCAAGGGTACTTGGCTGACTGGTACTGGATCTGAACACAACTGGTTATACAACTACAACTTCCACGCGGCCCAGAATGTGTATGCCGGCCTTCTGCAGACCGAGAGTCCCTACATGCAGGGCAATGGTGCGACGCAAACTGCCCCTGCGCCCTGGACCGCAGAAACCTCAATTGGTGACCCTGATTTCTCCTGGTGTGACAAGAATGATCAGAAGTGCCGGACTTCTCTGGCTACCAACGTCGATGGTGGCAAGGATATCCTGCTTTATAACAGTGCGGCCTGGGCATTCTTTGACGGCCAATGGGATGGCAATTACGGTACTCAGTGTGATGGATCGTGCCAGACCAATATGATGCGCGTGGCTAATGATCCTGAGAACCTTGTTTGGTACTCCATTAGTACTCGCAAGACGGATGTCATGGTTCTCGATGGCAAGTCGAACCCGAATGAGGAGAACCACCCAGGTGGTTGGGAGGCTATCATTCAGTCTTATAGACAGTTTGCCTCCTAGGCGCGATGGGGTTTGATGGAGCGATGGAATGTAATTAGAAAGGTACCGATACCTTTTGTGCATAGTCAACCTCCGAATAATGGATATAATTTAGCATTTGTGTTTAAAAGCAACGCCTACATAAGAATGGCCGAGAGCTGGCCACCTTGCCAACTCTCCGCGGCGACATTGCAAATGACAGCAGGTACGGGACTACAGGATGCACAGATGTAGAAAAATGAGAACTTGAATTATACCAGCAGCACCGTGATCCAGAAAAAACCCCTATCCAATCCTGAGATTTCGCCGGCCCATCCATTAACGATGTGAAAAAAGAGGAACATAAGTCCAGATAGCATACAAGCAGCCTTTGTTGTAAGGTAGGAGAAGAGGGGATGTCGGAGTATCAAGAAATGAGAAAAAAAAGAAGTACGCCGCGAAAGAATAATAAGCCAAGAATACCCTCCGGACCCGTATCTGTTGTGAGCCTGCATACTCAGCTCGAGGCATATGCTCAAGTTAAAAAAGACTCTGGAGTAAGATAAAGGTGGAAAAGGTGGAAGAGCTATAGCGAGAGCCATAGAAGGATATGACGAATAGAGGGAGAAGGAAAGGAGAAGTAGGGGAAAGATGGAAGAAATGGAATTCGATCCCCACCACAGAAAAAGCCAGAACGCGAAAGGAGGGTATGTTCAAATCTTGGCCGCCGAAAAACGCAACGAGACGGTCATAGCACGTGCACAAACAGAGGATGTGAAAGAATGTTTTTACTCCAGGTCGAAGGTCTCGAGCTCTTTCACGTCCTCATAATCATCAAATTCCAAGCCGGCATCACGGCAGCGCTGCAACCACTTCTGGGCCATGTTGTTGCGTCGGCTAACTTCGGCCTTCAACTTCTGGTTGGAAGCGCTGATTTCAGACAAAGCATGATTTGTGGTGAGACTATGTTGTTCAAATCGCTCATCGATGTTCTTCTTCTCATCCTGGAGTTGGCAAATATATTCGATGGCTCGTTGTAGGATCGCGCCCTTGTTCTTATCGCAGTTGGGGACAAGACGGGAGATCTGGTTAATGCCTTCGTTGATTGCCTCGCGGCGGCGACGCTCAACTGTGGGATGAATTAGCAAATCTATCATACAAGAAGGCCATGCAGGACGAGATAATTCGGATTACATACCCTCTTTGTGGTTATTCTTGCGAATCTGGTGCCACTCGGGAGACCCGACCGTGGGCTTTGAGTTCATGGATTGGGCCTCACGCGCGGCGTATACAGCAGCAGCGGTTGAGTTGTGGTTATGACCGCCGGACATGGGTCCCTGGCCCATGTCGTCGGGGAAGTTGAGCCCCTGAGTCAGGTTGTTGGCGTCAAAGGCCGAATCCGGGGGTGGCGGATATTTGTGAGGGTGGGCAGCAAGTGCGGCTTTCGCGGTGAGGGTATTGTCATCAGACATGCCACTTTGAGCCTGGCCAACATGTTGCAAGATCTGCTGGTCAATGTTGAGGACCTCCGAGCCCGTGTTGGGCAGCCCATGGTCATAGTTGAGGGAGCTGTGGAAGTTGTGCTGGTTGTCGGGGCCCATGCTACCGTTGCTTCCGTGAGAGGAGCGGTTGAGGCGCTGAGCGTCGTGGCCAAGGTCCTCGGAACCTTCACGCTTGCGTTTGTTAACACTGTCGGGGCTGTTCATGGTGGGGTCGGACATGTAGTTGCGATCGATCTAGTTGGGCAGAAGGTTAGTCATCGAAGGGCAACACGAAGGTTAAAAGCGTGAGCACGCGAGGGCTCGAGTTGGAGAGTCAGTGAAGAGTTGCGGGTTAGTGATGAAAGATGGTCAGATGAGCCGGCCCTTCATCGGCAAGATCAATGATCTTCCTCGGGGTAAACAGATCGACGCGTGAAGCCGACGCGCCCGGTGGAAGGCATATTTCCCCTCAAGCCCGGGCCAGGTTCATTCATGCAGGGTCTGTTCTTCGCGGCTGGAGGGCTCCTACACAGGCAGGCAGGTGCATGTATATCGCGTGGAAAATACCCAAGAGACCTCATTTCTCACTGCCAGACCCTCCGCAGACCCTCTGCGACGCGTAGCCCTCAGAAGGCGCGCTCTAGGTCGATTGAGGAGAGGCTGCGATGAGGGGAAAGGGGCAAGTTCAGGAAAGGGCGCCGGCGACACGATTGACAATGATCTCGACGCGACCACGACACCTTGGAACATAGGGAGGGAGGGTAGAAGGGGTTGATGGAGTCGTTACCTTGGGATGATCTCTTTATCACCTGACAGGAAGTCACCTGCCCTGGACAACAACAAGACGAGGTCACGTTGTTGGTTATATCCGAACTTCAAAATGATATCCCCAAAAAAGAAAAGGTAAAGATGAGGGGAAAGACGGGAGTAGTAGACGCGATCTGTTCCGTATAGAAGTTCAAAGAGGTGATTTTTCCATGGAAAAAGGGAGTTCTTGAGGGTGTCGAGCGACCGAGTCGAGAGGACTGCTCACGTGGATGGAGGAGAGAGTATGCGGGCGGGCGGAGCAACCACTAGTGCAGAACAGTCACCTGACTCAAAGGGTATCATTGAGGACTTGGCGATTCAGTCATTTAAATTCAAGAATTCAAGGAAAGAAAATCAATTACTATTCATCTAGTCCATCATAATTCTATTGACTATAGTATCCTACATTAATTACCTTTTTTTTCAATAAAATGTATTTGGATCATGATTTATCTCCCAGAAAGTCAGTGCCAGTCACCGTCAGCGTCACAGTCACATGCCTCTAAGTCTGGCTCCCGTGCCCCTCACCCTCTCAGCAAAGCAACTCCCAAGCACACTGGCACACTTCACACTTCGCTCTTTCCCCGATTGGCCCACTCGGCGCCTAGTCCCATCACGTGAAAGCACAGGCCACCGGGAAGTATACACTTGCATTAGCTACATACTGGTCCTTGGCATTGCCCATATCTCCATAATGTACAAAGCACTGGAGACTGGAGACACTCACATACCCCCGCATATACCCATACACCTATACACATTCACATCCACCTTGGCACACACCTACCTACTGGTCATTACCTCACACATTCCTATCTTCTAAAAAAGGAAATGCAACGGTGGAAACTTCTTGTCGATCAAATCAAAATCAAATCATTTGTCACATGGAATTGCTGGGCATTGGACTCGCGCTAGGGTTGCACCCGGGTAGTCTGCGATCGCCCAGTCATGAGACCCTATCGATGAAATAAGGTGGGCTTTCTGCAGCATTCGACGATCTCCCATGCGATCACGATCATCCGGGACCCCGTTAGATCGCCAGGTTGGATGGGTGCCGACCATGGCAGTCGAGATGGAAATATCCCAGCTATCAACCACCTCATCCCAGGACCACCATCGTAGAGGCGTAGGTATAGGCAGATCGGTTCTCACACAGCCACACCCCGTATCAGAATGTATAGGGTAGACGGCCAGAGATAAGATGCACCCCACGAAGCAGACAGGCAGCCATCTATATCCCCACAAGGCGCGATTTGTTTCCCCACCCCATGGATGCGTCTCTAGTCTCTAGTCTCTAGAGAAAAAGGATGGAATGTCTCACTCCCCCCGCGACTTGCTTCTCAATCCAAACACCATTTTCGGGTCTGCCGTAGTATCCGCGAAACAAATCCCCTCCTCACTAGCGCCTAGTAGGTCCCAACAGAGGATCTTCACATCGAAGTCGCGGCCCTCGTCGATCGCCTCCACCGCACCGGCACCTGACCCATTCAAACCTCCCTCTCGAGGCCGCTGCGTCACGGCAATGACGGCGCTCGTCCCCGCATACCGCGCCGGTGGCTTCGCATCATCTGCAGCGGGTTCTTCCCCGGCGCGATTGGAAAAGACGATCACCACCTGCTTATCATCCTTGCGCGCAGCCTTCGTCTCAGCTGTATCGGAATTATCATCAGAATCAGAATCAGACTCGGAATCCAAATCAGTGTCCCCCCCGGTCTCCTTCCGCATCGGGCCCATCCACATTCTCCGCATGCTGCATTTTCTTCTCGAAGAGCGGCCAGAACCGCTGTAGCCAGTAGTTGAACGTATCCATCTCCGGCTTGCCCTCTAGCGCATCCAATTCCTCCCTGCTGAGGAGGGTCAACCATGCCATGGACAAGATGACCAGTTGCGATTTCGAGTCTAGGACCCGGTTGGCGAATTCCCACGCCGTGTAAGGGGCTTCGAACTTGTACGGGTTGATATCCATGCAGATCCCAAAGGATGTGGCGACCCGCTTCTCGGCTGCATGTCGGGGAGTATCACTCGCATCTGCATCCCCCGCTATGGTAGAGGCCGTAGTCATCCCGTTCTCGTTATCGTTCCCCTGCCGCGACGGGAAAGTCAGCTTGCGAAACCCCCGCTCGACGTCGCCTTCCGATGCCCAGCTTTCGTCAGTAAAGTACAGAAAGCTCTTGCGGTAGTTGTGGATGACTTCGCCCGTTTCGTCGACGATAACGAGGGAGTTGTAGAATCTTGTCTCTTCTGTCGAGGCATTTGTTTCAATCTCCGGGTACCCCACGCACACTTTGCATTGGAGTCGTTGGGCGGTTTCGCGTGCCCATGCGGCACTTGGTCCCTTTCCAACAGGTTCGAGAAAAGGCCGGACTGCTTCTAACGATGGAAAATTGTATCCTGGACAGACTCGATTAATATCTGACAGATAGTCGATGGTACCGAGCGCAATTAAAGCCTCATCTGATTCTGCCCATCTTGGCGATGCGGGCTTGACGCAGTATCGAATAGAACATACCAGTCAACGCCATCTCAGGCAAGACCAAAATCTCCGGTCTCAGCAGCTCTGCCCCAATGTCGATTCCGAGATCCTGTCCACCCATGGAAATGGATTTTCCTTTCTTAAGCAACTCATTGGCGCGTCGGATATTTCCCTCCACGTCTCCCAGCTTCGGGGCGATCTGTAGTGTAGCAATTCTCATCGCAGCGAGTCGCGAAACTGAGAAGTTCCTTGTGCTTTTCAATTGCTGATTTAGTTGGAAGATATGCTTTGTTCGCAGTACGTAATTGAGCAGGCCACTTGAGGGTGAAGTGGGTGACGCGTAGAGTTGAAGTCTTTGTGTCCTTGGTCCGAGACGGACGCGGCTCAATGCCGTGGGTGCCAGGGTGATGTCAAAGGTACACCGATATGAAGATTTCACAGGTGAAACAATTAACTGGTGATTGATCTGTAGCCGGGGTTTGATCGTGTTCCGAACATGGGATCCGTAAGGAGATGTAGTTCGGGACGACGACGGCCTTTCCGGGATTGCGGGGATTGCTGACTGAAGTCGGAGATTTGGATCGGCGGCCCGAGAACAACGCATCAAATGAAAAAGAACAGTCTAGGGTAGTATGTGGATGTGGTCTACAAAAATACTATGGCGAGATTTAATAGACTAATAAAGAAATTAATAATAGGACATGATTGATTCATGAATTTGGATTATTTGAAATAGCATGGGGGTAATGTACTGATAACCGCCCGAACACCATGCAAATGTGCGGGCATGAGGTGAGCATGAGGTGAACATCCACACAATCGAGAAAAAAAAAGCCATAATTACTCCCAATACAAATGCAAATTCGACCCCCCCTAATTTGATCCATAAGTGCACACACAAAAGCACCAGGGTCCGTAAAAACACAGATCCTCTATCCACCTATTCACTGTTCAAATATTTGCGCTTCTCTTTGCGCTTATCCACCTGCGAAAAGTCCAGCTCCTTGTAGGCCAGGCCGTGGGCTCCAGTCGCCCGGATTCGTCGCTCCGATGCAGACATGCTTCGGCCGAGGCCTTCTGGTACATTTGGCGCATGCACCACCTTGTACCCATGAGGTCGAGGGGACTGGCTCAGCGAGTAAGGAGAGTTGTAGTAGCTAGCAGAAGGGCTGTACGAGGAGCGCCGTAGATCGTACTCAGGCGAGGGATCAAAAATCTTTGGCCCCGTGCGGAGTCGTTCTGCTGCGATCCGAGCTGCATTCAGCAAAAGCTCATCTTCGTCAACTTGGCGATTGTGTGGCTTCGAGATCTGGGTTTCATCATCGGCTGGCGTCTTGCGCTCGACTAAGGCTTTGACGCGATCCAGACACGGCAGTTTTGGCAGTGCTTTGGCGTATGCTTCGGCAAGGGAGTACTTCTTGGATATAGGGGAAGATTCACTCGACCCCGATGTCTTGAGAACCTTCGAACTAGATCTCTCTCGAGTCTTCTCAGTCTCGGCACACTCATCTAATGCTCTTTTCCGGCTCATTGCTTGTTCCTCGACTTCCTTCTTCTGTTTCTCAGACGTTTTTCGAATGAACTCTTTCCAGTTGGCCTGACGTTCTGCCTCGGTCTCCTCGGCTAAAAAGAAAGTCAGCAGTGGTTTAAGAGATATGGGGAGCAAAAGTATCAAATTACCGGGAGGTTCTAGGTTCTGGGAACTAGAGAAAGCCGGCAGTTGAAGAGGTTCCTCCGGAGTATCAACTTGTTGAGTTAAGGCCTTGGCAAGCTCGGGCGACGTAACGTGCGCCGTGGTCGTTTCCTTTTCCTTGCCACCAATCTTTACAACCTCATCAGGTTTCTTGAGCTTGGGCTCGTCTCGGGTTTCATAGTCCCCTTCGTCGGAATTTTTAGTCCTCGTTTCCGACGTGGGCTGGACAGTGGGGTTCGCAGTGGAGAAGAGAGGCTTGGAAGATGAAATCCCGGGATGTGTAAATAGCGATGGGCCGGCTGATGTAGGCTGGAACAGACTCGGCATTGGTTGAGGTTTTGCTGGAACGGACTTGGAGAAATCGAAGGTAGGTGTTATCGTTGGTTGGGTGTTTTTCGTTTCCTTATTGTTGTCATTTGGTGGAGCGAACAACGACGGATTTGAGAAGCCACTGAAGCTTGGGGGCTTGACGGATTCAAAAATGCTCGAGGATTCCTGGGTGGAACTGATACCAGGGCCGATAGATGCAGACAACTGAGAAGATTGAGAAATATTTTGGGGGGCAAGAAAATTGAGGGGATTCGTAGTTGGAGCGAAGATTCCCGTTGAAGTTGTGTTCTGCGAGACAGGCTCCTTAGCTTCAACAGGAGAGAAAGGTGATTTGGTAGGAGCAAAGAAAGAAGGTGTTTGCTGAGTTGCTGATGTGCTGGTAGTAGAGGAATCTGCTTCCTTGGGTGTTTCGGAGGGTTTCTGGCCCAAAGAAAAGGCAAAAGGATTCTGGGCGCCTGCAGATTGTTCCGCGGTGCCATTGGATACCCCGCCATTCGTAAATATCGAGGATGTTTGGGGGGGGAGCAGGAGAGGAGCTTGGAGGTTTGCCGAGAGTCTGTGATGGCTTGAATGTGCCGAAAGGGTTTGGAGTTTCTGCTGCCGATACTGCCGGGGTGTCTTCCTTCCCGGTCGCTGCGGCTGGCTCTGTCGGCTTGGGGAACGCGAAAGACGAAGATGAAGTTTGGAACGGACTCTGAGCTTGCGATATTTGCGAAGCTGCAAAGGGGTTGCATGGCACGGCTGGAGTAGCAGCGGAGGTTGTCGCCAGGGTCGGTTCATCTGAAGCAGTGCCAGAGAACATTGAACCGAATGGATTGGGAGGCTGGGGCGCTTGGAATGGATTCACAGGCTGCGACGTGGCAGGGAGAACGCTTGGTTGCGTGCTCACTGGTAAGTTCACAGACGTCGGTGGTGTAGAGTTTTGGAAAAGACTTGGACTGTTAGGCGCAGGCGATTCTGATCCCAGTGGAGAGTCACTGATCTCAACCACCGGTTCTGGAACCCCATTACCGATGCTTGAGACGAAAAGAGAGTCATCTTGGTCAAGCGAGATATCCTTCGGCGATGGAGCACTACGTTCGTGAAGAGAAGATTGATCGACCATTCCCATACGTGCTGCTTCTCGGATGCCCATACCCAGAACGATGGCTACCAGGCTTCTTCCAGAACGCTTATTTTCAACAAATGTTTCCGAATAGGCGTGCTCTGTCGACGGAGAGAATTCTAATTGAGGAGTAAGCAAATGGCACAAATTGGGTATCTTTTGTCGGAGATCGAGCGAAACTCGGACCATGTTTGCCTAAAACATCAGTAACTTACCGACAGATTCGATGTGACGGGAGCCCCAGTTCAAATACTGCTGATCCTGCTCATTGAAAGCAAGCTCAAGACCTTGTTCCTCAAGAAACTTCGTTGTCTGTTCCTCATCGTCGAAATGCAAGACCCGGGTTAATTCATCGACTGTCCACTCCTCGTTTCTGTGTTGCTGGGATATTGGCGTTCGACAGTATCCTTTCCAAATGGTCCGAATAGCTGTCTGTCGAACGTAGTTGAAGTAGATCTCAGCCACACATGCCATGAGGTACGAGACACTGCCCGAGTTGATGATATTAAAGAATCGCGTGTAAAAACCCTGGGCAATTGCATTCGGTCGGCGTGAATCAAGAGTACCTTGGGGTTGCCACGTATTGCACGAGGCTGTGTAAAGCTCCATGGCCACTTGGACGCGAGGGGATTCGAGCAAAGACACCGGCCACTTCTGCACACGAGCCTCCAGGTCGGGTCGTTGATCATGGATGGAAAAGATGATGTAGTATGCACGAAATTCATCCTCATTTGGGAAGACGATGCGACCACGATTATCATCATAGTAGTATATAAGGGAAAGCATGGTGTTGTTGAGTTGCTCGCGTTCTTGGTGCCGGTCAAAAGGTTCTTCGCTCGCCGGGTTTGACAGTAAATGAAGCGAGACGATGTGGAATCGGGCAATTCGCTCCAGACAGGTCACTGCTATTCTCACGTCGCTTTCCTGGGTAACCTGTTGGACCGAAAAGTCGTTACGAACGGATCGAGTTCGATCCCAGACAAATTTGTGAATTAGTGCTAGCGGTTCGGATCCACCAAGAACATGTCGAATCAGATAGTTAGTAGTCTGGAGAAGGGCCTTGGGAGTTCGAATATCGGAAGGAAGCTGTTCATCGTAGCCTGCTGCTGATCTTCGGAAACGCTTGAGCATTTTCCATTCCATATTCTGAAGGGCATTGGTCGACGGGTGGAGATACTGGCAAGGGTGGTCAGGACTTGGGTTGGAAAGCATAACAAGGATGTTTACCTTTTCGCACTTATCCACCATTTTTTGTACAATGCGTTCAATGCTTTCGAATTCGGGACACATACCCTCGCATGTTCCGACTGGCGTGATTGCCTGGTTGAGAGACGTAGGCTGGTCAGGATCGGCCATGTGGCCATTCTTAATGGCCTGTTGCCTTTCCTTTGCGCGATCGAGTTTGAGCTGCAAATTTGGTCAGGTAAATTGTCATACCCTCGGGTTTGCGTTGATCTTCAGTGGAAATGATGCTGACCTGGTCATATCGTTGATGGTATTGTGCCAGAATAGAGCTATCCTCCACAGGAACTGGCTGTCCAGGAACGCTATTCATCTTCCTTGTCGGTTTTACCCACTGATTATGTCTCGGCGCGCCTCCTCTGGCACCACCTCGAAACCCCCCTCGCGCACGATTCGAGTTCAGGGTATGTGCTCCATTCGTGATTCCGGAAAAGGGCGAGTTATTTTGGGGCTGTGCTGGTTGCTGGGCCGGGACACCGAAAGGAGACGAGAAAGGTTTTTGTTGATTGATCTGAGCGAACGGCGAATTGCCGTTTTGAGGACCAGCTCCTTGCTTAGCCGTGACTGAATGAGATGAGCCAGCAGCCGCAGCGCCAGCGCCACGACCGCGGTTTGGAAAAGTGCCTGTGCTTCGGGCCCGGCCACGTTGCCTGGGTCCCCTAAATGTGCTGGATCCTCCTCGGGTTTGAAGTTGAGAGCCACGATTGCATGGTGCGCCGCGGCCACGGCCATTTGCACCTGTCGATGGTCCGCCTCTCTGGCCACGAGGAACACCAGCAAACGGGTTGAACGGAGTAGCCATTCTGTCCGCACTCAGCGGGTGAGAAGGAAAAGACCGCCTCCGGCCACCTCAGAAGTTTCCCCAGTAAACCTTTTAAGTCTTGGCTGTGACTAGTGGCGAGTTCTTCGATGAGTGTCGACGATTGGGAGACGGGGAGATAAGAGAAAAAACGAAGCAGCTGTTCGAGGAAATTGGTTCGCCGAGGCGAGATTTAAAAGTCAGTCCATGTTGCCAAGATATATAACCGATCCAGTGATGCAGAACAAAGCGAGGGCGCGATTGGAAGAAATATAATTGAATGAAAGTTGTCACGGGGTCCGAGGAGTGAATGCGCGGGAAGGGTGGTCGAGGTACCTTTCGAATAGTCGGAGCTCGTATGATAAGTCTAGATGGCCGAAATCATTGCGCGACCGTGATTTCTGTGAACGATATCGGTTTGAAAGTCGCAAAGAGCTCGGGTCAGCCGAGGCTTGCGACGGGTGGTCGGGGTTGAACGAGGTCTTTAAGGAGTCGCTCAATGAAAATTTGGAGAGACACGAAAAGCAGGGCGCGTAGAAATCGGCAATATATCGTCTCCGTCAGTCTGCAGAGATGTGGCCTCTCTTCTTGAAGCGATAGCGAAGAAAGGCCTGCGGGTCGCGAGTCGAAGAGAGTCGCCGCGACGATGCGAGCTTCCAGTGGGTCCACTTGTCGAGGGTCATGTGACCTGCCATAAGACACATACAGCGGTCACTACTAGGCAACTATAAGTCTATTACTATTCCAGGTGACAACTTTTGTGCCAACTACTGCACAATTGGATGGATTCGAATGATTATTTGAACTCATGTTATTCCTCGTGTCCGCTATGTCCAAAGTAGTGTTTATCAACAACGTCCCGTAGTAATGAGATATGATAATATTTATCAGGGACCAATAAGAATGTACAGAAATATCAAATAGAGAGATCAACCATGATGAGCGAGAGTCGAGAAAGGGCAATTATGTGAAAAAAAAGAAGAGGTTTTAAAATCAACCGGAAGGAAAAGCCAGACACACAAATGAGAAGAAGAAAAGAAAATAACAACCAAGCCAAAGTATTTCCAGAAAAAGAGATCAACAACAAGAAGAAAAAGAATAAAAGACAACCCTGAAGCAGCCCTGAAATCAAAAAAAAAAAAAAAAGTCTGCACAGCACCTAACCATCTGAGCGACACCAAAAAGCATTTTTTTATCCACGAAATTTGGAAATCAACGTGTCACAAAGTAAAACTCCCACGCGAAGCCACCTGTATATTGTGCGCTTTCATATATTGGTATGATATGATAATCAGAGCCATTCATTCATATAGTCATTAAATCCCGTTGCTATGTTCGCATAATCAACGAATTCCATTTCTCAACCCGGGGCCAGCCCGACCGATTCAGTTAGGAAAGGTGGGCAAGTGGAGAGCCGTGTGGATGAGGGTGGCCCAAGGAGCCAGTTCGGAACGGTAGAGACCGACCGAGAGGATCCATGGGCGGCTGTTCGTGATTGGGCAAGCCGTGCATAGAATGCGTCGGTGGAGCCATTGCCATGTTGTATGGCATTGAGGGCTGTGTAGTGGCTGGCGCATTGTAGCCTACCGGGCTGAAGATGTCTTGCCGGAAAGTTGGGGTGGACCAGTGCTGGTCCGGTGTGGAGGAAGGATAAGATGGTTGAGATGCGTAGGCGAAGACAGAGACATCGTGTGGGCTAATCATTTCGGCAGTGACAGGGGTGCTGAGCATGCCTTGAGAGAAGGAATCGGTGTATTGGGGTGGGGTGGCATAGAATGGACGATCACGGCTCTCGAAGGTGAGAGGCTCTGCGAGGGAGAAGCTGCCAGGCAGAGAGCGAGGAGGGAGGCCCATGGCGTCGATGGGGGTTGTGAGAGGGGCAGTTTGCTCAGATGAGCTCGGTGTGAGAAGGCCGTCTTCGAGATGCTCAATGTCCAAGACCGGTGCAGGGCCGTCGCTAGATTCTTCTTCCTCGTCGCCCTTAGGGCTTGGTCCTCGGTTCATCACGTAGACTAAAGTGTTGGCGTCAACTTCACCACGCTCCCATCGTTCCTCCATCTTGCGAACACGGAGGACTTCCAGGATGATGTCCACATGAGAGGGGTGCTTCAGGCTGCGTTTGGTATCGCTAGCAACTTCCTTGAGCTTGTCGGACGTGATTCCGAAGCCTCCAAGCTTGCGGATGATATGAAGCAAAAGCTCAATACGATCTGTCAATATAGTGTTAGCGGATTGATTACGAACCAAATATGGGCGTCAGAACGTACACTCTTTGCGTAGGTGGTCAGGCTCCTTGTGCATGACACCAGGTGGCCACCACTCGGGCTTGGTCTTTTCAGGGTCACCGGTAGTACCGGGGGCAGATCCAGCTGGAGGTTTTCCACCGTTGTATGGGTGTCTCACTTGCTTGCGAGGCTCAATGAACTTGATAAAGGCCTTGGCGACCATGCGGCAGTTAAGTTGTTGGAAGTGCTTGAGAGCACCCTCGTAGTAGTTCATAAGCTTCGTGGCGTCTCCAACGCGAATAGAAGTAGTCTCATTACCCGCGGGGGAGTAGTCATCACTGTCAGAATCATCAGCCAGTCGGCTGTGGGTCATGGAAGTCGGGGCGTTGCCGCGGCGGCGGCGGACTCTGCGCGGAGATGCTAGGGAATAATTAGATCAAATTCGAAATGGGACGTAGTATATAAAACATACCCCCAGAGAGAGGCTGATGGAGTCCAATTTTCTCGCCGAGTGTCTCTAGGAATGTCTGGCGAACATCCGGAGAGAAAAGTGTCATATTCTGCTCCGTAATGCTGGCTGACTCTTCGCAGCCCAGCTTGCCCGCGCTGTCAATATAGATAAGCGCATAGTGGGCGAATGGAATATGGCACGACGATTGCGGAGCCATCATGGGCTATTCGGATGTTAGGGCAAGGCTCACATTATAATTCCTGTATCGAAATAAACTTACAGGAATAACATCCCAGCCGGGGGGGGCCTTCAAGAGCAGAGGCGGACCGCTTCATGGCGCTACTGGTGGGGTTGGGCTTATGGTAAACCATTTTGCAGGAAGGGACAGGGTCCTGCGAAGGTGTTGAATGTCGTGATCTCTTTAAACTTCGAGTTTGCAAGAAACGGGGAAAGATAATTGGGCTAAGTAGAGCTGGTTGCGTTCAAGGTGTCGCGAGTCGGACAGGCCCTTCTTATAGATCGAGGATCCCGCTCTAGATGGAACTGGTGGAGAAAAACGTTAGCCGCACGCTCTCATCTCCTCAAGATACTAATGTGCATCGAGCCAATCCAGTTCCCAAAATGGTCACTGGCAGCTTGCCAATGCCCAACGGCCAACCGGTCTCCCGCTCCTCCCCAACGGGTGGTGGTAAGAGCACAGGATGACCATATCGGGGACGGGTGAAGTCAAGCTTATTGAGAATGGGACTATGCTTGGGGCGATATGCAGGCAAATACTCACAGGAACTCGAGAACGAGGTCGACAGGCCAGGTGGTATTCAAATGGTTCGTCGGTGATGCGAGGGAAAACTGCAGGAGAAAAGACAGTTGCTGTTGGCAACCGACGGGGCAAATGCAGGAACTGAAGACGATTGACGGGTTCCCCGGACGGTACTGTAAGGCGTGTGGTGACACGGACGGGGATGGACTGGTTGTATACACAATATCTGATGAAGTGTTGACTTGGAACCTAGATCACGGATAGGACAAGGTGGGGGCTAATAACGATTGGAGGGGAAGGGTTCCAGAAAATCGAAAGTTGTGGATTCAAAGAAGATGAGGGGGGAAGACGAGGTGTTTAAATCATGTACATCTCGAATAGAAAAAAAAAGGACTAAAACGAGACCTGGGATGATGGGCTTTTTCAGCGGTCCAGGCAATTGACAAAGTACCAACTTGAAAATCTTCGAATAACCCCGGAGCAGCCAACCTGTGCCACATCGAGCATGGATGATCCTTGAAAGTATGGACAAGCCGGGGGATCCCCGACAGCTTCTGATCTTGGGTCTGCAGGCTGCAGATTGGCGTGGTGCAGTTTCCAGAGTGCCTTAGCTGCTGCGTTAGCGCTTGGTAAAAAGTCCACGTCCCGATTCGTGATCCCTGTCCAAGACTATTTGTAGATCGTGGATTTATTTTATTTTATTTTTATAATTCTGATTTTATGTACGAGTATTTTTTTTTTTTTTCTTTCTTTTTCTTTTTTCCCCTTTCCCTTCCCATTCCCCCGCCCCTCCCTCCACCCCATTTCTCTTTTATTATTATTATTATTCGTATTCATTTTAATTCGATTAAATCTCACCCTTTTAGCGTCGGGGCATCCCCCAAAGTAGCGTGGCGCTGTCGATTATCGATCGGCCTCCCCAGAGGGTCGGTGTTTCTTGTCCCACCATCGACTACAGTCTCCAAGCTTCCATCCGTACTGGATGACAGATTTTAATTGCCCGTTAGTACCCCAATCTTCAACAGAAAACAACATAGGAAAAAAGTGTCCTTATCTTAAGAATCCTTTGAAACGGATTCCATCCACTTCAACCCGTTCTGACGGCGGGTTGAAGCGCGGGATCCACGCGAACCAGGGTTTCTTTGTTTGGCGGGGCGATACTACCTCCTACTCCTAGAAATCGATGGAAATTATTAGCTTCAACCTATCGTGAAGCAGTATACTACACTGCCTAGAATATAGTATTCCCACCAAGACGCACCACTCTCTCAAGCTGTCAGGGCCGTGTTCCCTCAAACCGGGCCCTGCCTTGCGTCGGGGCCCGCGTAATGTGGGTGCTATTCCCATGCATGCAGATCTCTTCAGCTGTCGGGGCTCCCGTACTGGTTTGTCATGAAAGTTTCTATGCCTCTCAGGTCTCGATCTTGACTTTCGTTTACTCTGTAGGCACCGTGGGATGCTCCATTCGATGAGGATAGGGAGAAGTTTAATGGCATCAAAGGTACCGAGAATGGAGTACAACCTTTCCTCCACTCCATCAACCCCCTCCTCCCCCTCGGGACGCAAAAAAGGCCGTGCTCGATCGTCGGATCTTGGGTGGATGTGCCCCGACGCTAGTGCTACCAATGGCAGGGGCCCCTTGGCCAATGCCATGAGAGCCCCGAGGACCGCCGGTCCATTGCTTCGAGGGGCTGTCTGTCCCACGAACCTATCAAGGTGCGGTTTGTGCGTGGCCCAACATCCTGGATCCTGGAATCCCGTTCAGAGTGACTGGGCTCTAATTCTCTTTTGAGCCCGCTCTCTGTCCGCATTGGTCGAACGAGATGCCATCCGTTTGTGCCCTTGTAGATCATCGAACATCTCAAACATGACAGGAGCCCGCGGGGTCTCAACGAATATCATAACTAGCCAACGGCAAACGTCAACATGATGCTCACCCTCAGGGGAGGCGAACCCCTGAGATCAGACCCTCCAGTCTCTGCACCATGGCCGAATCAAGGAATCAGAAGCAGATAAAGCACAAATCGCTTTAATTAGTACCATTGGCACTCCGTACGAAGTATACGGGGCTAAAAAGGTACCAGGCTCGCCAATGGAATAGTTAGCCGCGGAATTTCTCGTCCAAGCCCACGTCGACCCAGCAATCTAACACAAATCGAGACTTGGCACAGAGCACGGCAAAGAATCGGATCACCTTGAGTTATCTGTTGGACAGGGATGTGTGATCATCGGGGATAAGCGTCCGGTCGCAAAATGGGTCAAGTGTTTCTACCAGCCCCGGTTAAGCGCGGTACTTTTGGACGCCTTCTTTGTTGCGTAACCCAATCATTGCCCCCACGCCAGGCCGTGTCAACATTTCAATCCTCGATGTCACCTACATATGTACAGTAGTCAAGAGTACGTACCTAGCCCATCATCCTGGAAGACTACTTTTTAGTTTCCTCCATATGGTTAGTCTCGTCCCAAGTGGATTTCAGGACCAGTTGGGCTTTAAAGAGGGCCCAGGGAGAAGGAACATCTACCCAAGCTACTGTCAGCGCGCCCATCTCCCGGGATTTGCATCGTTGACGGTTTCTCGGGACGAGGCAACTGGCTAACTATCGACCGTAGTTACTGTACATACTATCTTTTGCCGGAGGCGCTAGATAGTCTTGTGCTAGGTAGCCAAAGCATGCAAATATGCGAAAAGTCTTGCCACAGCGATTTAGTTTATGCGCCAGATCGGGGATGAGATGCATGCCCCTCATACATACGCAAACAATATGTACCTGCGCAGTTTGATCTCTCTCTTTTTTTCAGGTAGATGAACATGACAGTAGTCGTTTCGGTCCATCTGCATCTAGTCTCCCGCGTAAGTCCCCATCCAGTCCTATCATTAGCTCGCCTGGCATGGTCTAGCAACCACTAGTTATCCTCCGCCACACACCCATTTACGAGGACTAGAGACTGTGCTCAAAACCCTAGGGTATGATCATCGAGTATCCGTATCAGTGCTTCGAATCGCCTGGGAGATGAGCAGGATTCAACTGCCCAAACCCAATAGAGTATAATCCCCCTCTTCCTCTTTCGAGGGGTTCAGTAGTCCCCCTCTCCCACCTCCAAATTCCCATCTCTGGAAAAACGAGGCGAGATTTGTACTTTGGTTTATTTGTCATTTTGATCATTCCTCGATATTGGAAACCCCCGATGTCAATTACACTAACGGCAACGGCGCGACGCCTTCTCCACCGACAGTTGCAAGGGGCGTGTCGGGGAGTCTTTGTTTGCGGTCCCGCAAACCCACGAACCTACGATCAATCTGTTCCCCGAGTGGTGGATTGCTATTCCTGTAAGATTTTTGCTTTTTTTTGGTTCTCAATTTTCCTGTTGTGGGATCGCCTTCGCCCCCCACCATCACTCGCTAATGCGAATTTGGGCAGCCCGTTGGGATGTCATATTGTCATAAGAGAAAAGGGGGGCCAACGGGCTGCCCGAAAGTGTGATCACCATGTCTCTCCTGCTGCTCATTCACAACGACTGCTACTATGGGCAAATGAAGATCGGGGCTAGACCATTGAGCTCGGTCTCTGGGTTTGGCCAATCATCGTGCGTTATGCTGCAGTCGCTTGCAACGCTCAGATGGTTCAGCCACGACGTGGCACAGATGTGCAGCACACATGTACATGCTCCTACATTTACAGTGTCCGTGTACTTCCATGTCGAGCTGAAATCAACCACCGCCACACTTGTAGCCTAAGACAGTTGTCGGTGCGCATAATTAAACTGCAGGGAAGGGCCCTGTCAAACCGCTGCTTCGGAGCATCTTACATGCGCCATGATGACTTCCCACCCAGACCCCCCTTTCCCCTCTATAAATATTCTCCAGAGTCAAAGGCGTTAAATCATAGCCTGTAGTACGGCTTACCTTTTGACAGGCTTGGCGGTCTCAGAGCTAGGGCTACCGATTGGGAATGATTGGTAGACTCGTACGCGAGCAAACAGCACCCTGGTATTCAGACAGCCCGCTTTTACCGCCAGATCTAGGAATCGACTGGAAAGCGCCGGAGATACTCGGATCGGTGGTGATGCAATCACCCTGAAACTTCTGGGTGAGGCGCTATCTTGGTCGGGGAACTGGATGTGACAGCGGGCGAGCACTGACTGGGGCGTCCGTAGAGGGGGTGTGGGGGCGGGAGATGAGACGGGTGTGGGATGAACTAGATTGGAGTTCAAGGAGGGGGAGGATTCCAACTCTTCCTCGATCTGCAGATGATGCCTGTCCGTGCCCGTGCAGTTCTGGAACGGTGGCGCAAGAGAGATGGTTCACCGCTGGAGTATAGAGAGTACAAGTGTAAACAAAGTACCTCTTCCGCTCTCGCTCTCTTCGGCCATCTGCTCCTAACTCGGAAAATCAGGAGGTCAAGGCTGTAGTGAATGACTTCGTATCGATCGAGGACAGGTGATTTTTGGATTGCGATCAG